CTCTTCTCCTGCCCCAAGTCGTCCCAAGCGCTCCACATCCACATCCAAGTCCACTCCAATCCACTGCAAGTCGGTGCCCCGCGAGCCGCTAATTCAAACAAATTGCAGCATAAATGCATTATAAAAGGCAGAGGAGCTGCTGCGGACGACACAGTGTGACAGTAATAATGTCACTCGCAGTCACAAATGGCCGATGGGGAGGGGTCTGGTATGGATATGGATGTGGATATAGGTGGAATAGGGGATACCGAAGCGTGAATGCCAGTGATAAATTAGCTAGCTTCAGCGGGCTGGTCATGTGTGGGCACTGTACAGTGGTCACTGGGACTCGAGGGCCGGAATCTAGTGGCTTGTATGGTTCTTAAAAGTTCAAATCCTTTTCTTTTTACTTATTTCCTATCATAGCTTCAACTTCTCAAACCCCCATTTGAAACCCAAACAAGTTTAAATAGGCAAATTTAGATATGTAAACGGGAAATTATTATAGCCGTCACTCGTAAATTAAAAACTGTAAAAGGTAATAAGGTAGAAGGAAGCGATTCAGACCCTTTAAATAAATAAATATTCTTGAACAGCATCAAATATAATGCAAATATAAAGAAATTAATCAGCAATGTTTGGTTTAAGTGGTGTCACAAAAAAGTTGTATATTGTTAATTAATAAATCAAATATATAAACTATATGCTTTGAAAACAAAATTCCTTTATTTAAGAACAATTAACCTTTATATTAAATAAGGAAAATATTCCTAAATTTATTGCAATTTTTCCTAAAATCAATAAGTTAGGTTTCCTGAGTGTAGATGTATTAAAATTTAGGAATTATCTAAATAGCCCATCATAAACTATAAAATGTTTGATTACCACTTAAATAATAAACTTCTTTAAAATAATGTGAATCTAGTGCTCTTATTATACGTTTATTGCCAGTTAAATTTTATATTCTTCCATTGGATTTGCCAGTTAAACCGGCAGTAATCAGTGCATCATGATCTAACATCTTAGATTTTTTTAACATGTTTAGGAATGCAATTTGACCACATGACGCATTTGAAGACCCATCAAAAATTGAATGGCACGCACGCTGGGTAGATCCCCTTCGCCAGGTCATTGAACCCCATTGAACCAGAATTCTCTTCGCCCTGCCAGCTAATTGATTGTTCTACTCCATTTGATAAGCTCTCGGCAATTGCTCATTTCTGGCACAATCGCGGCACTCATGGTAATGGTTAATTACACTGACGATCTAGCCACATGCGACCCACTGTGCCGCATTGCAAGTTGCAACTGTTGCCAGTTTCTAGATGCTAGATGCTAGACGCAACTGCAACAGCAACAGCAACTCGGTGGCTGACAAGCAAGTGTTTTGTTGTAGTTGCTGCTGCTGATGTTGCTGCAGCTAATTTGATTAATGATAAGCCCGGCTTAACTGAGGACGATTATGATTCATTATGTGCGCACAAGCCGGCACACTTAGCGCAGAAGATACAAATGCAGATACAGATACATTGGCCGAGGCCGGTGATCCGGAGAATCTGTCTATCGGTAGCGAAATTTCATTAAATAGATTAGGGGGCCTGCCACCAAACCAAACGAAACCGTGGCGAATCCAAGAAAGAACACTACTTTATTGCGATGAACAACAAGTGGTCGTTGTTATGCGAACACTGTTTGGAGCACTGTTTGATGCGTAATTGAAGCCACAATTGAATTTGCTCTGGGGGCCCATTCTATGCCATCTGCTAGATACAATTTCGCTGCCTTTGATTACATGCAATGAGCCATTTCCTCTATGGCTCACTGTTTACTGCCCCACAGACTGTAAATGGCAGCTCTTTACTCGGTGCTAACACTTGAAATCGGGCTTTGGGCCAGCATTTTGTTGTTGCACCTCATTTGGGCCAAAAACAGAGCGCTGGCTTCATGTGGCGAGGCAAGCTGTTAGTAAAGTGGCAGAGCGGAGATATATGATTAGGCTTCCTGGTCGATTTGGATTGGGCAAGGTTTCTCTGATCAAAACATGTTCTTATTTAACAAGGAGAACTTTACTCGCATTTATGGGAAAAATAATTATATATTTCAAATGTTTATTAAAATTTGAATGGATTTATTTATCTGGACTTTCATTTAGTTTGGAGCCCAATAGTTTAGTAAAATGAACAGACTGGGTAATACTGGTAATATATATTTTTTTGAGATCAAAAGGAATAGGTTCCTCCTATAGGAATAAGAATCATAACCTTCCTACTTATAAAAACAGAACAAAATTGTCTAATGATTAACTCCGGCCAACAGCAAAGAATTTTGTTAATTTATTAAACAGTATTTCCAGTGTTTTGGGGCTATATTCTTTAGGTTTTTTTTGTATTTGCCCGACTTTTTGTAATAATATAGTTTCTAGCACATTCTAATAGCTGATGTGGTGTTACTGTAGGTAAAGTAAATTGAAATTGCCTGAGATTTCTTAGTTTCCAGCTGCCTTTCTGGCCTTTTCGGCCTCTTTCTCGGCCTTCTCCTTCTCCTTTTGCTTCTCCTTTTCGGCCTTTTCGCGTTCCTTGCGCGCCTTTTCGCGGGCTTTCTCGCGCTCGGCCTCCTCCTTTTCGAGCTGCGCCTCCGTCTCTTTGCGCTTGCGGTCGCGCTCCTTGTTCCTTTCGGCCCTGACCTTGGCCTTCTCCTTGCGGATCTTGTCGCGCTCCTTCTCCTGCTCCTCGAGCCGCTTCAGCTCGTCCTTCTCCCACAACTCGAAGGCCTCGCGCTCGGCGGCCAGCCGCTGCAGCTCGTCCAGCTCGGCATCGGTGATGCCGCCGTCCATGTCGCGCTGCATCAGGTCCACCTCCCGCTCCATGGCCACCTTGGCCCGCCGACGCCGTACGCCCAGCTCCTTGGCCTCCACTGCGTCCTGGTGGCGCTCCTCGCGCGCCTCCTTCTCCTCCCGCCGACGCTCCTCCTCGATCTCAAAGTCCTCCATCTCGTCCTCGGTGTAGGGATACTCGGGTATGGTCCAATTTAGACACATGATACCTGAGGTTAGCGTGGTTAGTGTAGGAAAGTGCAGGAAATAGCGATCGAGGAACGAATTGATCAAATATATCTCGACTTTCAAAATGCAATTTTGGATACTACTACACGACTTATTAATTTCCGCATTAATTTGAGAAACTACTAAAAAAATTTAATTCTAAGATTTAGGAAATAAAATCATAATATTTTGTTTTCTGAGTGAAGATGTATCAAGATATCACATTATGAACTGAAATGTTTGGTGACCACTTAAATTAATTAAGGCTTCTTTAAAATAGCGTGAGACTAATGCTCTTATAATAAGTTTATTGCAAGTTAAAGTTTATGATCTTCCATTAGAAATATCTGTTAAACCGACTGTAATCAGTGCATCTAAGAGTTGTATGCAATTTTCAAAATATTTTTAAAGTATTTTTACCAAAATTGAATGGAAACCGATATTTTTGCCAACCGTGATAATATATCCCAGTTGAAAACTAATAGTATCGATTTAAAATCAAATCGATACAATTTTATGCGTACTCCATACTCAGATATTCCTACCTGATGACAAGGCATAGCCCAAAGATCCCCCTGCCGCCAGGGCACCGGAGATCAGAATAAGATTATAGCGACTGTTCTTGGCCGACCAGGCCTTCATGAAGTCACCCTCCGGCTTGGGGCAGTCACTAAACACCGCGTGCTGTCCTCCGCTGGCAAAAGTGCCCGGTTTTCGCTTCTTCTCGCCACCAGGACATTGCGGCGGCTTGGAGGACTTGGGCGGTGGCTGTGTGGCCTTCACGAACTTGGGTGGCGGTGGGGGAGTTGGCGTCTTGGCCGCCATTCGCTGTAGCCCAGTGTTGTGGATCAACATCTGGCCAATGCGTACTGGAGGGGAGGATCAGGGAGGTATTAAAAACCATTTTGTACGAAAATCATGCGGCTTTTACTCACATCCCCTCTGGAGGCGCTCTTTGGCCGTTATTATAAATCGCGACATGGTTCTTTCTCGTCACTACCCGCGAATTCTCTTCTCGACCTTCGTGGTCTTGGGAAACAGTGATTTTCAAGTAACCAAGTGTTTGTCTACTAAAATATAAAATTTGTTCCAGTGACTAACTTAAAAATCAAATCGATGACAAAATCAATTGTTGCTGAGTTCAGATGAGGGTCTCCTTCGTTCGTATTGGCCGTCCTGAGCAGATGGTTTTTTTACGTAACCGTTAAAAAATTATGCCGTCCAAGATTACTTGCAGCAAATTGGTGGTCTAAAGAGTAAGTGTACACAAGTGACACATATAAGAATTTACGCTAACACTTTTTACCAACAAATTAAGAACAGTCAATAAAAAAATTAGTAAGCTTATTTAATGGATAGATGAAAGACTACTTGATCTAGCTATCAGACAAACAAAAATCCATTTCAACCAGTTAGATCAAAACTTCAGCATGATGTGTTTAGGGTTCTTAGACTTTTTCCTTAGAGGTAAATCGAAACATTTTCCAAGTACCGCAAGTTCTCAAAATCACTTTTCCCGAATTCTCCCAAAATGCAGTAAACCAGTTTTTAGCAGACTGCACTTCGTTGGTGATAACAAGCGAGATACACAAATGTACAACTAGGAAAAATTGTGTACGATAATTTACACAACGGTTTTCGTGTAAGACACAAAAGTTCGGCCGATAAGAATAACATAACCCCAGAAGACCCCAGAAGACCCCGGGACCCACACCCCATTAGCATGTTTCTGAAAGAGAATTTCACGGAAATTTATGATGCCCGGCAGAGAACACACCTCGGAGAAGGTGTCACGTGCGCTGTCAAAAATCGGTTGGTCGAGACGAATGCATAATAAAGAGTGGACAGCCGGGCAGAGGCAGACACGAAAAGTGGCCAGCAGATAAAGAAGCTAAGGCTAATCGCAGAATGCGGTCAACAAACTGGTTCCGATCTGGCTCAACAAGTGGGTGGACATAGTCGCCGAGTGGGTGCCATGCAATTGGAGCCATGAAAATATACACTTTATTCAGCGAGCAATCGTGGAGAAAAGCAGATCAACGTCGGGGTAACATCGCGCCGCGTTTGTAGATTCGGCGCCTCTTCTTGCGGTCCTGGCGTATGGCGATAATCGAGATGAATATGAATCCCAGATAGACGACGGCGGTGACGAAGCATCGGATGGACACTGTGTGGTAGGCCTCCTCGGCCCTCGTCTTGAAGTCCTCCGGGTCCCTAAAATTAGACGGCAAGGGGAGGTCCTTCAGCAGCATCAGCGACCGGACGAAGAAGAAAATTCCTAGCAGATTCAGCATGATGAAGGCCCAGGAGCTCATGAAGAGGCAAAAAAACGAGCACTTTCGGCCACAAACCATTCTCGATTCTCGATTCGACCCGAACTATGTTCGACAGTGTAGGCAAGTGCTGCTCTGACCGCAACAGGTGCCAAGTTTAAGCCGACTTCGAAAGCGAAACCGAAATCGGAATGTGTCGGACCCGCTATATATATCTACATACGGCTACGTACACGTACAAGTACAACCTTGTGCGATTTCAGCGGCATTAGATCTGAGTGGTCGGATTATAGAGTTCAGGTGCCGGTGCCTCTCGCTTTCGGTGGCTTTGCGGTTGAGTTTATTCAACTCGAATTGGTTCAGTTTCGATCTGAACCATTGATGGACAGCTGAGAGAGCAAGTCTTCGATACCATATATATCTCCGGCAGCTACGGTTGCGGTCAAAATACTACCAAGTCGTAAAGCAAGAAAAACAGTAATATAACATCTAAACCAAACTTAAATTTTTTTATGTTATAGGCATTTATCTGTACTAAAAAAATAGTATAAAAAAATATGTCTAGTTTAAAACTATTACGAGTCTCAGTTGTTAATAATACATATTCTATCATACTTTTAAGTGATATTAATAAAAAAACGAAAAAAGGACATTTATTTTCTGCAATTTGAATGCTATTATTGTAAAATGATTTTCTATTTATATCACTTGTGCACTTTGTTGGTCTGAATGTAGGCCAACGCAAGTAAGAAGCTGATTCATAAAAGGGCAGATTTATATTTAAATTTTTCTCTTAAATCATGCTCAATATATTGTATTTAAATAGCTAACCAAATAATTTAGCAATAATTAGCACAACTTACCGCGAATGCTTTACGTTCTCCAAAAATCCGCAAAGGGGCAAAAAAATCTTGCCGCGGTTGCGAAGAAGCAGAAGAATCCACAATAAAATTTTTACCAGTTTCTTGAAAATCCGTTACAAAACATCAGGTTGTTGTGAAAATTCGTAAGTCGTTTTCGCGGTTGCTAAACTTTTTTTACACTCTGTTGTTTTTTTAACGTTTCTTTTGTTTGTTTATGTCAATTATCGTTAGCTTTTATGGGTTACTAAACAGGACAAATAGGACACAAAATACAGAATTAGGAAAATTATAAAAAAAAAATCTTAATTATTATAAACTTGTATATATTGTTAACCACATGGTGCAACTTGAGACAAAAGGCCCCAACTCTAATTGAGTAAATATGTTTTTGGTAACTTAAGCTGCGGATTTCGTAGAGCCCCCAAAAATGGGGGTCAAGTCCATTAGGCTAAAACCCGATCCCAACGCGAAAGACCTTGACATTAGGGCGTTTGCTCACTGAGCTTGGTAATTACTTAGGTGTCTCGAATTCCCTTTTGCACAAATCAATCAAGCTCTCTTTTTCTTTATTCCTCATACGATTGCAGAGAGGAAAAAGATAAGGAATATTTAATGTTACTTCCACAAAAATGTACTTCCATAATTAAAGCTCATAATATTTAACTAACCAATTAATTTCTCTCTTTAACTAAGAATGACTTTGACTTATCTTGTTTATAGTAAAATTAATTTTGTTTAATTTTCTTAGGAAACTTTTATAATTGACAAAATATTTCTTAAGACTTGCTTTTTTCTCAGAGTGTAGTTTCAGTAACGGTTTAATTGTTGTTATTTGACATATTTGCTTAGCACATTCTTCATTGCAATTGCACACACACTTGTTTCTTTTGTTGTAAGCTCAGTTATCGGAATAATCAGTAAAAATATTTCGATGGAAAAAAAACAGAAAAACAAAAAAAAGAAATGCTGAGCTTTCTGTTTGTGTGTTCGCCTGAACTTGTTAGCGTAAATGTTAAGTAAATAATCTAAAATGAATTTGTTATTTCTGAATGTGTTTTATTTTTGGTAATATTCACTTCTTATTTTTATTTAATTTTATTTTTGATTCGCCTTAAACTTTTCGGGTTTTTTTGTTTGCTTCGCACTTTCAAGCACTTTTTAAAAATTCAAACATAACACTTTTCTGTGAGTGCGGTTTTCCAAAAACCGGTATGTCAATCCAAAAATCACTGAAAATTATGAAAAACTATTAAATAGTATTTTTCGAATTCTTCGTGCACCTTTACTTCGAATTTTCGACTCCGGTCCGACCGCCGCGCTGCGAAAACAAAGATTGAGCGCGAGTTTCGTTGCGATGTGGTTTAAATAGTTGGGGTCTCCCGCTCTCTCCCCAACGCACAGTGGAACGGCTCTCATACGGTAGGCCCCAACTCTTACAGAGAGTTACAGTGAGTCGAATTACTAGATAGAAGCATACTATTTAACTCGTAAAGTGAGTCCCGCATTTCTTAATGTGTAAAAAAAAATAAAAAATATATTTTAAAACGAATTTATATAGATAGATATTTTGAAGAATTTTAAATACTCATATTATTTTGGCTCAACACAAATAATGAAAATCTTTCACTCACATGACTGCTATGATTATTGACTTATTCTATCTTATAAAGAGGATATCGACACAAAGGAAAGTCTACATGGCTTGTGAAGCTTAAAATTGATTTAATACAAAAGAGGAATAAATGTATGTTTTTTACAAAATTAAAATTAAAATTTAAAGCAATTTTAAAAGTATATTAAAGTTATAAGTATTATAATATTTTTGATTTTTTGCGTCTATCTGTTTCACTGTGCAACGCTCTCTGTCCATTGCTCTCTTTCACTCAAAGGCTCTTTCAAGAATAATGGCTCTCTGAGAGCAACAAGTGGGAGCAGTACTCTTTACTTCGCTGGCGAAGTTGTGGGTGTTTAAAAGCCTGGAGAGAGAAAGATTGGGAGAGAGCTTAATGGTCCATTGAGTGAAAGAGAATTAATAGAAAGTAATGGGTTTACAAAACAATCATTATTTTTCTGGTTTAATAAAAAAATAAGAATACAATTTACAAACATTATAAAAAACTGTTGGACTGATTTCTTTGAAAATTTAAGTAATTAATTTTTATATTTTGGTTTGATTTAACAATTTTTATAGTATATAACAGCTTTAAACATGCTTCAAGATGAACAAGAATATTGAAAAATTGTATTCCTTAGTTAAATCATGTACTTAAGTTTTACATATGTAGCATTATACAATCGATGTCTGTGAATTATTAGCTAATTTTTTCATAATTTGGTTATTAACAACGAATTTGCCACAGGATGCTCTGGAATTATAATAGAATTAAAAGCTCGCTTTATTAAATGCAAGCTGGTGCACTTAATAATCAGTCATTGGCCAAGTGCTTTTATCAACTCAGTCGCTCAATTTGTATGTAATGTCGTAGGTAAAAGGGCACGTGAAGGACATCTACTGCCCACGGCAGAAACACCACCCACCTGTTGGGTGGACTTCTGAATGCAGTTCTTTTGGCATTCACATTTCGTTTAAAGGGCAAAGAGCACCTGGAAATGTGTTTTACTCTTATCTCCCAATGCCAGCTACATAAACTTTTCATCATATTCGTGTGGTAATGCACTGAGAATAAAAGTAATAAGATTTAAATTCAAACTTTATATTTAAAAAGAAAATTAAATATGTTGGTAGAAAAAAGAACATATTCCTGATGAATAACAAAACCATAAAACTAAATTCGGAATCAAAAACTCAAATGAATTGTTGAAACCTAGAATAATATCTCAATGATTAGAAACTCTTTAATGTTAATTATGGAATTTTGAGGAACTATTCTATAAGTATTAAAGAATTTGTAAATTTAATATGAGTTTGAAGTGAAAAACCTTAAAAGTACATTCAAAGTTTTTGTTTATTAAATGTATAGCTATTTCTTATTTATAATTTTATTTCTATTTTTTTTATAAGAAATATTGTTATATACTTTAACAGGGTTTTTTTCTTTATTCATATTGTGCTCTTTTGGCAAACACTTTCCTTTGTCTATGCTCTTACGCTATTCAAGGTAGAAATATTCCTTATTAATAACTTTATTATATCTTTATTATAAGCAATATTTTTATTTATTATACCAGTGAATTTTGTGTAGTCCATTCATATTGTGCTCTTTTGGCAAACACTTTCCTTAGTTAACACTCCCACTCGTCGGCTAATTAAAGCCAAACTTTTATGGCAAACTAATCGGGTTATTTAAGCCTTATTAAAATCAGATCTCCGTTCGATTCTGTTCCATTCTGTTTGCTACCGAATTGGCCAAATCCGCTTAATAGATGGCCAAATAGGGCCGGCGATTGATGTGGGATCGAAGAGCACTATCGATTACCCAAAAGGCTAACAAAAGTTTTCGCATCGCGGATTTCCGCTCCCAAGCTACTAGAATTTCCATACTTATCCCTATTCGATCATCAAGTGGCGTCTCAGATCAGAAGAAGGTCATACGATACCGCCGCCAGGATGGGAAAAGGGGGGTAGCCCTGAGTTTACCGATTAGCATGTTAGCGGCGGCTGCTTAAGGTCTATAATTAAGCGACATAAACTTGGGTATTAGGCGCTAAATACACAAAAAAACAAAAAAGTAAACCTCTTGAGTGGGAGAATAACAAAGGATGGGGCGGGAGGGGGGAGGGAGGTGCGCCTCTTCTCGATTTGCATAACTGTTCGTTTGGGCCCAGAAGTCGGGGGATGTGCCATGGGTCTGGGTTTGGGCCTGGTTATGGATATTGGAGTTGGTGTTGGTGTTGGTGTTGGTGTTGGTATTGGTACTGCTATCGGTATTCGACTGCATTCGAAAAACAGACGGACGGCAAATGAAAACGGAGGCAAACATACGCACACACCTGAATTTACCTGGGCACTGCACCTGTCCACATAAGCGACTTCTACGTTGGGCTTTCATTTGCTGCTAAGAAAGAGTAAACAGCGCGCGTCGCTGCTTCTTACCCGAATATACCCTTAATATTACAAAAACGAGGTACTTAAGTTCTCAAAAACAGCTCAGAGTTATTGCCTTACCAAACATTAGCACGACAAAAGAAAATAATAATATATTATATATTACTAAGTGTTTGGTAAATTTGTAGTATATTAAACATTGAAACTTAAATGTGTATATCTCATGCAATTAATATGAAAATTGTGATATAAAATGTGTACCAATTATTACAGTTAATATTATTCTTGCCAATGTTGAGATGAACTAATAGAACATGTATTACAATATTTATAGTAAATGAAGTAAAATTATATAACTAGTAAAATACACAAAAAATACCTGCTAGTTTTGTCTTGTGTGCCCTAAGGGCATTAGAAATTCGACACTGTTCGAAGTTTTACTTTCTTCATTCGTTTTTCTTTCCGTATAACACAAAAGAATTTCCATCAATAATGTCAATAGTGCTGCAACAACAACAACAACAACAACATTGACACTGCACTAGCAACAGCAATAACAACAAAAGCAATGGCAACAACACCACGACACTCCTTTTGGCCCTTGCCTTTGGGTTCTACTTCTTCTGCGGCCAAGACGAATTATGGCCATTAAAGCTGCTTGGGGTTTTAAGTTATTAGGCAACTTGAATTTCAAACTGCACTTGACAAACGCACAAAAAAAAAATGTCCAGTGCGCAGTCAGTCAATCAACGTAGTGTGTAATTAAATAGTTTATAATCTAGGCTTAAAAGTTATTACTTATATTATAATACTTATTGTTTTCATAAAAGTCCTCATCAATCACTCTGAGGGAACTATTTTTCAACACAACAAGTTTAAAATTGGATTTAAGGTCAGTGCTCAGCAAAGTCCATCAAACCACCCATCCCACCCACTCATTCACCTGTTGTGTTATGATGGGAGTAAGCCGATGACCGCCCTTAAACCCCTTTAAATCGTCGACACCCCAAAGCTGGGCTGTGGATTGCTCATACGTCATTAACTTCAGTGACTTTGATCTAAATTTGTTCGAGTCTCTGGGTCTTATATTGATTGGGGTGCAGATTATTCTATGGGTGTGCTGCGGAAATCAATAAACAAAGGAATGGTAGAGTTAATGTGCGAGAGATTTTTAATAAATAAGAAAAGGTTGAAAGAATAGTTTTTAAATGTTTATGCTTATGTTTATTTAAAATGTAAAATAAGTTAATAGGTTTAAAGCTACCAAAAAAAAAAAGAAAGGCATAACAAGAGAGGAACTATAGAACGACGGTGTAGTGAGTTATGTTATATATATCTTAACAAAAAAAAACAAATTTATCTCAGTTTTCCTTCATTGTGCTTTATAATATTTTATCTAATCAATTCCAATTACTTTTCAAATTTCGACATGGTATGCAACAATAATAAAGGAAAAAAATTAAAGTAAAATATAAAAATAAATTTATTTGTGTCTTTTTCTTTACCTAGTAAACACTTAATTTACATTGGGTAGTTGAGTATCGCCATCTGTGGTTGAGTATCGCTAGCTTTAGAAAATGTCTGTCAGATGGCGCCACTAAACCAAGCTTATACCTAAGCTGCAAAAACCCAGAAAGCTACCTTTTAATTAAAGCTTTCAGCCAGCTCAATCTAATTGTTAGTTTTTATATTTTTATACCCTTGCAGAGGATATTATAAATTTCAGTGAGAAGTTTGCAACGCAGTGACGTTTCCAAACCTAAAAAGTATATATATTCGGGATATATAGCCAAGTCCGTCTGTCTGTCTGTCTGTCCGTCTCTCAGTTTTTAAGGTGTTTCACGAATTATTCCCAAAAGATATACTGTTGCAAATAGTATATAAGTATGTATATACATAGCTCTTATAGGTTCCTATCGTGGAACTGTTTTCTTTTTTTTTTTGTTTTGGTTATTGGAGATGAAGCAATGGCTTATTATTTAAGAATATCGCTTTAAATTTGATTAAAGTCGAAATATTGAAAAAAATAAAGACAAAAAGTTAACTTCTTTCCATTCTTTTCTCTATTTCTTTTAAATAATACGCTAAATAATTACGCTTTTAATTTTATTAAAATCGATATCATATAGCTGCCATCGGAACGATCGAATAATTGGGCCGAAAATCATCATAGATTCAATGTCTTTAAGCATAAACGCATGTGATTCGAAATTAAAGAATATTTAATTTCACTTCTTGTTTAGATAATTTGACCAGAACCCATATATAAGGGCCTTAAGCCGTTGTATATAAGTTTCTTTAATTTTATTTAATTGTATAAAAAGCATTCAATAGGTTTTAGGAAAGTGCATCTTTAACGACGACCACAACCACATTCACTCCATCTGCTACCACGGCAATAACCGTTTCACAACCGACCACCTCGATTCAGTCATCCCATAAATAAGCCACTTACCACCAATCCTGTTGACGAAAAACAAACAAGAAGGCGAGAAAACCGTTGGCAATTTACGGAGTGGAAACTGTCATTGGTTCGCTTTAGGTTGGGATTGCCAAATGCAAAACGGTTTCGAGATACATTCCAAAAAAATATAAGGTAAGGTTTTAAACCTTTTACAGTGCAATTAAATCTACATTAAAGGGTAATATTTTCCTTATCTTTTTTTAAATTTTAGTGTGCCCATAAAAGTGAGACATTGTCAGTGAAAAAAAAAATTAAATTAATCCAAAAACTCCAAAACCTGCTCCTGGGCATAGTAAAGACTCCCGGTCACGTCAGATGCGAGGCTCGAAGTCTGTCAGCTCACGAATCCAAATCCACTTCCATGTCCACCACGATTCATTCATTAATTCAGGCAAAGCGTCATAAATGCCACGCGGTTTTCATTTGGCTTTTCTGGCTAGTTGAATTAATTAAGCAGCGTTTTTCCAATCGGCAATGTTTTTCTCGGCCGTTCCGCTTGGCATTTGCAAGTCAAAAGCGTCGGCATTAATTAATTAAGGAATTCAGCGCTTGCGCGCCATTGGGCAATCGTCTCGAATTCTCCTCCATTCAGCGGCTAATGGTTAATTAGGCCCGTCATCCAAAATCCGCGGCACTTTGCACCCATTTTGGAGCGCACACCGCCCCACTGCCAAATGCGGCTATAGACTCGTCTCTCGTTCGATGCCAAAATAAAGAGGGGAACGACGAGTTCCTTAAATCGGCATTTAGTGTGTGGCAATCGGGCATTTGACCTTGCCACCCTTCTGGCCCAATCGATGGCTGGAAAATTGCTTTCCACCTGGCCAAAATGTGGGGCAGTGGCTGGGAAATCTTTTATTTATAAGCACAACGATCTGTCCGCATCGAATTGGACATGGAACACTTGTTTGGCAGTCGCCGACCACTGGCAACAATTGCTGCTATTGACTTAATATTTGCTAATAGATTTCACATAAATCACATTCCACTGCCATGATTTATGCATGGACTCCGATCGCAGGTGACTCTCTGTCTCTGTCTCTCTCTCTCTCTGCCGTCTCATGCCGTCTCTTTCGCCCCAAAAGCCAAACATTTTCGAGATGTTGCTGTGGTGTTTTCGAGGCCTCTTAAGAGGAAACTCCACTGAAGTGCCTGCAAGTTGCATGCGCCGATCCGAGAGGCATTACGAATTATTGCAAATTTCTGTGACTTAACACTTGGAAAGCAAGGGAAGCACAAGAAAATTTGGAATTTCGAGGACATTAAAGATCGAAAGTTTATTTAATAATGTGGTTACACATTATGTTTGTCTGCGTTTTGGACCCTTTATTATAAATGAGTATTCATAGGTCTTACGTTTTAAGTCGATCCTTATCTTAAATATCGGCCTCTTGAAATTTCCAGATTTTTTGCATACAATTTTTTGTATATTTTACTTTGATGAATATTTGTTTAATTAATAATCAATCATTTTGTAATACCCTTTCATTTTGTATTTCTCTAGATTTGCACTCAGGACTATCGCGTTTCTAATAAATTAATAAATTAAATCAAGTAAATTGCTTTTTAATTCTTATAATCTTTTAAATACTAAACTCATATAATTACAATTTTTTAAGATGTTACGTTAATAAAAATTTTGTTTTGGGGTACATTGTCAATACCGATACTAAAATAGTACAGAGTTATTTACATAAACGTTAATAGGTTTTATTAATTGTATGCTTATTTACCATGCGAACAAATTTTCTAGTCAGTGTAAACGACGTCATTAACCTGAGATAAGAATGTTGTAAGTCCAGGGCACATTTTCTTAGATTTGTAGCACTATTAATGTTTTGATGACCCAATGCCATCGCAGCTTGTCATCGCTACGAACCCCCAACCACCCCATGGGGTTAATCATGGCGGCAATAAAAAATCCCACGAGTTGCCAGATGCTCAACCGGCGAATTCAGTCCGAGAAGGGGCAGACCCCCGATCGATCGATCGATCGATCCACCGATCGACCGATCGCTTTGTCGATCGATGGAGAGCTGGCACGGGGGAGCTGGGGCATCATGCCGATCCGATTCCCCGTCCACCCTCAAGTGTCCTCGAGACGAGACGGCGTGGCTGCGGCTGCGGCTGAAATCGCCCATCCAATATGGTCAAATGTGGCACGCAGCGGCATTCGAGGCACGAAAAAGATAAATATGAAGCTCGCCTAGATATTCGGCCCGTTTGGGCTGGCGTTCGCCGATTTGGCAAGCGTCATTATGCAATTTGGGGAGAATTTCCCAGCGACACCGAGAATTCTTTCGAGAATGGCTTCGAGAACAATTAGACGGCATTCTCCGCTGGCTAATTAAGTCGTTAGTGGCAAGGCTGGATGTTTTCGAGAGGTGTGGTGCTGTCCAAAAGTGGCCAGCTAATCAGCGAATTCAATTAGCGCGCGCTTTCCAATTCGAGGCACTGGGGGTGCCCCCAGTGGAAAAGCCGCCTTTCCTGCGACTCCTTAGTCGGCAAGTGGTCTGCCTTCACATCGGAGATCGCAGATCCGAGCTCCTAGCTCCCAGCTCCCAGCTCCAGGTCGTTGCGTCATCAGCGCACGAGAATTGCAGTTTCACCTCAGCCGAGATACTTCACAAATTGGTGCTGCTTGGCCCGCTTTGTTGACTGCTCACTGACTGTTTGTCCGAAGCTCAGATCGAAATCTAGTCAAGATCTGTCCGCTCGTCCAAGTGTCGCCCTGTCCGCCGGTGCGCCGGTCCACCGGTCCGTTCGAGAGTGCGAGTACCAGTGCGAGTGCGTGGTCTGCCGGCGAGGAGTATAAAAGTAACGCAATGCACGCAATCCACTTACAGTTGCAGTTCTCCCTCCAAGCCAAGTGATTCGTAATCCAGCGCAAACATGAAGCTTCTGGTAAGTGAGGGGATGCGAAAGGATCGTCGGGCTACGGATCAGAATAGGACTATATCGCACAATAGGAATTTCCTATTAGATCCTTGCAAACTTTTGCTTGTCCCTATACATTTCAATCTGACATCAGGACAGAGCTAGGACTAGCAGATCAAATCACTAATAATTGAATTAAAACAGTGTTAAAGACACTTTGCTACCAGCAGGATAAAGAGAAGGATAAAAAACAAAAATATGTATATCCTTATAATAATAAATCGGTTCAAATAAATGACATTTTACCGTTACTCCTAAATAACAATTGAGCCTCTCGTCCTTAAATTATAGTTAATCCATTTTCTTTGTAAGTAAGAATGTATATCTCTTAAAGTGTATCTCTGAAATAGTCTGTCCCAAGTAGGTCTCTAAGAGCAAAGGAGCCATTTCACATACCGCTTCTAGATCTTATTTTGGTTTTAATGAGCCTATGCGTAAAGCAATCATTTTTTACATTAGGTACCACCTCACATGCGCCTGGATCCGAGTTCTCCTAGATACTCATTATTTTTTTACTATTAAATAAGTAGCCAGTTTAAGATTGATCTGTTGGCGACATAAATAAATATATAAAATATATCAGTTAAACTTTGCTTTTTTTAGTTAGTTAACGTTCTTGTTCGATTTACTCCACCAGATCCTCACCACTTTGCTGGCTGTGGCACATGCCGCCCCTGGACTTCTCGACTATGGACATTCGGCACCGGACTATAGCTACGCGCATGCTGCTCCAGCCATTACCTACGCGGCTGCAGCGCCAGTGATTAAATCCTACGCTGCTCCTGCCATCACCTATGCGGCACCAGCTCCAGTGATTAAATCCTACGCTGCCCCGGCCATCAGCTACGTCCATGCTGCTCCCGCCATTAGCTACGCTGCACCCACGGTGGTCAAGTCCTACGCAGCTCCAGTGGCTGTCAAGGTGGCTGCCCCGGCCACCAGCTACTCCCACTTCAGCTCGGTAAGATCCCGATCTAATTAAATCAATGCCATTTAAAAGGATGGCTTTCTATATGATAAACAGCCTCACAATTGTAGTCAACCATTCCCTATTGGAATCCAACAATATACTATAGGTATCTTGATATACTAATTTGTAATTGGTGAGAAGTTTAGCCAACACGACACGTACATGCATGTTTCACCAGACAACCAGCTCAGCTTCTGCTACGCTATAGTTCCCAAATGGTTCTAGCTGCGTTTCGGATTCTGATTGGCTCTCTGGTAAAACCTGCAAGTTTAGCAACTTCTCACTACTAATTAGGATTAGTTTAAAATAGGATGTGTTTTTTATAGAGTTTAAAAACTAATTTCGGTTAAAAAATATTATAACAGTGCTAATCTTTTTATTACTTTTCAACAGGTTGTTTCCCATGCCACGCCCATTGTGAAGTCATACGCTGCGCCGGCTATCAGTTATGCTGCAGCTGCTCCGGTTTACAAGTCGTATGCCGCTCCGGCCATCAGCTATGCCCATGCCGCGCCTGCCATCAGCTACTCTGCTCCCACGGTGGTCAAGTCCTACGCGGCCCCGGCCATCAGCTACGCAGCTCCGGCCCTGGTGAAGTCCTACGCCGCTCCTGCATTGTCCTTGGGCGGCTATGGTGGCTACGATGACCACGGCTATGGCTACCACTAAGACAGTAGGCTCCAATACCAAATCACTCCAGGTCGATCCCAAATCGGGGATGGAGTAGATGGAGCACAGACCTGCGAGGAGTCGCAACAGCCGAGGCACGTAACCTTTCGTTTTCCCCCGCACTTTTCCAACCTGTAGTCGAAAAATCTTCACTCTCTGTACACTTCTTATTTATTTAAGAAACCATTAATATTCTCTCAAAGGCAAAATAAAGGAAAAATTCTATTTTTCAAATTCCACTTGTTATGTTAATGATGCCGAAGGTGACGATGACCGCAATGGAACTCAGGTTGTTCAGGATCTTGGCGAGTTGGGGCCAGGGCTTCTCTTGAATTTCACAATAGTCGCTGGACTGCAGAAAACAATAATTATAATAGTATCTCGTAATTCAACATTTCATAAGCCACTCACGTCCGTAAATCTCAACCCTAAAACACATCGCAGGATATTCGAGTTTAACACGGCAACCAAGCAGTCTGGAGCCTTCGTCCTGGGTGGGTACAATTCCAGCCAAATTATACAAATGTGCAAAATGTAGCAATAGCTGCTGGCCATCATTACAATCTTGTACGCCGTCACTGTGGGAAAGTTAATGTTCGATTAATAAATGGAAGACAAACCGTCTTATTGCCGTTTGAGTCAATGTCATTTTAACACTGAGTTAAATTTCGTTTTTGAAAACATTTACTTTCTCAACCGAAAACTATTATCTGGAGAACATTTTTAAGCCAAAGCTTGTCGGTCCGCATTTCTAAATTATTTCGGTAAGAATAGATTCTAAGGACTTGTCGTTCAAAAATTAACTGTTTTGACTGAAAGATTTCAAACGAATTTCTTAGCATTATATAGTGAATTTTTGTTTGTTCAGTACTCTTTTTTTTAGAGGTAGTGAACTATGAATTAATTATATAATTTAACCATGGATTTAACTAGTTTTCCCCAACAATAATGATAAGTTTTTTTCTTACTTAGGGGCGGCACATAGTGTGGCGAGGCGTGGCGTGTCATGTACATAAGACCCCAGGCAGTTATCAGCAGGGTGATGAGGATAAGGGCACTTCTGCGGGTAGAACGCAACACAAACGACATTATCAGGAACATCTGGCAGGCTGAAAGTAAAAAATGATATATATTTTCAAAGAAATTTAATGATCCTATTGTTTAAAAAATAATTTTTATCATAAATTCATATTAAAATTTAAAAATAATTACCAATCAGCGGCAGATAGAAGACGGTCATGTAGAAGCTCCTGTTCCGCTGCAGTGTGGCCTCGATGGCCACATCGCCGGCCACCGTTTGGAGCATGCCTTTGGGGGTATATCGTCTCGCTGAATCGTTGCCCACCGGCACCACGGACATCTCTTTGAATGTCCAGCCGGATGGCGTGTTCACGTGCTCATTGGGCGCAATGGGCTGCTGCTGCTGATCGTAGATTAGCGCCACGTTCCCCTGCCCCTGCCCCTGCTGACTAATCAGGCCCAGCTCGATGTCACAAGTCACACGCTCGTTCGGCCAGTTTCGGGCACTGTCCACACACCAACTGGTCAGCTGCAGGTCGTGGGCATACAGGGTGATGTTTCCGTTGGCGTACACCCTCAGCTCGAAGGATCTGAGGACCTGACCCATAGAGTCTAGCGCACCGTTCAGTGCGTTCATGGTCGGCGTCCATATCCGCAGGTCGGGATGCTCAAAGGACTTCAGATTATCGAATTCGGCGGGCTTCCAGCTAAGTCGAGTGTCCTGCCAGTGCTAAAATAAAAAATTTCTGATTTTATGTTCTTAAGGATTAAGGGTATCTCAGTTACCATCATCATGTGCATGCGGGTCCGGAGCAAGGAATTGGTTTGTTCGTAGGCAATGGACTTCATCTGGAAGTGGAACAGTATGGAGCTGAGATTTGCAGGCAGGCTGGCATTCTCCGCCTGGAAATTGATTTGGTTCAGCAGTTTTTGAGCCACCGTTGGCTTAGGCTTATCCGGATCTATTTCCTTGCCTATAAAACGAAATCTTTTTAACATGGTCTTTGTAAAGCCAATAAATATAAATAAATATTTGACTACTGTTCTGGCAGTCCTGCATGAAAAGTGAAAAAATGTTCAAAAATCGCAAGTTCGATTCCACTTTAAAAATATATACATTTTTTTAGTTAATTACAATAATTTGAATTTAAATAAATCAATATGCGGTATAATTCGGTTCTCGCCGATGGCCACAAATAAAATATGTAAATATGTATTTTTTTAAGATATCTTAAATTTGCTTATTATCAGAATTTACTTATATGAATTAAAATAACATAAAATAAAAATGTATTTATGTGTTCTGGTGTAATGCCTAGGGGACAACAAAAACTTTTAAATAATTTGATACCGTTATAGTGAAAAATTTATATTAACATAATGCCACTTGTTACGTTTCAAAGTTTTCAAGGTGAAAAGCCAAGTATCACACAAAATTTGATACATAATTTTATGCGAATAAGTGCCATTTCGTTTAGATTTTTTTTCTGTGTATCCTCACCATAACCATCGAAGTCGCAATCGTAGAACCACCGCGCTGTGTTGGTGCCAAAGGAGCTGAAACTGATATAGTTGATGGTCAGCGGCGATTCATCGATGAACTGCAGCAGGGGCTCCTCCTTGAAGCCGGGTATGTAAACAAACAGCTCGCCATCTGTGAATTAAACTGCCCGGTGAAGTGGAGTGCAGATAAGAGCCCAAGCCCGGAGGGCAGGAGACTCACTCTGGGTCTGGACAATCTCAATTGGCGTTGGCTCGTACAGAGATACCAAGTTACGATCGTGATTCGTGGCCACACGCCGCAATCCCATGGCGGTACGGATAGCGGAAAACGTATTTCCGCCGGCGCCTATCACTGCAAGCGAAATCAAACAAAAACATTATGCAGGAATGTCACTAAATTTCATTCCATTGAAGGTCGCAGTTTTGGATAAGCCCATTTTATTTCTGTATTACAAGTAGATTGTTTTCCCTTGCATGGTAGATGAGAGTGTGCCAAAGATAGTAACAGAAGTTCAATAGATATAGCAGCTATGTTTAAACTGGTATGAGGAAATGATTTAATTTGAAAACCCGGATAGATAGCCAAGGATAGTTATTAATTCAGATTTACTGTAAATGGAGACACATTTTTTTTTTATTCTATTTTTTAATTTGCTTGGGTTGGTTGAATACTGTTTCTAGCCCTACAGGAAATTGTTTGAGTTTTAACGAAATTTCACGAAAATAAAAAAGAAGTCAAGAAGTTTAGCTCCAGAAAATATTTAGTTTAAAAGGCTGATTTTACTGATTTACTGGTTTTACTAAATTAATCTCATTCTGCACTAAATAATAAAATTATATAAAACCATCTTAAATCAGATTCAGAACAAATATAATCCCTATAAAAATGTATAATGGAACACAAATACGCAGTACCAAAATTAACAAATCCATCCAAGTGCAATATGGCTATCTTTTTCAAAAAAACTAATTACAAAATAAAATATATTTTTTTGTGTTGATAAGTTTCTTCCAGAAAATGTATCTCTATAATAATTTCCGTCCCCAAGCTCTTACAGAAACATCTGAGTGTACTTTAAATTATAAGTAATTCCGATTCCACATACCAATCTCGTAAACGCGATCATTTGGCCGCAGACGATTCGTAACCGAGAGCAGGATGTGGGCATCCATGGAGGTCATAACGTAAAACTTCAAGTGTAACCGCTGACCGGCCTTTATGTTGTTGTTACTCAGGGTGTGGACCATGAAGAAGTTCCGGTATCCGTATCCTATTGGAACCATGTAAGTCTCGCAGGACTCCAACTGGGAGAAGCTCACGTTAAATCTAGTCTGCGACCCTGCTGATTCCGCCCGGTGAATCAGTGCCAGGCACAGAAAGCAGCACCACTTGATAAGGTTGTTCATCGTATCTTCTGTGTTCCTCTTAGCTACGTTCAAATACGACTAAAGCGCGGATCCGACTGAAATTAACTAAAATATGGCAGGGCCATCCATCGATGAATTCGCATTCCACCGATGAAGCAGGGTATTACTTTTTTTTGTTTTGAGAAATGGACAAATTAACTTTAAGCTGCGTTTTTATTTCCAAAAGTGCAGGTTCTTGGATTGATGATTTATTTTTCTTATTACATTTTTTTGCTTGCTTCTAATGTATTTTTTTATAAAAAACTCCAAATTTGTATATTAATATTTACCCTTTAGCATACTTAAAAACAAAGTCTCCAGAATTATTGTATTTTATATTATTTATATTTTATACAACTATTTGTTTATTGAAATATGTTAAGTTTTAAAAAGCTAAAAATTAAAATGCTTTAACTAAAAAAAATGCACCGGTTTAATTTTTTCTCAAGCGTATGTATATTGTATATTAAAAAAGCTATTTCGAAATTTCTCAAACGACTGAAAGCAACATTGGTCCCAACATGGAATTACCGTCCAATATAAGCTCATATGAACATTCTTTATTATAATATCAAATAGTTCGTCTTTTTTTGCATTTCAGAGATTCAATTTATTTTTATATGTTCTAACTAGCTTAATTAAAACTAGCTATAATTGATGTAATGCAGTCTAGAAATGTAAAGCAATCATGTTCAAAACTAGCTATAATTGTCTAGAAAAAAAAAGCTGGGCTTTCTCCTCTACCGCCAAGTGTGACCGTGCACGCAGTATATTGGCACTTGTCGCCTGCAGCCACACTTTTCCCCAGACCTGTTATCAACATTCGGAATTTATCACTTTTGCCTTGTATTATTTAAATTTTTGGGCTCGCCTTTTGAATCCAGGTGACTCCAGGCATCGCAAAGGTGCCGCCACTGAACCCAAAGGACATGCCCGATGACACGCAGGATGCCAAGGCGCAGAAGTTGGCCGCGGCGAGGAAAAAGGTGCGAGAACCAGTGCCACACGCATTTGTTTTGCTCTTGTGACGTGGACACATATTGGCCCACTAATATTGATTTTGTTTAACACGCTTATGTGGACACAGCTGAAGGAGTACCAGCAGCGGGCCAGCAACAACAATAGCCAGCAGGGAGCGGAGGAGCCGGTGGCCTCCACCACGCAATCGCCCTCGTCCACAGTTAGCATAGCCAGCAACCTGTCCGAGCGCTCCGACAGCGAGCTAAATGTAAACGGAGGGGGAGCCGTTGCTCCTTTGCAGCAGGAACAGTTCGTCCTGCCCACAGCCGCCTCCTATTTCACCCAAAACGAGCCGGAACCTAATGGTGGACTAGCTGACACCTCGAATCTGCAGGCCATCCAGGTGATCATTGCGGAAAAGGCCCAGCTCAATGCCGAGCTCACAAAGGTTCGGTTGGCCTGCCGGGAACGCGAGCTGGAGCTGGAGGAGCTGCGCACCGTGAAAGACCAGAATCAGCTGCGACTGGAGCAACTGCAGCAGCACTACCAGGATCAGCAGACGACCGGCGAGGAGCAGCGGCAGAAGTTCGTCCATCTACAGGCTCAATTGCAGCAGGCGCAGGCACAAATCGACGATAACGTAGCACACCTCAACGAACTGACGGCTCACCTCAAGCAAAGAAGTTCACGTCAGGAGGAACTGCAGCAGGAGCTCTCCCAAAAATCCAACGAGCTGGAGATGGCCCAACTCAAACTGCGTCAGCTGTCTGACGAGTCTAGTGTCAGCACCGACAACCGAGTTGAGTCGCTGGTTCAGACCCAGTACATGTACGAGCAGCAGATCCGGGATCTCCAGGCCATGGTGGGCCAACTTACGCAGGACAAGGAGCAGGCAGCTGCCCAGTACCAGAATTATGTGCAGCATCAGAGCGGCGAAATCGCCAAGCTCAACGAACGGAATGCGGAACTGGCCGAGGAGTTAAACACTTTAAAGGAGCGGGAACGGCAGCTAGTGGAGCATGTGGGCTGCTTGGAGCGGGACATACAAAAAAACCTCAGCCTACAGGCCCAATTTAAAGAGGCCAACCAGGAGCAGTTACCCAAGGAGGGATCCAGCGATCAGGTAAACACTAAACCTGGTTAACCAGAAGAATTCCATTTTTAGCATTAACTTGTTCCCTGTTAGAATGGCTTAAAGGAAGAACTAGCTGCCTTGAAAGAGCGCATCGCCGACTTGGACTTTGAGCGCCACGAATTCCAGCTGAAGATCAAGTCGCAGGACGACCAGCTTCAAATCAAGGAGTCCGCTCTGGCTGAGTTGGAACAGCAGCTCGACCGCCTGCAGGCCGAGCAACCGGATCAGACAAAACTGCTGGCCACCATGGAGTCGGACAAGGTGGCCGCCTCGCGAGCACTAACGCAGAACATGGAAATGAAAAATCAACTAGACGAACTTCAACAACGATTTGTCCAACTGACGAACGACAAAGCCGAGCTGGTCATCCGTCTGGATGCAGAGGAGTTTGCCAACCGCGAGATCCGCCAGAATTACACCAACATGGAGCAGAAACTGCACGCCAATGAGGAGCGCTTTAAGTTCAAGGACGAGGAGATGATCCGTCTATCGCACGAAAACGTAGAACTTCAGCGTCAGCAGTTAATGATGCAGCAACAGCTAGATCGCCTGCAACACTATGAGGTGGGTATTATATTTCAGCTGCTCTAGGAAATAAAAATAACTATCATATTTTTAGGCCAAGGCTTATCATAGCCAAGAAGGAAAACAAAGGGAGGACGGTGGAGATGCCCCGGTAAATGAGTCTGATAATCCGACGGATCATGGACATCTTGGACACTCACACGTTCACCCACAGGACCATTCACACGATCACGCACATGAGCATCAACACGATCGCTCTCCAGAGCATTCCCACGATCATTGCAATGATCATCATGTTCACGATAATTGTCATGATCATGCCCACGATAATTCTCATGATCATGACCACGATCATGCGCAAGGTTATGCCCACAATCACGACCACGGACCAGCAGGCAAAACCCTTCCCACGGCTGAAGCAGTGGAACGCTTGCAATCGCGCTTCACCACGCTGATCAGCCAGGTTGCCGACTTGACGGAGGAGAAGCACAGCCTTGAGCACCTGGTACTGCAGCTGCAAAGCGAAACCGAAACCATTGGCGAGTACATTGCCCTTTACCAAACACAACGGCGCATGCTGAAGCAGCGCGAGTATGAAAAGGCCGCACAAATGCGACTTTTACAAGCGGAACGGGAGCAGCTGCGTGAAAAGATCGAGGCGCTAAACAAGCTGGTGGTCAGTTTGGGCGTGGAGCTGCCTCAAGATCCCGGCCAGTCACAGCAACAAGAAGCGACCGCTAATACCGAACAGCCAGCTAACGAGGGCGAGAACTCGCAGCAGATCATTAACAAAATACAGGACATTATCAGCGAGATCAAGGAGAACACGGAGCAGCCGACACACAACCACGCAGGCGATCATCTCAACTGCTGCCTGGGCAAGTTTGAGGTGGTCTAGAAGATCGGATGTCGCTTGCCCGCAAAGTGCAATTATCGCCTGCTTACGTAAAATCATTAACTTTTGCTACTGTATTTTAATGTATTTGTACTTTGGTCCCCCAGAGTCTTTTGTAAATGTTTCCAACGATGTGTCCGAATAAACCTAGTTTGCATCTAAGACGAATCTATACTTAGCCCAACAAAATGTATTACCAAACATTCAACACAAAAGTTGTTTTATTCACACTGAAAATTGTTCTTACAGGCAATCTTATAAAATCTTATTGGCATCTTTGGATGATGATAATGATTATGTTCCTTAAGGTACGATCCGACACATTACTTGAGTTGGCTAAAATTCAAAGGTTTTATTAACGTAAAAATGAGGATGGTCTGATGAGTTCAAAAATTGATTAATAATCATAAATAATATAATGGAATACAAAAAAAAGAGTAAAATGGGTAGTGTTATCTATTTTTTGACATTTCCATTTCGCAATTTGTTCCTAAGGCTGGGCTCCACCAAACTGGTGGGCCGGCAGCTGCGATTAGGCCGTCCGCTGGTGCTGAAAAATGTGCTGGACATTTCAGTTTGTTCCGATTTGGTATGTACCGTAGTTCTGTTTCGTGTTTTTTTAGAAGGCAGCTCCTCGATGCGAAAGGATTTAGGTGTGCTGGTGCTGCCGGCCACTTGGCAAATGCCATTGAACCGGCTTTGCCGCGGCGTGGATCCTATAAAATCTGGAGAGATCCCGGACGAGTGACTGGGCCTAGGAACAGCTAGTCTTGCAAGCTGTATACTCGGCTCCTGCACCGAGTCCTCTTCATTTTCGGAAACGGTATTCCTGGATTTTGCCAGCTGCAGACTCTGCTCCTGCACGGAATCCTCTTCATTCCCGGGAATGTTTAGCCTGAATTTTACCGTCTCTTTCCGCTTACTTAATGTCACCGCTTCCAGCACATTGGTGTCAATTTCCCGGAGAGCTCGCCCACAGGGAGTGGCGGGGGTGTTCCCTTTGGGCGGAGTACCTTCTATGGTAGTGTCACAATAGATGGCTTCACTGGATGAGGAAGCTTCCGATGTGTCATCGTCGCTGGCGCATTCCTCTATGATGCTGAAAAGACGATCGTTCTGCTGGCTGCCGTCAGTCTCTGTCTCCTGATTCTTGTCACATTGCTTGTGCACTGGGCTTTCTACATAGCTGGAATCTTCGCCAGATTCGTCTTCGTCGAACATAAGTTCCGTTGGCTTTCGAGGCTCAAGTTTATACTGTATGCAAAACAAATATACAAGCGTTAGCTAAGGAATTTTACAATTATATGCCGAGTTACCTTGTTGTTGGTACAGTTTTCTGGTGCCTTGGTGGCCTCCACTTCAGCATGCACAGTTGCAGAGGAACGGCGACTGGTAGGCGAAATTGTACTGTCCATCGAATTGGTTCTCGTGGGCGAAATGGTTCTGGTGGTGCGGGCCAAACTGATGGTCTGTCGCATATCTCTGCAGATCTCCTTGGAGCTGCGACGCTGGCCACTTGGTCTGATCGGCACATCTGGCGGCTCCTGCCGCTCAGCTAGGCAGTCGTTCTCCACATTTAGGCGCTGCATGAGGTCCCTCACGATGCTGATGTTACGAATCCGCTGGCGATCGTTCTGCAAGACGTGTTCTTCCCGCAGATCCATGTTCTCGCGCTCCAGCGCCACCATTCGCTTCCTGTACTCGCCTATCTCCAGGCGCTGCTTCTGCACCTGCTCCATCAGTTCCGCGTTTAAAAGCTTGTACTGCTGCTCTATTTTGGTCCCCATTTTATCGTTTATCCCATTTACGAAATCCAGACAGACGCCAAAGGCGAAGCTTGTTTTGAATTTTATTTTAGAGTGACCGTGGTTGGGGTTGTAAAATATACCATTGTTTTGGAATATCTGGCAGCATCAAGAGCAAAACAAATCAACTTGTTTCCACATACTCGATCCAAAATAGTTCTTGTTAAATTGCCAAACAGATGACCATCAAAACTTGACTTGTTTTCAGTTTTAAAACTAAATAAAATTTCTATTTGCATTGTTGTTTGTTAATTAGTGCTATTGAATTGCTGAAATTTTCTGGAGATTAGATTTTTATGGAACCGTCGCTTAAGAAATACCACATGTATACCTCTAGTGTACTGTAAATATACGTGAATAGTGGAATCCGGGTATTAAATGGTATTTTTTGAAGAAGAAAGTTTGCTTTGGTATATTTTTGCTGGTCGAATTCACAAAGTCATCGGTCACACTGGCAGCCAGCAGCACAATAAATTTTTTGTTTTCTCAACCGATTGCGACGAAAATCCCGATATCCAGAGCAGATAAACGATGCTGCAGCGCTAGGCCGTTAAATCGAAGTAAATTGACGTTTCGGGAAATGTTGGATACCTTAAGGACCCCGAGAATCACACGAAATCAAAAGGCTGCTCACCTGCCAGTGTGTGCGTGTGTACATGAGTGAGAGTGTGCCGTCGCAGTGTGCGTGTGTTTGTGTAAAAATGAAAATCAGTCAAATTTGTTTGTCGTTCTACGTCTTTTAGGCATTTAGGCGACCAGCCAGACTTTTACACATTTCTACAAATATTCCAAAACTGGGAGGGATTATTCTGGGGCACATAACACGCCACGCACCACATACAACACCTGCCCACATAAGAACGATCCAACCAGGCAACCAGCCCGCGGAATATAAAATTCATTTGGATTCGCAAGGCATTTGGAACCGCCTGCTATGCTGTTTCATCTTCGCTCCTTTGTTCGCCAGAAAACAACGACAAACACCTGCTGAAAACTGTAGATCGCTAACAACCCAGAGATCCGAGAACTTCATTCACAGAAGCAAAAGCCCCAGTCGAAAACAGAAACCCGCTTCAAGGTGAGTCTGTTTGTAAATCCAACCCGTTTGTTTCTGTACTCACTCCGCTGATTAAGTGCATCCGAACCCCCGAGTAGTGAAAACTTATCGGATGGGCTTATCAAACCTACCTATGTATTCGCATGGCGCCTACATATTTGGTAATTTATGGAACACTCAGTGTCCACTTCGGTGCCTCTTCCATAGACCTGGCCTGGCCATTTTCGCCATCATGTGTGTGCCCAATGATTGTGTGTATGTAAAATTGCATTTGCCAAGATACGGTTATATCTTATGGAGTATGTAGAAGTACACAAAAACTTTTGCAGATACTACTAACTTCAAATATAATACTTAGTTTTTTAAATAACCCCATGCACAAGAACTCGACTATTCATTGTCTGATTAGATTCCAAGTAATTTTGAAGGCAATCTAAATTATGTTCATATGGAGATAAAACTATTGTTATTGTTATTATGTATTAACTTTTTGAATGTGAGCTCTTACTATTTATGACTTATTGAAAAAATATTAAAGTATTAGCACATAATAATAATTTATTGATTTTTTGTAAGAATTTAATCTTTGACAATACTTTGAAGTAAACATGTATTAACATGTATTTTTCCCTGTGTATGAGAACACGAAAAGCAATATTCCACCGTCTATCGGCTGAAAAGGGTGCAATAAACTCGGTCCGCTTTGATTTTTTCTTCTTGTTCCAACAGCGAATGCACTTCGTTTTGGTTTGCTGTCGCTTTGTCTTAATCACATTAAGCAAAACGCCTGGCACGCGACGCTTGACGAAAGCAAGTGCAACAACGCCACCAAATAGCCATAGCAAACACGACCTCCCATGCCACCCCATCACTGACCTACAAAGAGTGCATTGCTCGGCCGTCGAAAAAAAAACTATATTCTCTGGCTAGGGGTTGATTTACTTGCATAGGCAATGCCACAGATGCGAGTGCGAATTGTGACGGTTGAAGTTTGACGGTATGTCATAATCTGAGTGCTTACTAAAGCTATTTGAAAACATTGCCATAATCACACATGTTTATCGTCTGACTAACAAGCAAATACTTAAATACATGTGTTGGTTGTGAATACTGTTTAAAAGTACAAATTTGTACTGTACCTTAGGAGCAAGAGTGTGCAGCCATCCCCCAAGTGTGAAAGAACTTGCAACTCCTTTCCGTAATTTTATGCATTGCAGGGCAAAAGGGCGCCCTCGGTCGCCCGGGTTCAATGTCATTGGCGTGAGGTAGGCCAGGGCAGCCGTCACTGGGGCCCTATCCCGTCCAGGAGTCTGCCTGCCTGCCGGTCTATTGTCGAGCCCATTATCCATCCCCCACTGCAAGTGCACACAGAAATATCGAGTGCTGCTGCTGCTGCTGCTGCTGCTGCAGTGACACACGCAAAGATCAGAGGGTGTGCTGGCGGAGGAGAGCGGAGGAGAGCGGGCACTTGTCGTCGGCCTTGTGTGCGGCCATTTGTCAGTTGAATTCGTTGTCATGCATTTTTCGAGCACTGCATCACACGAGGCCTGATTGGCACGTAGCGGAGTGGCGGCCGTTACTTGCTGCCTACATTTCTCTGATTTATGCTGCACTTCCTTGTGCAACCTGGAACTGAATCATAAAACTACAGTGGGCCCTCCAGCGACCGCTGTCTGACTTCAGTTTTGAGCCCCATGCCGAGGGTCTCTCGTTTCCCCGGTGTGGATGACTCATAGTATGTGTTTGGTTTTGTTTACATCACTTTAGCAGTTACACTGCAAACAAATTACACTATCTGTAGCAATCTCTATGGCAATAAAATTGAGTTTTTTTTTCCTTACGAAATGATTAAGAGAAAAAAGGTAGCCATTAAAAAGAATATATCAAAATGTGTCAAACTAACTTATGACTATTCGCGCCCATAAAAAAAATCATTTTTTAATTGTTAGGTGTTTAAAGTGGATAGCTGTATCCAGAAGTCTTGGAAGATTGTTAAATTTTATAGTTTATATTAATATAGGAGTAAAAAAAATTGTTTAAGCATACAGAAAGAACAAAAAAGGATTTGATTATGTGCGTGTTCTTTTATCAGGACTAGTATTTACACCTCATTGTGTTTTTTTTTCACACTTTTGTTTAGAAAACTGTGCTATGTGCTGTGTATGCAAAATACCGAACCCAACACCGTTGTTGTCATTGAGTTAATCGTTGTTGTCTCCGCTGATGTTGTTGTCTCGTCTCCGGCTCTTATTATGTGTTTGCGTTAGTTATTTAAGCATTGTGCGACGACGCTGAAAACCGCATTTAAATAAACCCTGCGAACGCCAAACAACAGCAGGAATATCAACTGCAACAGCAAGTGCAACAATGCAATATTTATCTGGTGTTGTGTGTTGGTGCTGACGGTAAGTGAATATGTGCCTTGCATCACACACTCTTAGTAACCGATGAGGTAGCCGATGGGCGATGTGGCGGGGCACAAGCAGAAGCTTCAATTACAAAATGCAAATGCAAATGCAAAATGATGCATGGTGAAACGCTTAGATCAGAAGTAATTCAAAACGCAGTGCTTAGGCTGATTGAAGGCAACGCGATGTGATGTATTCATTTATCATATATGGGATATATACTCAACTGGAGCGATACAAGGTTGCAGTAAGGTTGGGCTAATCGAGGAGCATATGTGTATGGAGTTAACAACTTGTCTAGAAGCAAACAGATGTCAAGCTACCGAAGTATTTCAATCACTTTTTAAATGTTCTTTATTCAATTCTCTCAAATTATGACTAATATAATTAGAAACCAGTTTTAGCTCGTAGGTTTGAGCTTAAACATTCATGAGTCATTTACGGGATCTGAAGAATGAATAAAGAAAATTGCATTTATTAGACCTTTGACCTTTGTGTAGCATATTTAAAATCTGCCGCACAAAATCTTTTTGTGTACCTCCTGAATTAGATTCACCTCAATTACGCTCACCGCAAAATGTTTTTACGTCAGCGGGCCTCTAGTATAAACGGTCATTCACAAAAAATTATATACAAAATCGTCGTGGATGGGCTATAAAAACATTGGCATAAGAAATGGTTGCGAGTCGTGTTGTCTTCTGCATTTGTTGCTGCGAGTTATTTGCACGGCGGTCACATACTATTATCGTACCGCTTGGCTTTTGGAATTTCAATGATGCGGCGACCAGCTTCCCCTCCCTTTGAATTCATCAAAAGCAACAGCTGGCACGACTTGCAATTGAAATGTAAATGCTAATTGTTAGTCCAACGGTTTTGGCTTTGTGTAATTGGAACTTGGCCACAGCTAAACGACAAAAATAAATTAAAGAAATTGAAAGCAAAAGTCTCTGCACTTGTGTGGCCAATTAATTTATCAGATTGTGTGTGTATGTAAACTGGTTTTTGCCTTAAGAACCATGTATGTAGAACCTCAATGAGTCACAGGGCAATTTACATTTACATCTCAACCTCCAACTGATTCAAAGTCTGACACATCTTGGTCTGTTTCAAGTAGATTTTAGGTTCCTTTTAAATATTACATGATAATTCAGGATTGGTTAAAATAATCCAAAGCTTGCCAAATCACAAATCCAGAACATCTTATTCCGAAACCAATCTTAGAACCTTAACAGCAATGAAACATTTGCGTAAATTTCCAAGTAAACAAAACGATGAGCTAAACGAAAGACAAGTGAGTCAAAGAAAACACAGTCAAGAAAAACCTCAGAAAAATTACCATCATTAAGAGAACTGGGGAGCTGACTAAACTGTCGCAGCAGAAATCCGACTGGGGGACACTTTGTGGCCTGACTTATACAACTTGCGCCATCTCTTGCGGTTACTGGGTGTTTGGGTGTTTGGGTATCGGGTATTGTCTTACGGAGCGTTTCCAATGGGCGTGCTGAGCAGTTAACACCCAATATTTGACTTACATAATGGCCGGCACTGGAAATGAGTTTTGACAGTCGAGCAATTTGTTGCTAGCGTGCCCGGAATATGAGTGCAAATGGAATGGGCAGGAGGTTTGATTTCCGCGCTTTGATTCAATTTGATTCGATGTCGTCCCATCCCTCGATGTCGTCGCAACACGCCCTTGTTTATATGTGCATTTGGGGCAATTAACCTGATGACAGTTTATTGGGGCAATCCGAAAGCGTTCTTCCGGACTCTGGGGAGAGGTGGTCAAAGTGGCGACACACCTCAGAAACGTTAATTGAATGTAACCCGAGGATAAGAGCAGGAGCTAAAAACAGGACCATAAGATAAGCCAAATTGTAGGAAAGCCAATATGGAATCGGCCAACAGAGTGACTCATTTCCCATATCGGGAAAGAAATTGCTGAAGACCGCCGATTTCAATTAATCGATTTGCTGTCGTTGAACTTCCATATCAATAGAGGTTTATAAGTAAGGAATATACATTTAAGTATATTGGGAATTAATTGGGTGCGTGGCACAGTCATAAAACTGCCCAAAGCTGATAATCCAAATCCTAAGAATGGTACCAAGATCGAGTTTAATGGGAAACAAAATGATTCAGGTCCGGCTTTTATCTGCTTCGAATTTCTCTGGAGATAGTTTTTCCATGATACAATAGTTCAATTGGGCTTGGGGGTATTTAACTTTATAAAACACCGCTTAACTTATCAGTTTTATAGTTATGGAACTCAGTCTGCTCTGTAATCGACCCATCAAATTTGTTTTCAAACAAAATTCTTTTATTTTTTTGCCAAACCGTAGTGTCTGATAAGATATAGCCACTTTATAAATACCTCGGGTCTTATGCTTTAAATTTCCAACGAACTCGTTAGCTTATGAATCATTATTGAAAGCTAATATTTGACAGTTTGGGGATTTTTTTATAGATTAACCATTGCAAATAAAAAATATGAATATGTCAATATTTAAATCAAAAATTAGAATGAGTAAAAGGAAGTCATTCTGTTTATCGAGCAACATAAAATTATATAAAACATTTGCAATTTTTTTAGATTAACTATTGCAAGTAAAAAATATAAAATAGAAAGAAGTCATTTAGTTTTTGAAGCAACAAAAAATTATCAAAACATTTTTTAGAAATTCTTTCAAAACTCATAAAATTTGATGGCCCACAAACTGAATTTTGATATTAGATTTATATACTATATAAAAGTAATATTTAGGGTCAATAATAAAAAAAATTCGAATATTTGAATTTTACTGGCTCATATTTTAAAATTAACTGAAAAACATATTCTCAACTATCGATCCTATTAAATCACATTACAAATTGTTTTACATATTTTTATTTCCGTGCAGCGGAGGCCAATTTCCCCTTCACAACAGCAGCTGCCCAAGCTGTTCAATTAAGCGACAATCCGTCTGGGTGAATCAAGCTGAATTGAGTGATTCATCCGCGGCGGAGGCCAGAGAAGGGAAATCGCAGTGGACAGCAATTAAGGAGCTGCCGGTTTCCAGCAGACCTGTCCCACTGTGCCACTTTAATGAGTCAAGACCGCCGGGCATTTCGCACGTTTTGCTGCCCGACAGGCTTTACGGTTTGGCCTTTCTTCTGCAGATCTTCTTCTGCAGATCTGCACATCTGCAGATTCTTCCCATCATCATCATCTGGGCTGATGACAAGTGCGGTCTGCAATTGTGGTTTCTCTTTGTCTGGGCTTCTGGGCTTTGTCTCCGTCTCCGTCGCTTGATTCCATAGCCGTCGCAATAGCCGTCACATGGAGCCAGCTGTGACGTCAGACGTGGCTAATTTTATTTTTATCAATGTGTTCACTGTTGAGCCCCCCCGATATCTCTCTTCCTCAGAGTTTTACTAGCGACTCTCCCTGGGTCTTTGGTTTCTCTGTTTGAATTTATCGCTGGGGCATCGCATGCGCGGCCGTTGGAGCTCCTCAGTTGGAATTCAACTTGCGAACTGAGCGCAACGCGCGTTTCACTCAAAAACTTAATTATATATATATATAACACCAAAAAAAAAAAAACACTTTTGTTTACGTGCGTGTGTGAAAAAGCAGCGTTGAAAAAATCAACTAATAATACAACAAATAAATTAGCGGAAAACGGTTTTTATCAAAACGTAAATAAAGCCCCGAAATGTTGATAGTGTTTATCAAGAAATAAAACGATTTCGTGTGGAATTCAATGAGCGTTGAAGGCATTTTGCATGCGTTGCCTTTGTAGGTTGTTCGAACACTTGGGTCTGATCATCATTTGTGTGAATTTGTATCCGTAATCGTAGCCACGCCAGCTCATCCAGGTGATCCCGCGTCCCGAGAGCTTGGGCTCAAATCTGCCACCCTCCAAGTATTGACCATTAAGATTACTGAAAGGGAAAACAGATAAATATGCCAACAAAAAGTTCTATTTCACTTACCTCCTCTGACACTGGTCGTACCACCAGGCGCCCACGTACATCCTGGCACATCCGTGACCCAAGACATCGTGATCAAACGTGGAGAAGGGTTTGCCCTTGTGGTACTTCAAGGAGTCGCCAGCATCTCCTGAGTACTTACCCAAAACCGAAAGCGCATAGGACTCGGAAGCATTGCCAATGGCAAAATCATCGTAGAGGGCGTCGTGAATTTCCCCATCAAAATCCATCATATAGACATAGAGCTCGTAGGGTTCGGCAGCAGTAAGAAAATGTAGTTTCTCCAAGCCCAGAAAAAATTCTCCGTTGAGATCGCCAAATCCTTGGGTATACTCCTCCCAACTGCGGTAGAAGTTTTCATTTCCATCTTGACGACGCTGAATGACCGTCCATCCAGATCCCGCCAGTCGAGTGTCACAGGAAACCGAAAAGGGCTCCAGGCCAGGCACTTCAATGACATGGATGCCGTTTGTGTTAATTCCAGCAGCCAGACAGGAGGAGGGATTAACCACTGCTGGAATAGAGATAAAGATTGAATTAATAGTAGTCCAAAAACAGATGTAAATATCTCATTCTTGCCCTCATAATGTTCTTTCTGTGGTGCCAACTCAATGTAGCTCTGTTTTAGCTCTTCCAGCTGCGTTTTAAGACTGAAAAGAGGTATTTAAAAATCAAAAAGCATAAAACCAATTTGTAATGCCCACTTGGCAACAATTCCTTCAGCTTTGTTGAAGACAGTTTCCAAATTATTGCTTTGGCCATTGGAAAAGAAGCGATCACAGCTTAATAATAAAACGCAAAACATATAAAGCTTCATGATCTAGTCTCGTTCCTTGTTCCTACCAATCTACATTATAGAGATTTGTTAATGCTTCTCTGTAATAAATTTCTATAGTAGGTAAATATAGTTCGATTGCATTATCAATTGCATTGAAAAATCGTAGGTCAAGTTTGCCATAGCAGATAGAAAAACAGGAAATTGAGAAAACCAAACGATTTCATTGAACACTACAGTATATTTTGCGTTCCTGTTTGAGATTCCGATTAATGGTGCTTGGCAAAACTGTGATGATTCAATGACAACACATTTTGCATATTAATCAAGTACATAACAAATTGTTTTCACGTTGATCTTGAAGCCATTAAACCAAAGGGAGTAAACAGCAAACGAGTATAATATATTGTGGAAACGCCTTGTCAAGAGTCAGTCAATGGTGAATCACGGGTACATTTCGGCACTTGGGTCGTATCAACATTTGGGTGATTCTGTATCCATAGTTGTGGCCACGCCAAGAACGCCAGCACATGCCCCTGGCAAACAATTTCTCCTCGTATTTGCCACCGGGCATATACTGGCCATTAAGGTTGCTAAAATAATGAGGTAAACATTACCATTGTTTAGAAAGCTTTCATTAGAGTGTGCAAGTGGTCTCACCTATCCAGACAGGCATTGTACCACCATCCCCCGAGATAGTAGAACGCACAGTTCCTATTAAACTCACGATCGTTGTCCCTGTCGTAGGTGGAAAACTTCATTTTGCGATGCGATCGAAGGGAATCACCTGCAGTACCGGAATACTTTCCCAGTGCATTCATAGCGTAGTCATCCTCTTCGTTTCCAATCGCAAACTCATCGAACTTTGCGTGTTTTATTGTGTCATCAAAGTCCTCCAGATGGATATACAATTCGTGGGGCTCCAAAGCAGTCAAGGCACGAATCTTTTCGAGACCAAGAAAATACTCATCCATTAGATCTCCAAATCCACTCTTGTACTCCTTCCAATTACGAAAGAAACTAAGGTTTCCACTGAATCTTCTCTGGATCACAATCCATCCGGGACCAGCTAGTTTATTTTCACAGTACACTTGAAATGGACTCAAGCCCGGGACTTCCAGGGTATACAAACCATTTTCATAGACTCCTGAATTTAGACAGGAAGTGGGAAATACCTCCTTTGGGTTTGTATGTGAGCTGTCATTAGTTTGGGATTGCAAAAGTGCCTCCTTTAAACTGAGGAACACAAACAGTTTGCACTCAGTTTACTTTTTTTGTCCACAACTTACCTGGAAAGTACATTTTCTGACTGCTCATAAATAGCATCCAACTTTTCAACTATATTCAGCGTCTGTCAAGGGTTTGTTTTATTTAATTTTTGCAACAGTTTTCTTTCAATACCCTTTTTAAGCTTACCTCTGCATGACAAAATGTCATCAAATGGAATGTAATGGAAACAGAGAAACGAAACCAACCAGTGAACCTCATTTCGACAGCGAATTGATTGGAATATAGTGATTTGCAATTCGCTAAACATTTTAATGCACAATGGGGGAATAGGAATTGGCTTTGTTTACGTGCCGTTTCTTATCAGTAGCTGCCTTCCAAATCACTTGATTATGATTTCTTGATAATTATTTAGAGCTTTTAATTTCCATTCACTGAATTCTTTCTGCGAACTCAGTGCGATTTAGAAAGGTTGCTCGAAACTCAGCTGAAGAAATTTTAATTGAAGACAGTCAGTCGAAAAGGTGATCAAAACAAAGTGTGTATATACACACATATTTTAAGATCTGTTCGGATCACGTGGGATTGCCTGGTTTGGTTTCAGTGGGCTGTCCCAGTTCATTTAAAACTGTGCTGTTTTACGCGCCGTTTGAGCTTGAAATTTCTTATTTTGGTTTATACCTTTTCATAGGGGTATAATGAAATGAATAACTTACTCGCATTAGTTATGATAAATTAAACTATTTTTTATTTTGTTTATTACTTACTGTTTAAACTACTTGCTTAACCAAAGTTTATAGTTTAGGCTAATTAAATAAATAAAATCATAGAAAACCAAGACTCTTAATAAATACCGAAAACTAGAGAATTTCAGGCTTCGGTGCCTTCACATCTCTTGGTCTCTTTATCGAGGCGTCAATCTGAAGACAACAGAAAACATGACATAAATAATAAGTATAGAAATTGTATTATAAACACCCAGCATGTGTGTGTGCTACGGTGTGTGTGGGTGGTGACAGCGGACTTGGCTTTGGAAGTCGCTTGATGAACGCAGAAGTGTTAGCCAGTCTTAAGTCAAAGCTTCGCAGAGGCGGACGAAGAATTCGTGGACTTATCAGAGCTCAAAGATTCGTATTCGTATTCGTATAAACGCATATCAGAAATGCGATTGAAGCGAAGTTCCAAGCAAAAAGTACAATCATTAAATTCATGCTAATGAAGAAAGCATCTTAAATATGATACCCATTAATTCACTTATATTAAAGAAACATATCAAATTCCATATCTATTCTATGTGCTATTGCTGTTGAGAAATACTTTGTGATTCTGTGTTTTTAAACACCATTTAAATAATGTTTTGTCCTTTTCGTTTTAGATGGCCATACCGCCACCACCGGGACCACCGCCGCCGCCAGGACCTCCACCGCCTCCGGCGATGGGTGGTCTCAAATTGGGCGGCGGAGGAGGAGGAGGGGCAGACATGCGATCCGCCCTGCTCAGCTCGATCCAGAAGGGAACCAAGCTGAAGAAGACCACCACGGTGGACAAGAGTGGACCGGCGTTGTCTGGCAAGGTTTGTGGGGCAGATGGCGGCGGAGGAGTTGGCGCCAAGCGGACCCTTAACAACAACAACAACACCAGTACCAGCAACCACAACAATAGCGGCAGCGGCAACAGCAATGGCCTTGGCAATGGAACCCCCAAACTGGGAGGCCTGTTCGAAGGCCTCTCGCAAATGCCAAAGCTGAAGCCCGTGAACGGCATTCGCGGTACGTTTACTATATTTTTTTTTTATGCAAATAAACGTTGTTGCTCAACTGATTTCCGTTTTCCGCCCACGCAGCAGCACCATCCAGCGGTTTAGCAGCGGCGACGGCAACAACGACATCGAGGTCCACAACGAACTCGGCGGCCCAGCAGCGGAGCAACAGCCCGCCGGCCGCGGCGACCGCCTCGAATGCCAGCAGCGGACCCCTGGACTTCAACACGGAGCTCACCAAGCATTTAACGCTGAAGCGCCAGAAACAGCAGCAGAATCAGCCACAGCCGCCGGCAAGCAACACACATATCAACGCAACAGAAGCAAATCTGAGAACAAATCGGGGACCACCACCACAACCGCCGAAGGTGAGGGATGGACCCATGGCGAGATAGATGGTTGGGATCCCCTATAAATAGCCGTTTTGGGGGGAGTTGTTTAGCTGCTGATAGGGGTTTTTCTCACGAATGGAAAGCATATTAAATTCATAATTAGGATAGAGAAGAATATGATACTCAAACATAATTAATTCTGTAAAGTAAGAGAATTCGCAGGGAAAAGTCTGTATATGTCCATTTAAAATTCCACTTGTTTCAAGTAGGAGAATCGATGTAGTTCTATTCAAGGTTGTAGTCATTTTTAGTAAGAAATAGGTAATTTTAAAGTACAAAGTTGGGGTAAAGATATAATGGCCAAGAGGTTACACAAGTTTTAAGAAAATGTTGTATATTAACAGAATTTTCAGTAATTATCTAAACTTATAAGGTTTAAAATTTGTTGGCATATTTTTAAAAATAATTTCTTTCAGTGTTTATAATGTGTTGAGAGTATATAGCAGATATATCCCCTATAGAGATTTTATGTACCTTAGAGTCCCACAAATTGGCTAAACTGACGCTTAAATATGCTACCGGTTAACCTTTAAGAGACTTTTGAAAAAAATGCCGCTTACTTAAATACGAGTTAAAAAGGTTTCTGAACCTTTTATCAGCATAGCGCGTTTCTCATAAAAACAGATTAGTTTGAAAGACAAATTTGTTAAACTCCTGAAAGGTATTTACTATTGTGGAACAGAATGTGTCGCTCGCAATCCCATTGTCAACGCAGCTAATCCCAGCATTGTTCTTTATTTCTTTGCCATCGCAGCCAGCCAGCTCGAGTGATTCGATCTTGGAGCGCATGAACATCCCCCGCACAGCGCCGACGCCCCCCTTCGCCGCCAGTTCGAGTGTCAAAGCGGCATCGCCCACGCTCTCGGATAGCGGCAGCAGCGGGAGTGGAAGCGGTAGTGGGAGTGGAGGTGGAAGCGTCAAGAGCAAGGCGGCCAACCTGAAGTAAGTGTCATCTTCTGGCCACGAGCAGCGCAAATGATTGGTTTCTGGCTAGTGGGTCTCAAGTCTGCAGTTTTTTTGGAATATGATGTGATATTTCATTTGTATTATAAGCCATATTATACAGGGAATTCTTAAACATTCCTTTGGTTTTAAACAGTAATTTGGTACTTTCACATACATCAACTCATACACTTTTATTTTAGAATGCCAAAAGGTTTGGTTCATACAATTCCATTACACAAATTCCAATTAAACTGCAGAAAAAGACCCCTTAATCTAACACTGCCTGCCGTTTGGGATGGTTATATGTTTTGGTTTTTCATTTGTACAATATTCGTTAAAGTTTCTCTTGATTTTCTTCTTTATTTTCGGATTACTTTTGGACGGGACTTTGTGGTTATCCTCGCACACAAAACACACACACACATACACCGAATCCCACCCACAGTATCTCGTTAGGCAATAGTTTTGTAAATAGTTCAAAGACAACCACGAGTGCCTCGACCACGTCGCTGAACTCCAGTCAAACGTCATCGACGGGATCGCTGCGCAGTCTGGCGCCCAACAAGTCCACATTGTTCGGCGGCAGCGGTGGTTCTAGTTCCGGATCAGTTTCTGGTGGTGGTGGTTATGCAACCGTGCAGAAGTCCTCACCGCCCTCGACGGCCGACAGCACGCCATCGGTCACGCCCACACCGCCCATGAAGCCGGCCATCAGCTTTGGCAAACCCAATTTCGCCCCGAAGCCACCGGGTCTGAACCAACTGGCGCTGGCCAACGGACAGCAGCGGCCGGCGGTGACCAGGCACCACAGCATGAAGTCGCCCAGGTATACCGATACAGATACAGATTCAGCCATATCAGCTACAAGCTTCAGTAACCCATAATCCAGCACCGCTGCTCCCGCTCTTCTGCTTTCGTCAAACTCACTTTGGGGTTTGCCTTGCGCTTATGCTTTTCTTATTGCTTTTTGCTTTTTGCTCTGCAAATAAGCCATGATTGGTGATCAATATTAAAACCAACCGTTTACCGTTTACTCTTTCACAGATCACCGCCCGCTGCTGGCAGCCTCAACGGTCCCGTGTTCCCCACCCAGCAGCACTTGGGCACCCTGCGTGGCCCACTGCAGTTGCACAGCGGCGAGTCCGGCGGCCACAACACCAGCGCCGGCAGCATGCGATGTGCCCCCAACCCGCCAAAGTGTAAGAGTCCTATTCTTAACAATCACAGCTTAGAGAACTCAACTTTGACCATTACTTTGTTAAATTTAAATGAAATTGCTTCAAAGAGATTTGCCTTAATTTAGGTATTTAACAAAAATAATTCGTTAAGATTACAAAAGTCTTATACAACATATCATGTAAACGACTATTTAACCATTCCACTTGAATAAGCAGCCCCAGTTTCATTTTACTGATATTAAAATTAGAAAAATTTTAAATAGGTCAAGGAGGTTTCATTCAAAGATTGTTTTAACAAAAGATTTAACAAAAAATATTTTTTATAATTTAACTAACTTTTTTCTATTTATCTACTATCTATTTAAAAAAGGCACTGATATAATTAAAAAACAGAAAAGATGATATGAGCTTTTAAAAACAATTAAGAGCCCTGCAAAAATACACTTTGATGTGTGAATTTCAAGTCAAGCAAGTCAAGGAATGGAATTTATAGTGACATACGACTTTATAAGTGATTTCCAGTCACCCCATCATTTGGTCGTTTTAAAGTGAACCCTTTAATTTATCGATGATTATTTTTGAAGCAATTGATTTTTAGGGTCAAGGTCGAAAAACCTTCGATAGACCCTGTGTTTTCGAAAGTCATACATGCCTTTGATTACTTTACAAATTACTTTACAATCTGCTTCTGTGGACAAATGTAATTTTACTATATATATTTATACCTGATCAATAGTCAAGTCGTCTGCCTGTTTGAATGAAGTTCGAGGCCTCTTAAAGTATAACTTACCAATTATTTTTATGCCTACGCAGCGCAGGTTTATTTTAAAATCGTTAAATTCTGTCATGTCACTTTGAGACATGTTTTGAGGTCAGAGGGCGGACTATGTTATATACCGTCAAAATGAACTATTATTTTAAAAGTTTTGAGCATAATTGTAAATGTTTGCATAGTATTATAGCTAAAACTCGATTGGTTTTTGGTGGCTTATGTTATTTAGAATTGGTTAACTGAGTAGGAGTATCTATTAGTCTGAGGACTCGACAAAAAGCTTTCCTTTCCTTTTTTTCATGGTCAAATAACTTTTTTGTTAATTCGAGTCTTCTTATGCAGGGCCTTTTAACCTATATACGAAACCCCAAATAAGTTATTTTTAAATATTTATGTGCAGCTCGCCCATCGGTTAAACCCCCGCCACCGCCCACGCCGGCCCGCAGCTTCTCCAACAGCAACCTAAACAACATCGGCGGATCGGCGCCGTTCAGTGCGGTGAACACGACTCTCGTCCAGAGCTCGGCCATGACCACGCAGGCCCCGTCGCCGCCCATCACGCAGCCGCCCTCCTCCTCCAGCAGCAGCAGCAGCGTGGCCGCCCTCCGCGACCAGTTCCGCGGTGGCGCAGCCATGTCCAATGGGGCACCATCGCCACCACTTCCGCCGACGCCCGCGCCCGCCCCCACCTCCAGCTCATCCTCAGCCACCGCCAGTCCCAAGTCGCTGCTGCGCGACAATGTCAAACCAATTATCCTCAACGGAGGTCCTCTCAATCCGCCAGCGCCGCCACCGCATCGCAGCTGCCCACCTCCGCCGCCTCCACAGCGACAGTCGAGCAATGTGAGTAGCCACGGCCACGGCCACCATTCAAGCAATAACAATGGTCCACAACAACAGGTTGGCCCAAAGACCAGGGGTGAATTTAAATGGAGTTTTTGCTCAGAGCTAAGCAGAGAGTCAGGATGCCATGTTAATGAAATCAGGCGTAGAGTATAATGTTTAGATTTGGCTAAAAGTTGCTAGAACTCCTACTTGTTAGTTTTAACAATGTGTTAAGGAAAAGGTTAATACAAGTACACTGGAAAGTGAGTAAGACATACAGCCCATAAGTATTTTAGTGTCAAATGGGAATTAAATATGATATTGGAGGTAGTGGGTTTATAGGGTCAATCTGCGAACCTATCCTAAAGTTTGGCATCCAGCTTTGCGCAGTGCATGTGTTGATTGCTTTCTCCCCATCCACCCCATCTTAACGATTTTGATTGCGATTCTCCCTGCGCCTGCGCTCCACCTGGTTGTGAGCACTCCTGGCTGCGCACTAACCGTCCGTGTCAGTCCGAACGAGTGTTCCGTTTATAACTCACCTATTTTCGCGTTGAGCGGGGCGGATTGATTTTCCAAAATCGAGAGACGTTACCAAAACACAGGGCCCGTGCACACAACCCATTGCCTTGAGCGAATCCCGTGGCCCAGTGGCCCGCACTCATGAGCTCCTCCATCAGGACCAAGTGAGGCGCTGGATGTGCAAGACTCTGGGCTCGATAAGGCAGATAGTCCGTCTAGAACGCCAAGGGAAGCACGGAGGGCAGCCAGTCAAGGTTATCAGAATGCTGATGCTTAACAGCAAGCGCAACGTAACTACAGGCTATATGCTAGTCCCCCCCTCAAAACCAGTGAAATCAAACTTAAACTCTTATTGTCTTTTGCAGGGTGGCTCCGGATCGGGATCAGCGCCAGTGCCACCGCAGCGACACTCCTCCATTAGGCCCAACGCCCCATCGACGCCACCCACGCACATGGCCAACTCTTCGCATCAGTTTGGCAGCAGCTCGGGATTGTCGTCGGGATCCGGTTCAGGTTCGGGATCAGGATCGGGAGCAGCAGGAGCTGGAGCAGGGGCCAGCGTGGGTCGCCTGGTCAACGACTTGGAGACGAAGTTTGGCAAGCGATTCCACAACGTCACCGAGTTTCCCAAGCCGCCGCCGTTTCTAAGCATACACAAAGTGTATCCTAGTCGCACGTTTAAGGCCACCAACGGTATGTAGTGCAGTGTGTGAGCGAGTGTGTGTTTGTTCTGTGAGTGTTTTTTGAACTTAGTACATACTGATTTAGAAGCATATGTAACTGCGATTATTGTTATATGCACACACAACACCACACCACACACCACATGGAATGCTGTTATATAAGTAATTGTTTCTTAAGGCACACGCTCTGGCATTTTAGTTTCGAACTTGAACGATACATACAACGATTTTTATCTCTACATAATTATAGTTTAAAATGTGTATTACAACTATTATAGAATACTATTAATAATATTGTTTACAAGGGGAAGCCCAGCATACAATCCGATACAGCATACGCATATGTTAAAGCCCGCAGAGTTTAGGAATCTATTTGATTATTGTTGTTTATTTTACTGTTAGCAGAAGTGCGGAAGTAATTGTTTAAAACGTAGCGGGAGAATGTTATTTTGTATATTGCATAATACTAAAGTTGAATAGCTTTATCCAAACATTATATATTTTATACCATTTAATGTTATACTTTGTTAAACTTCAAAAGGGAAACGAAACGGAAGCTTTCCCCTTCGCGATATTACTACTAAGCACACACTCTATTATTACGCATAGTTTTTACGTTAACTAAACTTCTATAAACTTTATTTGTACGTGTATATGTAAACCGAAGCCGATCCATATTGCATTGTACTCCCCACACATTTCTCTTACATGTAGCGCATGCTTTTACTTGTACCCCGGCTATCATTTGATATATATATATTGTACCTATGAACATCTCTATATATACACACACATATTTTACCCGATGAATATTTAATTTTTAGTATGCGACAGGCACATTACGAGTAATTGTTTGTTTTAGTTTTGAAGTTATCTTTTGAAGAAACAATAAACCAAAATTCGTTTGGATAATATACATAAACTTGCTTCATTTTGTTTCATTTTGTGTTTCAATTTTTCTCCAATTTTTGGGCTGCCATGGAGGAAGATGTCTTCGTTTGGTTATTGGTTTGAATATCATTTGTCCGTTGAATAGTGGTCATCAGATTGGATTGATTAGAAGGCCATTACTTTCTATTTGTTACGAACTATGTACGACTTTTAAGTGAAAATCCTTACCAATCTTATTTTCAATGAAAACAGGACCTCTTCCTATTTAATTTTCTAAATTAATTTGATCTATACTCGTTTTGTTTTCCTTTCAGCTCGATGGGCTTTAGTTCTTTAAACATTTCTTACATTAGTGTGATTTCCACGACGCTTTTCTTTAGCATTTTGCACTACCAACCACTTGTACGTTTTCGCTAATTTCGCTTGTCTTTATCATTGCAGTTTTTGCTAACTTAGCTTAGCGCATTGTTCGATCTTCGCTATCCTCTATATCTATCCATATTTGTACATATCTCTCTCTCTCCCCGGCCCTTTGATTCTTCCGTAAACAGCGCCCGGAAACAGCAATGTGAACAACAACAACACCGCGGTGGCCAGCAACAATAATGCGACAACGAATCCCAATCCCAATCCTGGAGGTTCGGGAGGAGGAGCAGCTCCTCCAGTGCTGAAGCCGGCCTATGCACCACTGAAGAAGCACCGGGCTCCGGCACCACCGCCTCAAGCGGGCGTGGCAGCCGCAACGGTGTCCGTTATCCGGCAGTCGAGTTTCCTCTACGGCGGAGCAGCAGGTGGTTCCGGTGGCTCCTCTGGCCTACGACCACAATCCCAGCCGGCGGGTATCGGACCACGTAACTCCACCGTCTACTGATCCGAACGAGGCGGCTAATAAACACAGGCCAGTGTGTTTGATTTGTATATAAGTGTGCAAGTGGAGAGTGTTGTGTTGCGTTGTGTGCGGGTGTGTTATGTGCCACAGGCAATTGTTCAAAAGTGCTTAGAATAAACCGAACATAATGGCACACTGAAAATGCGAAGGAAAAGCTTGTTGAAGTCAAAGGCAGGCTTAATCAATAAAAAAAAACCCCAAAATTCGTTAGCGTCTTCCCAGGCTGCAATTAAATAGTTAAAGCAGACAGTGAATTATAAACCCCAATCAAAAATTGTATATAGAACTAGCACCGAGTTAGTGAAATTATCAACAGCATCTATACCTTTTGTACGCGGGTGTAAATGATTGTATGATTAATTTTAGGGGCGCGCCTCTTTGCATAAATATCTTACTAGACTGAACATGTTAAAAAGCCCAACAGCAACAATTAATTAATGTAATTATATACGATATTTAGCATCGATTAATGTACGACTTAATCCCCTAGAGCAATACACACACACACACACAAGAGAAATATGTTAACAATGCATATTAATATTGAAGCACAACCGAGAGCATTTCAACAAAACTCGCTACATTCCATTTTTCGATTTCTCGATTTCTTGAGTTCAATTTGCAATACGAGAGTTCGTGTGATAATCTCCAGAATATTAGGGTATTTATCTGTCATCTGTGGTTCGGTAAACGTTTGTTAAACTCTTTTTTGGACGAGATGACTATTGGAAGTGGAATATAATACACACACATTAATATTATTGTTCTTATTATTAAATTCAATCATTGTTGTTGGACTTGGTGTCATTAGAAGTATTATTCAGCAATTGCATAACATTTTATTCCGAGTCAAAACCATTGCAGTTATAAATAAAATTACAAAGTCATTCAAAAATTGAGCAATTTTTGTGGTTTTTATTGGGTCAAACAAACTGGTAAGCGTTTCTACAAAGCTGTGCCTTGTATTTGAGTAAGTGTAAATGCTCACAAGCCATAACAATTTTAGCCTTATTCTTATTTCTAGTTTAAATGTAGAGTAAAGCCTTTTTTTGGTTACATTTGCTAACAAATCGCACTTGTTCGTATTTAAATACTAAATATGGCTGCTCTTAGGCCACCTCGTTCTTGGTTTTGAGACATTGCACTGCCTCCTGCAGAGCCTGATCCTCGCGTTTGCGTATTCGATCGCATTTCGGACAAGGCTGCTTGTCATTCAGGCACTCGGCATGGAAAACGGCTCCACAGGTCAGGCACTTAAAAAAAAAAAACGTTTAAAATCGTTAGAAACTGAAAACATCGATCTCTGGCAATGTATGTGTCTTACCCTAAAGGTGGTGCTAATGTGAAACGGATAGAGAACCCTGGGACTCTGACAGATCTCGCAGATGAATCCCTTGAGATGGCACAGTCTGCACTTCAGCACATGCGCTTCGCCCAGCTTGAATGCCTTCTGCAGCTGCTGGCACAGTACACCGCGCTGAATCAGCGCCAAATCTGCTATCGAGTACAGGTGGATGTGTTCGTACAGGTATTCCCTGCCCGAGAACTGATGCTGCAGCAGGTCTATGCTGCTCGGAGCACAGGTGTACAAATAGGCCCGTATGAAGTTCAGTCGGATACGCAGGGATTGCAATTCAGCCATGGCATCGGAGGCAAAGTAGATCCTGGGGTTCAGCAGCTGCATGTCCAGGAAGGGGTGTGAACGGAATTCGGCCAGAAAGGTGGCTGCCCGCTTGCTCACGCTGTACTTCCGGAAATCCCAGTTGTAGATGATGCGAGCGGGTATCAGTTGCATCTCCACATCCATGCAGCTGCTGCAGTAGTAACCGCCACTAAAGGCGCAAACTCTTAAGGGGAAATAGTTAGCTATAGTTGGTTGAGAATCGTGGGAATCTAGCTTTATGCTCACTGAAAGTTGGAGTAACCTATGCCCAGTGGGTGCTGACAGCTCTTGCACAGGAATCCCTGGGCATCCAGACCCGGCTCACGTGGTAGCTGGCACAATTGGGCCACCATTTGCTGCAGTTCCACCAGGTCAAATTCGGAGGTGAGCAGCTCGAACTCTGAGTTGGTCTAAGACGGGGAAAATACGTTGTTTTTTTTAAAGTAGTTTTGGTTAAGAAGTAGTTACTCTTGCACTCACATCCAGTGACTGCAGATCACTCAAGTCTTCCGAAACGGGCGGATCGCTCTCACGCTGCGGTTGGGCCACATTCGGGTTTGAAGCACTGGCCCGGAACTTCTCCCAGATCTCAGACCATCCGGCTCCACTCTCCCGGTTGCTCTCATGCTTTCGAAGCAGTGCATTGTAGCTGCACCTGTCCGTGTTGGGGGAACGCAGACTGACGGCGCTACTCACGCTCACAGATCGCTGGAAGAGCCTCGATCCCGATAGATCATCGCTGGGTGAGGTGGGTGTGTGTGCTGTGTCAAGGTCGCCAGACCACGAGGTCTGCATCAGATTGGACAGTGAGTTGCTGCCCTGGGGCAAAAGCAAAAGACTGGGTTTCTCGAGATCCAGTTCGGCGAAGGAGTGTTCCATTTGGCGCTTGGACTTTTCGCGGGTCCTCAGCTTGCTACCCGATGGAACGTCCGGCTCTACAGCTTGACTCGCTTCCGCTCCCGCTTCATCGGGTGTCTGCTCCTCGCTTATCACATCCATCTCGTCGAACTTCTGTATCAGCAGATCAAGGTTCTCGCGCTGGCTGAGATCGGGCACGCCGAAGTTGCCGCTCCGGCTGAAGGGGCTGTTGGAGATGGAGTCCGTGAACAGCTCGTTGGTCTGCAGGGGCTGGGGCGTGGGTATGGCTATGATATCGGAACCCAGGGAACTGGCCACGTCAACGCCGCTGCTTATCTGCAAGGGAAACACTTCATTTAATTGACTTCAAAAGGGAAAAAAGCTGGAGTTTCTCCTATAAGTAATCTTGTACTTGTTCTTATCTCAATATATTTTTAAAACGTGTTCGCGATAATATGGCATACCACATACTGTTCTTACTTCTACGTTTATAGAAGACTAGCATAACACATATTATGTGTTAGGTCAGTTTATAAAATTCCATTTAAAAATCTCTTGAAGAAAAAAATCTTATAACTTGAAAGCTCAATTAATATTTTCATAAAGCCCAGCTCATCCATAAAAATTAAAGTTTAAATTAAACACTTTTGTCATTCCCGACAAGCGGATGGGTATTTAGTTGATAATTCTCTTATTTACGAGTTAGCTAATAATATTAATAATATAATAATCTTAATATTAATTCATAAATTTGAATCTTAAAAGGTTTTTCCTATAAAAGATTCCAAATCAATGTAGGTAAAGCTTACTTTTAAAGACTAGTTTGACCTAAAAGACTAAACTATTCTAAAACTTAGGACTTGGTAGTTCACTATAGTCCCTTAAAGAATAATTCTAAGATAGGATATTCTATTCTGTACGGGCTAGGATTATTTATAAAAGGCCTTTGTGGGTTTTCCCAAAAAAGCATATTATATAAATTTGGATAAAACTTCTTTTAGAGGAATTATTTGACCACAAATATCTAAATATTCTAACACTTGGGCTCACTCCGAAAGAATACTATACAGACATGATACTGGGAGCATTAATTAAGGTATCTAAAGGGAAGTAGGATTAGAATGCCGAACCTACCGGACAGGATTTGAGTGCGGGCGTCCAGAGATCCGATAGTTGCAGCGAGTAGTCGGGCCAGTTGTTCAGCAGACTGGAGTTGACCGGCAGGTCGAACTGCACGTAGGCCTCCAGGCTCTCCATGATCTTGGCGGCCGTCTCCAGGCCGTCGGAGTCCCTGACCAGGGCGTTCCGCTTGTAGTACTGCGACAAGGCGGACCCGTTCTTCCGCATGTTGTTCAGGTAGGAGGAGAAGACGGACTCGTTGAGGGACTGGCGCACCCAGGCCCGGCACTGGCCAATCTCGGAGGTGATCTGACTGAGACCCTGCACCTGCTCGATCACCTGCTTGTGCATGAAGACCATGCAGGGCGACCAGAAGCTGGGGTCGGGCCTGCGCTCCACGTCGCCAGCGATGACATTGAAGGTGGCGGACAGGAATGAGTCCTTCAGGCCGTGCAGGAACAGGGCTTCCAGGGTGGAGCACAGCGCACTGGTCTGCTCGCACAGACCCAGGACCTCTGAGAGCAACAGACAATTAATGACCATCCATTTCCGGGGGAGTACCCACAAACTCACCCAAACTCTTCTGCTTCACCTCGAACTCGATCTCGCGGGCATTTTCGTTCAGTGTATTGATGAGCGCCTCCTTCACGACATTTTCACGCTTGGACGAAAAGTGGTTCAGGCTGCGGAACAGGGAGCTCATTTGGTTGTCGATCCTCAACTTTTGTTGTGGTTTTTCAAGGGCCAATGCAAATGAGTAAAAATTCTGCCCCAAAGTGTGACCGTAGACGCGGCCCCAAATAAACAAAGAAAAAATACCAGAAATCAGTTAAGAATACTATTACATTTTATATATCTCATTTAAAGAGTTTTTTAAATCGTTTGAGCTTTTACTATAATCCATCCAGTTATCTGCTCGTGCAACAACAAATACATGTTTTTGGAATCATTTATTGTGTAACTTTGAAAGCCCGCCCAATAGAATGTTATCGATAACTTTCAAAACAAGTTGGTACGCTGCTTGGTCACACTACCGTTTACAGTGGTCAAAATCGACGGTATTTTGCACACCGTAACGGTTTTCACATAAATCAAAAATAAATTAAATTTTCCTTATCTGCAAGCGAATCAAACGGAATCCATTAATACCTGCAAAAATGCTCGCCAAGGCAATCAAAAAGGTCAAATCTAAGACTTCAGGGGACTACTCTACTCAAGCTACTCAAACCCGTTCTGGTTATTCTTGACTTTCTTCTCAGATCAAAGCTTATGTGTGAACGCTCGATTATGGGTAAAAAAAACCCACGCAAATTAGCATCAACTCACAGAGAACTCGTCAACGAGACAGAATATTAATTGATTTCGTTTGTATCTTTTCTATCGCCCCTTGTTATTGTCTTGTTATTGTGTTTGGGTATTTTCGGGTTTTGTTTCAATGAACCGCCATATATTCTGTGCCCAAGCCAGGTGACTCATGCAGATCACTCGACCGCCAGGGAATTTTTATTAATGAAAGACCATCCCGTCTCGGGGGACCAGAAAAAAAACCCGATGCACGTAGTCGGTGGATATAATACTTAAATTAAAATTTGTGTTAAGGTCACGGTGACCAACAAAAGCAAAAGATTTTATGTATACGCATATGTATGGCATGTGGTTGCTGTTGTTGTCAACGCATTTTTCAATATTTTTGCAATAAAAATGTTGTTGTTTTTACAGAAGATGCGCCCGATGTTGTCGTTGTGAACCAACTGGTTCAGCATTCAAAATGCAAACTGGTCCCCGCGCGCTTTTTCGTTTGACTTTTCGACTGTTTTCGGCTTGATGTTGTTTTTCGAAAACACATTTTCCATGTGGGCTGCACTCGACGAATTGCATTTTATTGAATTTTATTGATACGAAACTGGTTGCGAAATCGTTAATAACATAAACAATTTGGCAAACAGTAAGTACGAGGCATGTTCATTGTTGAAATTGTTGTTTTTGGATGAGCCTTCAAATACTCAAAGTAAAACTCATACAGAATTTTAAATAAAATATCACAAACCAGAAATACATATTGGTTTTTAATTTCAGCAAGATAAATGAAGATGCAATTTGTTTAAATCAATTACTTTATAACTGATACTTTACCGAATGTGAGGATTACTTAAAGTACTTTTTTTTTATAAATATACCCTATATTATGCAAGTATTTAGTATACTATAAGTATATTTTAGTATTTATTTATGTTTATAGACTATGAGGAATAAAATTAGTGATCACAGATCAGTAATGCAACTCTTCTGTAGGGTTAACAATTAGAAAACTTATTGTAATAACTTCTTGCCCAAAAAACATTTTTTTTCAACAGATTTATACTTCAGTTAGCAGTTCCAAACTATTATGGTAAAAACGACGAATTAACCAAAATATTTAAATTTGAAATTTGCAAGTTTATATACAAATAGGTATATAATGGGCTTCCCCCATTCGAACTGTATGTCGAATTTCGCATGAAGCAAAACCGTTGGCGTTTGTGGTGTGACATTAATGACGATAAACAATTAATAAGGCGCTTTGGGTGAAGGGTCGCGGCGACATTTCCCAACTGAGCCGACTCTATTAAAGTAAATAATATGTGGCGCGCATTGTTGCTGCTCTGAGCTGACTTTGCAGTTTCCAAGCTGCCAGCGTGTTGCCATTGTTGCGGCCAAAGAAACCAAAGAGGCCAAACAAAACGAAACGAAACGAAAAGAAACGAAGCGGGCTGAAATGTATAAAAACGTTTGTTTTCGTAATACAATTTTGATTACTTCTTCGACGCCAGACGCCCATTGATGGGCATTGTCTCAGCTCGGCCCCTTTTGTGCGTCCCTAAGCGATTTGATTTATGGGCGGAGGTGCTCGCGCCGAGATCCACAAAGGCCCCCAGCTACCGTTGGCCATTTGCCGGGATCGCAGTCCATTTGGCAATAGCTTTGTTGTAATTGTAACAATAATAACAGCCGTGATTCCCGACGCCGATGCCCCAGCCAACTGGGCAACCATTGACATCGCAGTGCGCCCCAAGGGCGTGGGCCAAAGGGGGTGGTAATCTGAGAAAAAAAAACAGTTTAATATTCTCCTCAATTTTTACAACAATTTTTATAAGAACTTACCAGATAGAATTAGCTAATTTTTTCCCATTAGCTCGAAACGTCCTTGAAGTACTAGATACTATGTTGTATTGATGTAAGTATGTTAATTTGTTGTCCTATTATTTTTCTTACTTTTGGACCGAAAACATTATTTTGAAAAAAAGAACCAAGGGTTTGGGCCAAAAGGAAGTGTTAGTTATAAAACTAAAGAAATCTGCATGCGCTAGCATTTTGATATAAAAAGTTTAAAAATACAAATCATATTCTAAATGTTTGTATATTCAAAGGGTATACTTGCCGTCATATAAAACTGCCAAGCTATGAATTATTTACGATAAGTTTTTAAGTCTTTTAGTTCGTTTTTGTATACTTTTAAAGATTCATTGTTAAACTTTGTATTATAATTATTTTTATAAATTATTTTTTTTATTCAAAAGTACATTTTATCAAACCTAAATTATATTTATTCTTACCTACATATTTACCTTTTTTTTATACCATAAACTTGTTTTGATTGGAAAACTTCAATCGTTTTATCATTATTTTAAGCGTAAATCCCTTTTTGCTAAATCTACGCCCCTTGCTGAACCATCAAGAGGCTAGGAAACTGGCTCTTGGATCGTCAAAAGCCAAATGCCGGTACAAATGCTCAAATGCGGAACCAATAAGCTGACATAATTTTTTGTGATGGGCGAGAAAAAAAGTTTTGCTTAGGCCAAATGATAATTACGTACATTCCAGAGACATCCGAAGATATGGTCACGGCTGACTTTCGAATGCGATCATAAACGCATTTAAATGTGCAGACTATTGGGAGATGGTTATTCAAGGACGTGTTAGGAAATATCAGTGAAAAGAATTTCTGAAGACCGCTTATAAATTGTTGCCATATGATCACGAGGCAAGATGATCTAATCACCGATCGCGTTAACCGCCGGGCGGCTGAAATGCCAAAAGTTCATCGATCACTGACACCGCAGATCAACTCAACGCATCTTTATTGATCTGCCAAAAGTCTGATCGATCGGTTCTGACTCAGCCCAGTCAAAAACCCAATGCAATGAGGCAAACAGGCAAGGCTGAAATATGTTTATGTCAACGCCGTGATCTTTCGATCAACAAATATTTATGAATTTATTTGAGCCGGGAACAAGAACTCAAGAACTTGCTGGGGGAACAGGATCTTGCGAATATGTGACATATGAGACGCATAACTTATGCATTGTTAGCATAATACTTTCCGAAAATCAAGTCAAACTTGTCAAAATAAACAAACCGAACTGAGCACATTCGTTTTCAATATCAATTTGCATTTCGTGTGTGTTTAATTTATGCGAAAGTTGTGTCTATTTGAGAGACTCTTAAGCTATTGTCTTGTAAATCATCCGGAGAATAGCACTAATGTTAGGCGGCTGTTAGCTGAATGTTAATGTTAACCCATTATAAAATTAGGTGATTTATATGGAACAGTGAAAAAAATCAACAAAAATGCATTAATTGTGCTCTCTTAAAATAGTGGTAGAGTTTAAATTTAAAATTTTCTATGAGCTTATCAACAGTCACTATAGTGACTATAGTTTAGAAAAATAACACAATTTAAATTTGTTTTAATTTTTAAAAATCATTATTTTGATTTAAATATGTGCGGCTATATATGTATAGTAGTACCGCGTCGTCACTGCATGCATTGCCGTCCATAGTGATATTATATAATTTTGACGACAATAAATAATTTAGTTTATAATATTATTAGAGGTAATAAGACAGATCCAAGCTAAATAAAATCAAATTTTAAATTATAGTAAGAAGAGATGTACTGAAAATATATAAATATTAAAAAGGCATATGGATGTTATGCTTTATGTGGTTCATTTCTGTAAGTTACTTTTTCTTATTCATAATATTAAATAAATATTTTCTTGAGTCCCTTTTACATTTCTCTGCTTTTAATGAGAAGCCACGCATAACAAACTTAGAGACTGGTGGTTAGGGGGTTAAGCTCTTACGTTCAGGTTGCTCGGCTGACCTTGAACGTCATTGGCAATGCGTCAAACTGTGGCGACAAACCAGTATGCAAAAAAAATCTGATCACAAGCATCTGAGCAATTAAGGCAATAGTTTTGCACTGTTTTCCGGTGGATTGTAACAAATAGAAAATAAAAGTCGAAGAGATTGATTAAGCGGGGGTGTGAAACTTTCTTGCGATCGCAGTTCATAATTCCCCTAGCTTATTTTCTGGGTGGACTCTGGCGAAGTCGCAGTCGACGTCGACGGCGCTGCCGGCGTCGCTGCCGCAACCGAGTCGAGCTCCGAGCAGCGACTGTTGGCCAAGTTTATTGAAAGCGCAGAATCCGTGAGCTACGGACGTGTTTCGCTCGAGCGCATCGCGTATCTTCCAACTACGACCTCCGATCTCTCGCTCGCACCCGCCCGCCGTGCATAGCACCCTCTCGCTCGCGCCCCCCCAAAGTGATCGTGATATCGTGCCGCGGATTTTTCGATTGAGAAAAGGCGGTGAAAATATTACACATTATATATTGTCGGCTTCGATTGCGTCTGCGGTTTTGTCATCGCGATCATTGTTAGTCGGGCTCCTACGCGATAATTATTCCGGTTCGTCTTTGGGCAATGCCCGATTCTAAATTGTTAATTGCGTGACAAATTCAGAGAGGCCCGAAATCAACAATAATAATAAACACGAAACACCAGCTCACCCACGATAATGCAGATCGAACCGAAGCCACGATGCGGTGGCAGCATTAGCTTTACCGTTATGCTGCTGCTGCTGATCATCGGCGCCGACTTCGTCGCTGGAAGGCCTGGTATTACATTAAAGACAGATATACATAAAGACAAACTAACTAAGGAAATTGCGATTGCATTGACGATTGCGTTATCAATATCGCATTCAATTTGCACTGGCATGCGAATCCGATCAGTGGATCAATGGATCAGTGATCTTTCGCGCTTCCTTTGTCTTTACCTCTTTCTATTTGCGGCTTACGTTTTGAATGTTATGTGTGCTTATTGCGTATTTTCTGAAGGAAGCTTCAAGTTTATGGGTGATATAAGAAATAATAAATTTATTAAATGTCCGGCATAAATAATATGCCAGTCGAACCTGTTTTAGAGGCGTTACCATTTGAAAACGTTCTTCAACTTAAAGATCAACGGTTCTGTTAGCACCCACAGCTTAAGGCTTCCTTTTAATTTGTTCTATATCTGTAACTAATTTTACGATTTTACCACAACCCTACTAAGTTATACTCTGAGCCCAAGTCCCCCTCCCCTCTCCTCCCCACTGTCTGTCAATATCTGTTAGAAGTTCCGATTCTTCACTCAAAACAACAACCACTTTAAAGCATTCAACAAACGCACCTCATTTGCATTATTTCCAAAACTCACCTGCACACAAGTTCGTTCTCAGCCCGCAGTGAACTTCGATCGTGATCGTGATCATGACCCACATCGGCTGGGAGACAAGTGTTATCCCCCAGCTAACGACTAATGACAGTTGCAGCCACAGACGGCGAAATCAGTGGGTCTGAAACTCAATGAAATTAAGTGCAGAAAGCTTAGAAAGGCGTAGCAGGAAAGGCTTAGGTATAAGGTATTTAAAGGTAAATTGCCTCAATCAAGATCAGTTAGATACATCCCTTTTTATAACAAGAAAAAGGCGTTTCTTTTCCAATATATAACCTTTATTTATTGGCCGTTTTTAATTTATAAGTTAACTGTTGTCAGTGGAGCATCTTTATTACCATAGTTTTTTTGGAGTGCAGTCTGCTAAATTGTCCCGAAGGCTTATGCCTGCAATTAGCCTTCGCCGCTGAAGAGCCTTTGAATGCAGGCAGCCATAAGCTGTTTTTGTTTGACAAACAAACTGAAGAACTGGGCGCCGATCGTTAAGCTTTTTTTTTTTTTGGGTTGAAAGCGAAATCAGGTAGCCGCTGCAAAAACAAACAGCGCGGTTCCCAAAGGCAAAGCCGTAAGAAAAACGAAATTCGAGAAGAGCCGATGTGAAGAGACCCCAACGAAATCCAAGACCCAAAACCGAACCACAGAGCCCCAGCAAGTGGGCAAGTTACGTAAGCCGCGGATAACGTGACTGGCAAGGCTTCGGCAAAGTCGTCGTCGATCTGTCTTCCTCTTGGCGTTCGGGGGTTAAAGGAGGGGTTAAACGATCCCTAGGGGGGTTCCATGTAGTCTATAAATTTAGCGACGCTTTTGTCAAGACGCTCTGTTAACTAAGTTGTTTACACCAACTAGAGACTAATGATGTGGCGGAGTTTTTGGGTCATGGGGCCGCAAACAAGAAGCCACGAAATTCGAGAATGAAAACACGAGAAAATTGTGCAGCATCTCGTGGACTTGGGCAAAACCCATTGACCAACTAGTCGGGTTAATTGGCCAATAACAATTAAGGCAAATTCATGAGCTCAGGGCTTGCTTAAAGCACCAATGATGGAAATATCATTGGGGCTTAATGGATCTGCAACTTTATTGGCATGAAATAGTTATATTTCACATATTCGGCAATCAATGAACCCATCGTAATGAATGGACCCGTACACGTACGTGATAATTAGCGAATTCGCACGGATCTGAAATAGGGAATCGTGCCTCACTTTCGCGTGGCTTGATTTATGATTCAGCCGCAGATTATCGTAATTAAAACACAATGGGATATCAACCAGTTATGGATATAGATGAAGATATGTAGACACATGAGCAGCGGCAATTCGATTTCGACATTCAGGCACTGATTTGCCAATCTATTGCGAACTCCTCAAAGGCGACCGACAAAAGCCAGTCGATTAGAACCAATTCTGGGGCCCATTCTAAGCCATAAATATTTATGCAATTATGGGAGAGTTCGGTTTCAGTTTCAGTTTTAGTCTTAATCTTTCCCCTTGACATTTCTCAGACAATCAAAATGAAATCGCATTTTTGTTTGGCGATTTCAAGTGCAATAAACACGCTTTGTTTCATTTTGGTTCACAGTAAAAAGTATAATTTACAAGTTGCGACTTTGAAAATGCGATTTGGCACGGCTTTTGACACATTTCGTTAGGCGCTTGTGTGTGGGCAGACAGCCCAATAAGTCGATAACTCCAAGGCCTGCGAGATATAGATATAAACGAAGATTAATAAAAATCCATTACAATTTTTTGCTGATTCCGACGAAGGTTGGCCAGGCACAAAAACATGTCAAAGTAAAGAAGATGATAAACAAACTGTAAAATTGGCAAGTGCAAAATGTTTTCTGCTGAAATTCCCATTGTCTTAAGGTGGGTGCAGATGTCGTGAAGCCGTCAATCAATTAAAAATTAAATTCATTAAACATAAGCGGCGGGGGATCCATCGATGGAGATGGAGATGGAGATGTCGATGAAGTTGATGATGAAGATGGCGCTGCAGACAAGCTAAATTAATTGGCCTGAACTTGAGCAGCAGCGGAGCCGGAAGTGGGGGGAATTTCAGTTATTACGGCGATATCCGAAAACACTTTTGTCCACCAGCCGTGACGCAAATCATCTTCACCATCTCTTGAGCATTCATAATAAAAATGAGCGGCTGGGCTGCAGTCGAAAGTTCAAGTTGAGGGCTTCCTGATCGGCGGCCAAGCCCGTCCCAAAATGCAAATTAATCTCTATTGCCTATGGTCAGAGAATGTGTTAGATGCTTAGCATCCGGAACTGACTGGGCAACTGAAGCAACGCCCATCGCGATCTGGCTAAGTCACATACGAGTTGAGTTTGTCGCAGAGCAGAAACCGCATTTCCAGAATTCCCCAGCGCCAGCCCAATTAAAATATTCCGCATCTACAGTATAGGCAAACAATTTATTCAGTTATTCCGCTGTAAACAGGAATCGAGACGCAGATCAAAAATCAGAAGCTGGCTGAGAATCTCTCAGATATCCAAGTAAATTATTATTAATTATTCGCACTCGGCACGAGCGCGACACAATGCCCGCAGTGAAAATAACAAAATCGTTGTCGGTGCAATCATTAGCCATTAATTCGCTTGTTGTTGCTGTCAAAGCCAGCTGCTGCTGGCCTGTCACATGGACTCCCTGATTCCCAGACTCCCAGTGGCAGAACAATGAGTGTCTCATTTGATAAAAACCCATCCACTAATTGCAAAGTGCGTTTCACGAGTGTAAGACCAGCATTTACTTTGCTCAGGGATCCATCAATAGTGTTAAAATAAATTATTTATTCAAAAACCCAAGCAAGTGATCAGTTAATTGGATAAAAAAAATACAGAGAGACATCAATTTATAGTCGCAGATAAACTTCCGCTATCAATATGTTTTAGTTAAGTGTATTAATCAACTTAGTTAAACAATAAAATAGTTTAACACTTTTTTCCCACAGCTATTTTTTATATTTTTGATTTTTAATGAGCATTTGTGAAGTTTGTCAAGCTATGACGATATGAAACGCACTGTACGCCCTAAAGCCCTTTTGCTCGATTCCAATGGCCAGCCGAAACGAAAGACTTAGGCAACGAACTTGATGGTTGCACACCTGTCACACCCACACCAACACACGTGCACATGCACATACACATTGACTAACCTGCCTGGGTAGCTTTTAAAATTGAATTTTATCTGGTGGCAGACCTTTGTGTAACTAACAGTAACCACCGCACAGCAGCCACACATCACAACAACCGCAGCAGCATAAGCATCAGCATCAGCCGCAGCAAACGTATGGCCCATCTCAGTCAATGTCAATCAATCAGCCGCCGCGGCAGCCAAATTGCCCAAGAGCCGCCCACAGCTGCCTCATCTGTCACCCAACCACCATCGCCAGCATAGCCACCGAACAAACTCCTCACCCACCATACAACTCAGGCACCCAGTGGGGAATTTCAGTTGGGTTTTTTTTAGTTCACTCGAAACAGCCCTTTTGCTTAAATATTACGAATGTTTCTATGAACTACTTTTTCAAGGATAGAAAGCTTTATTCGTTAGTTAATGGCAATCATGAAATTGGATCATTTAGGAGCGCAATTTTGTTATACAGCAAATGTAAATTTTATCTATTTTCCAAATTACTTAAAACCAGGTACCGAAAATAATCATTATTTTTGTTTTTCCGAACTTAAAAATCATCCATTTCCAATAGCCCCATAATCAATTAAATAATGCCGTTTGGTTGCTATTTTTAATATCTTCCCGAATCTGCAATGATCATTTTGTTTAGGTTTTGCTCAGAATAATTATTATTCTTGAGTTTATGTATACTTTTCAAAAAGTTATCATTATTTGTAAGCGGATTATTTTGTGATCGATATTATTTCGCTTAGCCGTTCTAATCGGAATTGTGACAAGATTAAAATGTTTACTTCTTGTTAAAGAATCTATTAAAAATTTAAAATATCAAGTTAAACTTTTAGATAGCTTGGCAGATGGTTTTGATTTGATCAATAACTTTTGTGCGCTTTAACTAAGATTGTGATTTTCCTTTTTGTGACTTAATCTATTTTCGTTAGTACAGGGATTTATCTTAGAGGTAAAAAGTGCTTTAAAAGCCATAATTTATTAAACAACCTGTTCAAAACTTAAAATTTCAAGTTAAACTTATAGTTAATACATTACGAATATGTCAAGTTAGCTAAGCAAATTGAAGTGATTATTAACTTTTGTGAGCTCTAACCTATTGTGGTTTTCCTTTTTCGGATTAAATGTTTTCTCGTTAGTACTGGTAGTACAAAAAAAAAAAAATTACGCACTTTTTTTAGATGTAAAAAGTGTTTTTTTTTTCAAAATGAAAGGTTAGTTCTTAGCTCGACTTGAGCAGGATTTAGTTTGAAGGGTGCTACATTAGGTTCTGACTGTTTCACTCTGTCATTCACCCACTTCCACTTGCTACTTCCACTTGCTACTTCCACTTGCTACTTCCACCTCCACTTCCACTTGAACACTTCCACTTGCCACGCTTTTGCAAATGCTCCAATGAAGCAGCCGCAGCCACAGCCACAACGAGACCCACCACATTCTGCTCCCCCTCCAACAGATGTGCGCGAGTCGCCCTTCGCCCGCGAGCTGCAACCGCCGCTGCTGCAGCCGGACGTGCCCTTCAGCGGGCCGAAGGCCATCGACAGCTATGGCAACCCCATCGACGCCCTGCGACCCATTGACACGCCCGACGGGCGCAAGGTGGTCAGCGCCCAGGGCGTCCAGTTCGAGATACCTACGTACGCCTCGGGGATCACGGAGATCCGGCGACCGGCCGATGATCTCCTGCCGCCGCACATTGGTGAGTTGACATCCACACGAGCAGCGGCTGCCGGCGGTGCCTCCAGAACCAGGACGCAAACGGGAACGGCAACCAGGACGAAAACCGAAACAGAAACGAAAACAGAAATAGAAACAGAAACAGAAACCAATGCCTCGACTGCACCGCACACAAACAGTAGTAGTAGTAGTATAACTAGTACAAATAGCACTAGCACCCGCACCGCACTAGCCGCACCCATTAGCACCACTAACAAGCTGGCCAAGCGCGATTCGCTGGGCGGCCAGTTTCCCATTGCACCACCCAGTAACCGCCACGCCCCGCCCCCCTTCTCCTTGATCAAGCTAAATCCCTTCGCCGGTGAGGACTCACCCATCACCCAGATCGGCTCCCAATCAGGTCTTTGTCCCAATCCCAGTCCCAGTCCCACTTCCAGTGCCCCGCCCACTTTGCCCGTAGCCAAGGCGAATTGCCCGAAATACTCAACTCCGAATCCGAATCCTCTCCAACCAGATGCCATCGCTGTGGGCCTGGAACCCAGCAGTCCGAACTCATTCACTGGCACATCATCAGCATCCGCACCAGCACCAGCACCACTTCCAGCCACATCACTAACACCGCCCCGCCATGATTCATCACCCGACACCACGACGACCGCCGCCGAAGTGGAGGTGGAGCAGGCGCACCTGGTGCCGCTTCAGCAGGCGGCCAAGGAGGATGACGGATCCCTGCCTGAGTATATCCGCGAGTTGCAGCGCCAGGACCCCGACATTGGAGGTCCAGTGCCCTGGAAGCCGGCTGCCAATGCGGCGCCACTCAGTGTGATCGCCTGGGACCTGTTGCCGCCGCACGAGACGCAGGATGTCCAGCGGCAGGAGGACAACCAGGATGAGCAGGCGCAGGAGCCCACGATCATCACGGAGGCGCAACAGCAGCCGGCCAAGAAGGTGCAGGGCATCGTGGACCCCATTAGCCACAACATACGCCTCAGCCTGAGCAGCGGCAGTGCCCTGAGTCCAGTGGATGGGCCGGCGGAGCATGGCACCAATGCGCATGTGGGCAGCACCACGCCCGCCAATCCGGGTCGCTTTCCGAACCGCCAGCGTGGCACGGCCCACTACAGCACCACCAGGAGCAGTTCCACCACAGTAAGGCCGCGCAGCAGCACCACTCACGCACCAACCACAACCACCAGCACAACGAAGGCAACCACAACTAGCAGCACAACCACCAGGAGAAGCACAACGACCAGCACCACCACCACAGCGAAACCAGAGACGCGCACCACTGCCAGTCCGGTAGCCAGCACCACCGAGGACCCAGCCACCTTCTATCGCCTGATCAACGGGGAGGCCTACGCCTACACCCTGCCCACGTGGCTGCAGGAGGTCACCGATCCGGACCTGGACGTGGCCGTCACATTCGAGGTGCCCGCCGACAACGATCAGTACAACCACACGCTGGCCAACGATCTGGAGCCGCCATTCGAGCCGTTCGTCGACTTGGGCAACATTCAGCTGACGCCACCGCCCACCAGCAGGCCCACAACGACAACCAGCACAACCAGGGCAGCGCCCACAACGACCACCGCCAGAACAACCACCAGCACAACCACAACCACAACCACAACAACCACGCCACGAACAACGACAAGCACAACCACAACTACAACAACGCGACGTCCGAGCACGCAGCGACCGACCAAAGCACCCACACCAATACCACCCACGCACAGCACTCAAGCGCACCACCACCCAGAGCCACCGCCAGTGAAACTGACCACAACCACCACTCACCATGCAGATACTCCGCCGGAGGACTCCAGTAGCAGCAGCGGCAGCAACACCACTCCCAGCCCGTTGGACGCAGGCAATCCCTTCGATTCGGCCACCATTCCCGCCTGGCTGCGCGACTTCGACTATCCGGATGTGGGTCCCGGCGTGCCCTTTGACCCGGACAACTTTGGGCCAGCCGCCAGCAGTACCCGTTCCCCCACCACCCAGCCACGCCTCCCCACCGTCCCGCCCGTCCCCTCCGCTTTTCCATCCAAAGTCACGCTTCCGCTTCCAGCCAGCAGCAGCAGCAGCAGCAGCAGCGAGGAGCCACCGCTAGTGCTCATACCGCCCGCTGACCGCACGGACTCCGTCTCCAGTTCCGGTTCCGGTTCCGCCTTCGGTTTCGCCCCCGCCGCCGTCTCCAGTGCCGGACAACTGACCCCTCCCCTTCCCACTACCAACTCTGTCACGCCTTTTGCAGCCCGCTTCGAGCCAGCAGCGAATAATCCTAACCAGGCAGCCAGCCCCTCCAGCGGCGAACCCTTCCCGCCCAGCAAGGTCGAGTACACCAAGAGCGACGACGGCAAGGTCATCAGCACGCCGGTGGCCAGCGTCCAGCGTAAAAGTGAGTACAGATGATCCCGTTTCCGCCCTCAAGTTGTATTTATACCCGTTGTTTGTAGAGTAAAAGTTGTTGAAAAGCTCGTAACTGGTAATAGGTAGGTGATCAGGATTAATAGCTGAGTCCGTCTGAAAGTCCGATCGTATGTACGTCGATATCTTGATAGAGTGGATCAATACAAATCGCAGAACTCTGTAACGCCTTTTTGTTTATTAGGTTAATATCAATCAACACACTTTAAATGTTTTAAATCGAACCTGTGTTTAAGAAGTTATTAGGAAAGTTTCAATTATGACGTCACTCTAAAATGAAAACACGCAGTTCACTTGAGAGAGCAAAGTAGTAACGCGGCCACATCTCGATCGGCAGCGATTTTCTAAGAATCAACAGGACCATATGTTTTGATTGACCTTAGTCCATATTTTTGCCAAACAGTTGTAGTGGGTATAAATTTTTATACCCGTTACTCGTAGAGTATACCCAACATTTTCAAAATCGAGCTAATATTTTAGATGTTATGGGTCGTATGAAGTTCTCTGTCGCCCCTCTGCCGCTGCTTAGCCACTGATCGGCCGCTGTTCTGTCGCTGCTAACAGACAAAGAGAGAGAGAGAGAGAGAATTACAGAACTCTTAGTGGGGGGTGGGGGTGCTGCACTCTCTTAGCTTCTAGTGTTGGCTATGCAGTTCGACAGATGGCGCCACCTAAACTTCGATTGTTTTGTAGGGAAAATATTTAGGTTGAAGTTTGTTGGCTGAGTTAAGGGAATCTAGTTGAGATTTCAGTTTCCTCCTGCACGTATAAGTCCGATTTATGTCCAATCTAATTCAAGATCTTAATTTTAGTCGGGAAACTCGACTTTAGCGTTCTTTCTTGTTGATTATCTGTCCGTCCAAAAACATGAATCTCCTGACTCAATTTAATTAAAGATTGAAATTAAGTAATTTTGTCCAGTCAAATTTATATACATATTAAGATCAAATAACAATGTATTGAGTCTTACTACTATATACGTTCTTTTTTTTCCCTTTTCTCAGCGGAGACTGCGGCACCAGTTAGCAACACTGGGAAGTATACGGGCGGATTTGGCGCCCCGGCGGGCCTACTGCGTCCACAGTCGACCAACCCCCACTCCGACATCTACGTGGCCGGCGATCAGCACGAGTTCAGCACCATTGTGAAGGCGAACAAGGCGCGGCCCACTGTTAATCCGGGTCGCTACAACGGTGGCTTCGGCGCCCCCACGGGTGTGCTTTCGCCACAGAGCCAGCCGGAGCCGCGACCCTTCCAGCCGGTCCGCCAGCAGACGGAGCACAGGGATCGTCCGGCAGGTGGCAACCGGCGAACGGAGAGTCGCTTTGGCGGACCGCCCGGTGTCCTCGTGCCCTTCGACAACGTGCAGCGGACTGGGGGGCAGTAGCGGAGTCCAGGAGTCCAGGAGTCGAAAGTCGGAAGTCCGCGAATACTTTAAATTATTTATAGCCCATGTACATGTACCTATGCTAGAGCTAAATGAGTTGTGGACTCGTCACAAGGGTCATCACAATATTTGCGAAATTAAAAGTCTCAGAACTATCAAACCGAATGCTTTCTTTTTTCCAAAACCAGTATACCTTACAGCTTATGACTTCATGAATATATTCCAGTCAGTTGAAGTCTGTTTGCCCCACTGTGTACACTGTACATTAGGTTGGTTATTTTTTGTATGAAAAAATCGTTGGTGCATTTAAGACTTGCAAAAAAGAAAAAGTAGAAAAAAATGCGATTTATGGTCGGCGTGTTGACTGTAAAGTTTATCACTCATACGTACTGTTGCCTTTGATCAAATATTTTATTTTCATATAGTTGACGTAGACTTGGTGCTATTTGTCTACGAAGGGAGACAAATTATTTGAAAATCGATTTGAAAATGTGCCAGTCCTGCGAAGACTTTTCACCACAGTGCTGCGCCACATTTTATCCCATATGGTGCATCGTTCTTGGAGCCTTTTTCACTGCGAGCGCAATTTATTTGGTAGTTGACTATACAAATAAAATCGACAACCCCTATATTTTTTCAAGGGCTGATTGGGACGGTGACGACTGGGATACCATTGAAAAAATACGCGACAAATATAGAACTTATAGAATTATTTCTATTATTAAGGTCATAATTGACTTCACTTATGTGGTCGCTGGGATTTTGTTGTTGCTTGGTGATAAAATGGTAAGTTAAAATTTATTCTATTTTAACCAACATTGATTTAACTTTGTTTTTTAACAGAATAAAAAAAGGTTGTTCAAATTTGGAAAAGTCCTCAGCTATTTCTTTCCTATTTGTTCTGTAATGACCGTTTTTACTATAAGTAAGTATTCTTTGGGTCTTAGCAGGAAGACATTGTTCATTCTGCATCCTATATTTGGCTGGGCTTACATGTCGATATCCAATTCGCTTTTTAAATTTTAAAGTACATTTTTTTTGAATTTTTTTTTTTTATATTTTTATTGTTTCCATGGGAGGATTATGTTATAGTCGTCCGATTTTGATGAAATTTAAAACGTAATTCTGAAATATTTAACCATTACTATATGTCGATGCTATAATTTTTTTTCATTAATATTTCTGATTTTCCGATTCGACTCGTTTCGACTTATATACTACCTGCAATAGAAACACAACTTTTGGGAAAGTTTCATGCAGATAGCTTTAGCTTTAACTCTGAGGGACTAGTTTGCGTAGAAACGGACGGACGGACAGACAGACATGGCTAGATTGACTCTCCTAGTGATGCTGATCAAGAATATATATACTTTATAGGGTTCCTTCACGGTGTTGCATACATCTGACTGAAATTATAATACTCTATGCAATGATAGAAAAATTTAACCACGCACTGCGTTTTATGTACTTACACAAGTCATTTTAGGCGTAGAGGCTAAAAACATGCATCCTCCAGTCGCTAACGAGTTTGACACGCTGAAGGCTCGCTTGCTCGATAACCCGTACATTATTTCTTTCTGAAATGGCACAGAATATTCGTCTGATTCTAACCATCTGGGAGGATAACGACCTGGTAAAATTGGCCAAAGCTGACTCTACCAACACGTTCTGAGAACAAGAAAAACCAATCAATTGATACCGTCATCTGTCCACTTATTTAAATTGTTTATTTATACTATATATACTTTACAAGTATTTGTTTTCACATAATTATAATATAACTACGAGTATAATGAGTGCACATGAAATCACTACCAGTTGCATTTTGTTTTCATACATTTTTTTCTGTATTTGCATTTAGTTGTCCACATTTGCGCCGTAATAAAACTGTGCCGGTATATAGAGCAACGCTGGGGGATAGCTAACAATTAATCGCATCCGATTTCCATTTCGATGTCACGAGATCGACCTAAACTACGGATTAATAATCCGATTCATCTTTGCTTGTTAAGGTAAGTGATATCTGTCATATTAGAAATGTTTTAATGTTTTTGCCTAAACAGGAAATTTTGTCGGACTAAATCAGGCGGAACGCACGTTTATATGGAAAGCAGATAATGTAAATTAAATTGTGTACATTTTTCGAGTTGTAAAAAATTCAGGCCGGCAGAACTCAAAAGAAAAAATAAAAGAAATTTTTGTGACGAAAATTAATTAATCACACTTTTAAATGGTTCGCATTTGGCCCACTTCAGTCAGGCATTTGAAATTTGGTCTATCGCAGCGTGCCGATTTGGAATTTTTTAATTGTTTTAATCTTTTTTTTCGACGAAATTCAAACTATTCTAATAAAATGTACATGTACCTACGCTAGAGCTAATTGAAAACAAAGTCTCAGATGTATCAAATATTTTCCATTTTTTTCAATCTAGTTCACTTAGCAAAAAAACTCATGACTCCATGAACATTTTCCAGCCAGTTCAAGTCCGTTTTCCACACTGTGTACACTGTACATATAAAGCTACGAAAGGAGACAAATTATTTAAAATCGGTTTCACAATGTGCCAGTCCTGCGAAAACTATTCACCAGAGTGCTGCGCCAAATTCTATCCTATATGGTGCATCGTACTTGGGTCTTTAAGCATTGTGGTGGGAATTATAATGCTGCTAGGGAACCCTGGCGGATATTTTCTATTTGCTGTTTGGCAACTTCTTATAGGCTTAAGTTATATAGCCGCGGGGCTTTTAATGTTGATTGGGGAAAAAAAGGTGAGTAAGGATCAGTTAAATTGTAACCGACATTATTTCCGTTTATATTCGTAAACAGAACATAAGAACGTTGTTCAAGTGTGGAAAAATTCTCAGCTATGTTTATGCTATTTGTACTTTCAGCACCATTTTCACAATAGGTAAGTATTTATCTTTCGGTCTGAAGCTGGAAAAAGTGATCAAAACTTTTAATGACATTTTTTATTAAAAAAAAAAAAACATTGATTTTTGACAACCAAAATAACATTGTGCAATAGCCTAAAAAATACATTGGTGCCTCTATATAAGCCTAATAAATCTCGGTGTGCTGAACACGACCTCATTCTTAGAATATCGCCATCACCCTCAGTTTTTGAGAAAAGTGATCTTAAAACCCCAAAAATAACGATTTTAGGGGTTCTTTGACTCTAAATAACAACCAAACTGAAAGTTAGTGCATAAAACTAAGATATTTACGCTTCAGTGAAACTATACCCTAAAAGTAGACATACAATTTTTGTGAAATGCCTAAAACATTATTGTAAAAATGTGCATATTGTATTAAAAATATCATAGGTTTAGGGACTAAAATTTAGTTCGGCCCTTACTTAAAATCCTTTTTTGGGTTTTTAAGATAAATTTTCTCGAAAAATAAAATTCCAAAAATAAGGTCGTGTTCAGCACACCGTGATATATTAGGCTTATACAGTCGCACTAATGTATTTTTTAATCGATTTTTTCATCAAATTTTGCATAGTGTAATCAATCAATGCTGCCATATATGAATGTTTTTTCGGCTTTAGTTGTTACACGAATTGCTGTTGCTCATCTTGATTTTAAAAAAGCAGAAGATATCTTTAGTGCCAACTTTTTTGAAAAGTGTATTTTTATGCTATTTTTTAGTTGTCCACATCTGCGCCGTAATGAAACTGTGCAAGTATATAGAGCAACGCTGGGGATAGCTAACAATTAGCCGTTTCTGCTGGTTGAGGTAAGTAATATTTGTCATATTTAAAATGTGCTAATATTTTGCTTCCCTGGACAGGACATTTGAAACGCTCTTATATATAGTGCCTTTGGAAAGCAGCTAATTTAAATTATAATGTGTTCAATTTCCGACTTTAAAAACATATACGCCGGCGGAATCCGAAATTAGTAAAATTAAATGGAAACGTGAATTTGTTAGTGAAATTTCTTGGGTATGAAAGTTATTTTGATAAATTTCCATTTAAACGTGACTATAGCATTTAAATCAAAATATATATTTTTTCTAAATCAACCAACTATCTCAATTGGCTTATTTATAACTAACGATATAATTTTAGTTAGGATAACAAAAACTTGAATTATGAAGCATGAATTCCTTGTTGAATGGGGTACGAAGAAAAAAATTAAATCTATAATAGTTTTATTAAATAATTTAAAAAAAACCGCGAAATCTTTAGACGATGTAATCTAAAAATCAAAATTCTTTGTTAGTTGTCAGATTTAATTTCTATGAAAAGCAATTCTTATTTGAGTTGAAAAAGGGAACAATATATGGAAAGAAAGTTCAGTTGAAACGTTTTGTTCATTTACTGATTGGGACACTTTTAACCAAAAAATAATATAATAATTTTCTAATGTTAACGAAAGTCAGAATCAGAAATTTGATTTATTTAAGAATGGACTATTATTTTATTTACAAATAAGCTATACCAAAGAGTGCTCCCAAAGCCTCAATGAATTAAGCATGAGTTCGACGATTGGCCCCGTTCGATTGGAGGCGAATCCATTGCACGTTCCACAGGTGGACTGCCTGGTGCCTTGCATGCGAGCTGCTCCAATCTGGAAACGAAGCCATTACAATCGGAGGTCGTGTCTGTTCAATTGGAGTTGTCGTAAACGCGAGTCGGCATTAAGGTCTGGGCCCTCCGCCGAGGCAAGCAACTTGAGCAAATGCAAATATCATAATTTCCGACAGCCCATCTGCAAAGTATGAAACGGAGCAAACGAAGGGGAGTAGGCCACAAATGGAGGGCCCTCCTCCAGATCCGCCTACAAGGGCCACCTCCACATCCAGGGGCCAGGCCACCATTACGAGGGCAGGACAAATAAAATTGTTTCGTCACGCCACCGCGAAGGTTGCCAGCCGCTGTCGAAATGAGGCTGGCGCACGCAAGACCGGGCCAACCACCAAGCTCCCGGAGCCACCAATCGCCACCCATCGCCACCCACTGTCCCTTGCCAGGCCCGTTTATTCACGTGCTCCACCTTTACGACCTGCTCAAACATCAAGCTTATTTATTTACTCTAAAAACAATACCGGAAAATTAATAGCAATTTGTTTGGGGTTCATAAATTTGTCGAAATAAATGTCCTTAACTGGCGAACGAAGCCCCCAAATGGGAGGTTTTTGGTGGTTTTTGTTTGGTAGTACTACGAAATGGGTCTCACCTGCTGCCAATCGATTGGCTGACTCTAACTTAGGCCTTCTCTTATCAGCCTGGCTCTGGTGCGTGACTCCCCTGTCCCGGGTTGAGGTTTAATTTTGATGGCTTCAATTAACTGCGTGTAAATGCGGTGGCCCCTCGCCCACCGCCTACCTTTTTTCCCAGGAATCCAAAGCCCTTGCACAGAGAATAATGGCGCCGAATTTCGAAAAATTGAACCGCTTTTTGTCCCAATTGCGTCTGTAAGTGATAAAAGCTTTAAAAAATTTTCATAATATATAGTACATTTATAATAGTATACCTAATTGCTTCAAATTACCTTTTTGTTTTAAAAAATCTTAATTAATAAATTTATTTGATTTGAAGCCCTGATTTTTGAATGATTAAAAATAATTAATTCTGTATAAAGAACTAAATTTTTAAATTATATAAAAATACATTGCTAGTCTTAAAAAATTTTCACAATATATAGTACATTTATAAAAGTATACCTAATTGCTTAAGAATACCTCTTTGGCTTAAAAAATCTTTATTAATAAATTTATTTGATTTGAAGCCCTTACTCTTGAATGATTAAAAATAAAAATTTGTACCAATAAAAAATGCATTATTTTTTTTTTATTTGTTAAAAATAGTTTTTCATTACAAAATTTAACAACAAAAAATTATAATCGAGTTGGGATTTATTGGAACGGAAATTGTGGGTTTTTTCCCGAGTGCCTAGAAGGGTTTGTTGAGATATTAATGAAACTTTATTGAAGTTTATTGCTGCTTGTCAGCGCATGTAAACTGGCATACAAAGTAAAGAAAAGCCAAATGCAGTGGCTGGAGTTACTGATGGCTTTGGGGTGGTAGGTCGGAATCGAGCCCAAGTCGGGTCAAATGTAAAGTGAAGGCAGGTAAATCAGTTGCTCAACGACAAGCGCCGCGAACAGACGTCCATTGTTTAAGGGCGCAGTAGAGACCTCCAATGTCCAAGCAAGTGGAATGTAAATCTCAAAAGTAACCGCGATCCTAACGTGAAATGCTCCCCGTACTTTTATAATTACCGCGCTAAAACAAAATCAAAATGCCGCGCAAGAAACCGAAAGTTGACACCCTCGAAGAGATTGAGACCAGTATAAAACTGCTATGCGATCAATCAAACAATCACATGAAAGTCAGGGCGTACGATAAGGCTCTGTTTGGCTACAATCAGGTGCGTCTATTAAACAATTTCCTGCTAGACCTTTTAAAGACATCTCATATTTTCAACACCCGTTAAAAATTCAAAACAAAAGTTCAGAAAACTTAACCGAGAAATTGAGCCTTACATTTTTTTGTGTTACAATTTGTTTAAATTTAATTCAACCTGAGTAATTTTGTTTATTTAGTCTGGTTGTTTTGGTTTCTTGTTATTAAGAACTCATTTAACTATTAATAAAACGTTTTTTAACTTGTTTAATATAGGAATTGGGAATTTAATACTTGGAAAGAAATAAAGAGTAATTGAACTATGGAAAATAAACCAATTTTATAACAGGAATTGCGTTCTTAATACTTGGCAAGCAAATAAAAAGCAAAACTTGGGTGAATTTAACTTAATCAAACAGATTAAATTCTTGTCGTCAAAATACTTTTTTTAATTCTTATTTTCTTTATAAGGATTAAGTAATTTTATTAGGACCTTTGTGAATTTCTGTGCACACTTTTGAGCGGTAAAAGAGCTTCCCCCAGAACGTTTTCAGAAAAAAACAATTTGCGGTGTTCACCAGAACTCGACCGGGAATTATCCAAAAATAAAAAGCCAAACCAAGTCATCCCCGCCATCTAAAGTGTATGCTGCAATATCCCACTGAAAATTTAAATCTAGTAGTTTTGAAATGACAGTGCACACGGACTTTTAAAAAGTAGTTTTCAGAAAAACCCGTCTAAAATTGAGCTGTAAGAGTTATAGCGTTAAAGACCAGGATATTAATAAGACAATAACATTAAGAATATTGATTCCATAGACCTTAAGTTTTAGGGACATATTTTATAAAATTTTAAACAATAAGACACACGAAAAAAAATCGAGCAAAGCTTAAGCTTAGCTGAAGTGCTTGGAGTGGAACCTTACTAAAAGCTTGGAAAAGCTTTTTGCAGTTTTAGATTCCCAACAGAGGCGCACAGTTTGACATCTTTATTAAACTTCGCTGGGCTTGCACCTGTAGAGTAAACAACAAATAAAGTATCATAAAAAAGGATATATATACAAGTATCAATATTTTATATTAAAATATAATTGAAATTTTCTTCTTTGGCTCATTGTTGTGCCAGACTTATTTTTTTCAGCATAATAAAGGTTCTCACTACGTTTTCCTTTAAATTGAAAGGATCGTAGTTTCGGAATGTCGGTTTTTTAAAATGATACCGAATTCTAGAATAACACCCTTAATGGTTGTCCGCTTTACATGATAGAAGGATACATTTAAGCACAAAAAAATCGATTTTCGTTTTTTACTCCACATATACGGTTTTGGCAAAAAATAGCATTATAGGCAAAAAATAGTTTAATGCTAAAGTTCATACGGACAGACAAACGGGCATGGCTAGATCGTCTCGGCTATTGATCGTGACTTAGAATATATATAGAGTCGGAACTTAAACAAATAAAATATACCCTTTTTACTCTACGAGTAACTGGTATAAACAGTGTCCCTTATCAAGACGGGAAGCATATACCCTTGTAGCCATTGCAAAAATTAAATATTCTTGAAAACACTTAAATTTCGATTTACATGCGTATATTTTTAAAAACGTTAAAAATATGATGATTTCAGCTCAATTATTCGATCGTTCCTAAGCCAATTATTTGATATCGTTTTCTGATTTCAATAAAATTAAAAGCGTAAATCTGAACTATCAAACTTTTACTATTTCCAAAAGAATTTGTTTAAAAAATTCACAAACAGGGAAGTTAAATTTTTTAAAATGTTCATTTTCATTTTATGTTTCGATTGTTCCAATGGGAGCTATATGATAAAGTCGTCCGATTTTAATGAAATATAAACCGTAATTCTGAAGTATTTAATCATTACTACATCACGAAGATAGCTTTTTAACTGAGAGACTAGTTTGCGCAGAAACGGACAGACAGACGGACAAACGGACATGGCTTGATCGACTCTCCAGTGATGCTGATCAAGAGTATATATGTTCTATAGGGTTGAAGATGTCTCCTTCGTTGCAAACTTCTGACTGAAATTAAAATACCCTCTGCAAGGGTATTAAAATGAAGCGAATGATCTAATGTACTGATTTTTATGTATACACAAGATATTTAAGATTTAAACTAGTAAATATGTCAGATATATTTTATCTATAATACATAAGGTGGGTGCCCAGCTAGCACTGCGGATCCCTTGCAGCCTCACCTTCCAGTGGTGTGGCCTCAAGGTCGCGACCCACTTGGAGGCCATTGTTCTTGGCATTCACACCGACGAAAAGCACCTAGCACCTGGCACATGATATCTGACACCCAGCACCTAACACCCAGCACCTGGCACCTGGCACGCGTGGTTGTTTTGTTATCGATTGCTAACCCATTTGGGAGCGCCAGTCTCCTGGCAACAGCCCATGATTGCGCCAATCAATCGGGTAGTGATTTGGTCAGTAGTTGGGTATTCATCCATTGTTTCAAACGGTGCGGTGATTGTGTAAGAAGAACAGGACATGTCGAAGGCCAAATCCATCCTTGCTGTGGACAAGGAGCAGGAGCTGCTGCAGAGCTTTCTGCGCACAGGAGCGGCGGCGGAGGAGGAGTCGCAGGACGAGGCAGGCAGGCGCACCAAGGGTCGGTCCCACAAGCCGCCCATCTGGGAGCGGCGCGAGTCCACGGATCGCGGTGGGCGGGGTGGCGGACGCGATGGCAAGCAGGCGGACGACGGAGGAGCGGGCGGAGGCGCCGGTGGCGACGGCCAGGGTGGCAAGCGGGGCAATCGCATCGAGGCCGAGCTGCGGGCCGCCCGCAAGCGGATCGAGGAGCAGATAGCCAAGAAGAAGAAGCCCAAGGAGAACTTCGTCGACTTCTACACGGACAAGGACCGGGCGGCGGCGGTCAGCGCCGGCGCCTTCGACATCAAGCAGAGTCTGCAGATCAAGCAGAAGCAGGACCGCAACGAGGCGCTGCTCATCCCCGACGAGGCGGACATCAGCTCGGTGATCGCCCTGGGCCTCAAGGAGATCAAGAACGCCAATCCCGAGAATGCCATCCACTTTTTCTGCAAGGTGCTACTGGTTACTTTCTAATCTGGTTTCACGGATTAATAGACAATTCGATTACCCAAAATCCTGATAATTCAGATTTTAAGAGGGCAAAATATATATCAAAACTTTCCAGGTATTGATCAAATTTGTAAGGGTAATTTACTTAAAAATAATATTTATTATAGTTGATATAAAATATAAATTTAAAATTGTATTAACTAACATTACATAACGATAAACATTTGTAAAACATAAATCTTGAACGGTTCGAGAATTAAGAAACTTTTTTTATTCTATATCCCTTATAGACTGTTATTTACTATTTGCAACATAATCGATCGTTATTATGGAAACCTTTAAGAGCAACATTATAGAAAACTCTGTCACAGATCGACTTTTAGAGTACCAATGATATGAATTTTGTTTTACAATTACTTGATTGCTTACCAATGTAATGTGCTTTTTTCGTTCATCAGGCACTGGAGCTAAATAGCACGGACATCAACGCTTTGATTTCGCGCAGCAAGTGCTACCTTTTGCTGGGCGAGGCTTCCAAGGCGCTCCAGGATGCGGAGACGGCGCTGGGGGAGGACAAGAACAACATCCGGGCCATCTACCAGAAGGCCGAGTCGCTCTACTACCTGGGCCAGTTCGAGCAGAGCCTGATGTTCTTCCACCGCGGCCTGAGGGCTCGTCCGGAACTGGCCCTCTTCCGGCTGGGCGTCCAAAAGACGCAAGAGGCCATAGAGAACACGATCGGTAGCAAGCCCGGTCTGGTGGCGGCAGCGCCTTCCGCCTCCGCCCCCAAGAGCGGCAAGGGGCGGAAGTCCGGAGAGGAGACGCCAAAGTCGCAGGCAGCTGGCGCCAGGATTCGCCAGAAGCCCAGTCGAGCGGACCTGGAGCGACGCAATGCCCGCAAGCTGCTGGGCGAACTGTGCGTGGACAAGGAGTACCTGGAGAAGCTCCTGCTGCATCCGGACCTGGTCCGGGCGGACACCCACACGGAGAGTATTTCCGCGTACGCCCGCGAGGCGGTGGAGTTCCTCAACAAACGGCAGGAGTTCTGGCGCCAACAGCGTCCATGCACGGCGCTGCCCAACCACAAGAATCTGCCCCATGACGCCCTGCCCAAGTGGTTCTAGTGGTTCCACTGGTTCTAGCTGTCCCTGGGACTTCGATGTTAAGTTTTTGTTTGAGTTGAGCCCACTTGATAAGCTAAAAATAAAAGGCAATAAATGAAATAATAATTTACATTGAATAAGAAAAACATACATACATACTTGTGTCCAGTTTCATTGAGGATACCATAATTTTTCATTGATTTTCAATTAGGACCAAATATGATTTGCGTTTGGAAAAGCCACTACAGCGGTCCAACTTGTTTATTGTTTTTCGACTGGGGTTTATTTTAATCTTAGGCGTAACTTCAACGATTTTAACAGAGTAATTGCAATTTCTCAATTTCATTGATATACTTTTTTGGTCAACTAAAACACTTGAATTCAAATGTAGCCTCGAATCGATCGAATACAACGATAGCTTAACAATGTGGAGTATAAGGTAATACTTGCAAATAGTTGTTCAATAACAATGGATACATATGTTTAAGTTAAATCGTTACAGGGTTCGATTGCTGCTCCAGAGTGTATACGTTTATTTCATAATTTGACTAGTACGGCTATAATTCATTTAAACATTACATTTATGCAGAGTAGTTTAATACTTTGTCGCTTATATATTCCATTCCATTATTCATTACTTGTTCCTCCCCGGCGCGAATCCGGTGCAATGGGGTTGAGTGTGTCTGGCCAGCGGTAAACAAGTACAAAAAGAAAGCAAGTTCGGGTTCGTTCGGGCTTTAACTAGGTGGAACTATTAGTTGACTTTCAATTTAGTTTGATTCCGGTTAAAAGCTATCGCAACAAACAAACAGGTAATACTCTAGTAACATAGATTCCATGCGGAGTGCAGATATTGCCAGGAGTTCTCCTCCTCCACCGGGTGGCCCAATATATTCGAGTATATTTAACATTAAATACAGCGTTTCGGAATGCAATCGGAGTGCAAGACAGCGAGCTGAAAGGGTGGATCATCTGATTAGAGAAATTTCACTATATTAAAATAAAAAATAGGTGCCGGACTTACCCCGTGTGCGTAGCCTGGTGCTCAGTTGTTGGCGGGTCGCGTGGGCAGCGGCGGTGCATTGCCGCTCCTATTTGGTATGGGTGGTGGTCCCCTGCGGTTCGGCAGCGGCGGCGGCGGCCCCATCGGTGCCCCCATCACGGGCGGCGGCCCAGCCGGCGGCGGATGGCGTGGCTCCGGCACGTCCTCCTGGATCTCCTCGTAAATGTTGCTGGCGGTTTCGTAGGCGGCATCGGCTGGCATCTGATCCTTGGGCGACGCCACCTGCCGCGTGGGCGTCGAGACGGGCGTGGCCTGTTTGCTCTGCATTTGGCGAGGCGGTGTCGGCGGTCCGGAGAGCAGGGCCGGAGCCGTGGGCGAAGCCTTGCCCGAGGAGGAGGTCGACGAACTGGCGGAGGCCAGTTCCGTGGGCGACTGCGACTTCGAGGATGGCGTGGTGTCCATCGCCGGCGGACGGGGCGGTGCAGGATGCGACTGCGGCTGCGACTGATGCGGCTGAAGCGGCGAGGGAATCAGGGGCTGAGATTGTGGTTGAGGTGGTAGCGGTGGCTTCGCCGGCTTGGGCACAATGCTGATGACGCCCACGTGGGGCAGGTGGCGAGGCGAGTTCTTTGGCGACATCGGCATGGGGGGTCGGGCGGGGGGACGTGTCGGCGGCTGCTTGGGCCGCTGCGGCAACTCGGGCGTTATGGCCTGGAGGAGTTGCGCATGCTCCGACGGATTGGCGCACAGCGGTATGGTGTTGGTGGTGCACAACTCGATCTCACTGTCCACCAGATGCTGCCAGTCGCTGGACTTGAGCTCCAGGATGAGGTCCAGTCCGCACACTTGCGTACTCTTCTTGGAGGCCGCATTCAAGGCCGATTCTCCATCGCGAAAGGTGACCCACATGGTGTCCTCCACGTAGCGCACCAGGGTGACCTCCCCCATCTTGGACAGCTCGGCAATCAGGGCTGACATCACGTTCTCGTCGTAGATGGTGGGCCCATCGTCGTCCCCCGTCGACGCAGCCTCCAGCACATGCACCACAATCGTCGAGTCCGGCGGACCCAGGTCGCGGATCACCTGCTCGAAGACCGCACGCCTGCGCTGCTGGTCGATCTCCATGATCTCCGCATCGATGATGGCGATCACGGGTCGATGGTCGCTCTGCTTCAGCTCCGAGCGTCCGTAGTGGATCAGCTTGCCGGGATTCCAGGCCGAGGCGGCGAAGTCGCCCTCGGCCAAGGCCTTCCTGCGACGCCAGAGCACCCGATCCGTCCAGGCGGGCGCACGCTGCTTCTCCGACGTGTCGTAGTCGTCGCTGAAGAGGTCGTACTTGTACGTGGGATCGAAGCCGATCTCGCCCTCGAGGAACTCCCCGAATACATTGCCCGCCTCCTGCTCCTTGCGCAACTGATCGAACTCGAGCACAGTGGGAAGATCGCCGTTTCGGACGCACTCCTTCAACTCGTCCTTCTCCATGTCGATGCGGTAGTTGAAGTCGCCGCACCAGAACACCCAATCGTGCGATTTCAGGGTCCTGCCCATCGGAAATGCCAGCTTCCGGGTGATTTCCGCATAGTCGGCGTTCCTTTCGGCCACCTGCGACTGCCCGGCCGCAAAGTGGGCGCACACAAAGCACATGGATGTGCCGTGCAGCACGAAGCGAATGGCACAGGCACCCTTGTTCCCAGTGGCACCGCCCAGGCCCGTCTTCACGCAGTCGATGGCCACGTCCCGGATGTGCGGCGCATGCTCCGGCCGGATGTAGATGTACAGGCAAACGCCCACCAGCTGCTGGTACGTGAGCAGCACGTAGTCGTTGTCCCGCGAGATCGTCTTCTGCAGCTCCTCGGCCCACAACTTGGCATTGTCCGTGCTGGCCGCCATTATGTTGGAGGCGTTCAGGTCGACGATCTCCTCGAATCCGATGGCGTAGATGTCCACCGGATGGTCGGCATGCTCCGACGGATTGTTCACATCCACCAGCGCCTTGGAGCGGGCAAGGGCGTGACAATCGAGCAGCCAGTCGGCCAGCGAATCCTTGAACACAATGCTGCGGAAGTGCTTGCCGCCATTGACATTGTAGGTGCCCACCGCCACCCGGGCCATCCGCGGACGCACGTACTCCGTGTAGCGCTTGCACAGCTCCCTCAAGACGGTGGTGGGGGCATGCAGCATGTTCGAGGGCAGCAGAATGCGAGCCCGATCTGCCAGTTCCGAGCTGAGCGTGGAGCCCACAAGCAGCACATCAATGGCCTCCTGCAAATGGCACACAGAAGTAAGCAAAAGAAAGATGAGAGGAAGACAACCTGCTTACCTGCTTAGAATTGTCGAGTAGATTGTTCTGAATGGTCCTGGCCGCCGATCGTGCCCCGTCCATCAATTTGGACCCACCCTGGATGGCCCCGGTGCCGGCGTAGATCTTGCTGACCTCGTTACCGTTGTTGATCCACATCTGGCGGAAGATCTCCTCGAACCGCGATATATTCTGCTGCTTGCCTCCCATTTTCATGGCCTCCAGCTGCAAGCCGAGCGTGTCCAGTCCGAGGTACGTCTGCACACAGTTCGTCCTGTCCAGACAGTCCAGGCAGTTCGTGCGCACCACACCGAACTGCTCGCGCAACACCTGGCCATTGGACGCGTGGAAGACGCCATAGTTGGCCCCGCAGGCCACGATTCGCTCCTTGAGCTTGGCCAGCGCCGAGAAGTTGCCGCCGCGGCACTCCTGGTGATAGTCGAACACCACATGCGGCACATCCTTGTGGGCCGACATGCCGTGATGGCGCTGGAACTCGTTGCTCAGCATAGCCTCGCCCTCCTTGCTGCCCACCTGGGAGCTGCCCAGTAGGTTGACAATGGTCTGGTAGCCATAGCGTTGCCTCATCATGCTCATGTGGCGATCGAAGGCGGCGGCCGACGTCTCGAACCCACGCGATAGCTTCACCTTGTGCGAACCCACCTGCACGCCGGGCTGCTCCCAGAAGAGCGGCACTGAGCCGCGCGTCTGCACATAGCTGGTCACCTCGCCGTCCACATAGATCACCTGCTCCGTCTCCACGAAGTTGGCCACATAGCCCTCGTCGTTGGTGCCGCGCACATTGAACCGTGTGCCAGCCCGCTCGCAGCTCAGCCGCGAGATGATGGCGGCCCGGGCCTGCTTGGCGCCAATGTAGACGGTGCGCACCTCCACGGAGCCGCACATGGCCTGCAGCAGCCAGGATTGGCAATCGATGCCGAAGCGCATCAGGTGGATGTGCATCATGCGGTTCCAGAAGAACCGATTGTCCGTCTCCTCCGTTTGCTGGCGTCGCTGGGCGCAGAGCGTGATGTCGAAACGGTGCGACGGGGATCCGGATGCCGACGCACTGGCGTTCGTGTGGGCAAAGTAGAAGGTGCCGGAGTTGAGCAGCTTGCGCACCTCGCTGATCTTGTCCTCGTTGGGCGCCGCGTTCTGCAGCGAGACGAAGGTGGTCTGCGTGATCCGGAATATCTCGATGTCGCCGATCTTGCCCATGGACACGCAGCCGGTGACCAGGACCAGAAACAGCACCGTGCTCTCGCCGGCGTTCAGCTGGAGGGCGCCCAGGCAGCCGTAGGCATCGCACACTTTGCTGTACTGCTTCCGGATCACATCCGTCTCCTGCTGGGTGAGCAGGGCCACCGCATGCGACTCGAAGAGGATGCTGTCGCTCTTGTGCCGGTGCTCCAGCAGGACGCTGTGCGGCGAGGGAGCAATGGACTTCTCCAGCACACGGATCACCTTGGACATGGCCATCTTGCGGGGATCTTTCTGCCTTTTTTCTGGGTTTTTGGTTGCTCTGATCTAGTCCCTTGCTGTCTGCAATTCAAGTGTTTTGGGCGGTAGCACTAAGCTAAGACATCTGCGGGTGGAAAAAAAAACAAATTTTAATTGTGGGTGTATTTCACATACAAATGGGTATTTCAGTGGGTTTATCGGTTATTTAACTATGGGCTGCTGAAAAAATTTCTTATTTATCTTAAACTGCCAATAACATTTAAACACTTTTTGGATTTTTAATTTTGTTTACGAATTCAAGCTAAATTAAAATTGATTTTTATAGAAAATTATAATTTAATTTAGAGACAAATAAGACAATCTGTATTAAAGCACTTAAAACACATTTACTTTAATTTTGGATTAAGTCAATCTTTGAAATTACTTATGTATGTATGTATTCTGTAACAGAACAGTTCTATCGCCTTGAACTTCAAAATTTAAACAAAATGAGGGAAAATCGGAAAAGTTTAGCCAGCTCAGCAGACACTTTGAATCGAAATGGCACTAAAATTTCGGTGGCCTGTTAAAAATCAATAGGCAACTCTTAAACATAAACAAACCGAAAAGCGAAGGAATTTTTTCCAATATTTCCGCCTCCCACTCAAGTTCACGCACACACATGCAGGTTCACATGCACCGGCGACAGCTGTGCTCTCTCTCTCTCTCTCTCTCGCACTCTCCCACTCTCTGCGTGTGTGTGCGTGTGACTGATAAACACTTTCTGCGCATTGTATGGATTTTTCACATGCAATTCCCTGGGAATCTCTGGTTTTTTCAGACAGCAAACAATCGCGGCTCCTGGCTAACACTAATTACAGCCATCACCGAAGTTCACAAGGCCAATGGCAGATAAAGTAACTTTGTTAGGGGTTTATTATCGCCGAATACCTTTGTTTGCGATTTTATTGCAAAATTCTCCAGAGCTTTGTACAGTATGACCGTGTTTGGTATGTGTGGAAACGACTGCATTCTTGCTGGCCACGATATTTATCGGTCTATCGACTTAGATCGGGGCGCTGAGCTAAAAATTTGAATTTGCACCGAGTACTAAAACAAAAGCAAAGTCAAGTGTTTATTGGCCACTTTAAAAGATTCCGCCGGACACTTAAAGATAACCCGAGGCTGGTGGCACTTTATCAATGGCGGCCCTAATAGCTGGAGAATCTGAAATATTTGATATCAATAAAATAACTAAATTGGCGGTATCTTAATCGCCCAAAACAGCACACTTTTCTATTTAACAGATAAGGAAACGCCCTCACTTTTGGCCATGACATGACTCCGCCTTTGGGGTTTCTCCGGCGCTCCCTTGCAACACGGAAAAAAAAAATCTTACACTTTTGCATATACAAATATTATCAAATAGAAATATAATTATTCAGACAAGACGGCATTATAGGCTCCGACGTAGAACATCGAATTCCAGTATTTGTATATTTTGTATCACAAAAAAATTTGACTGTTAACAAACTTTGTTAACAAGCATGCCATCTAGTGTTAAATAATATATTAAATCATCCAATTAGTTTACATATCTATTAAAAGAAATTTCTGTGCAGAGGTAATGACGTTTCTTCACGTGTTCACCTTGCTCCTCCAAAGCTGATTAGATATGTACTTAGCCCCTGTGTGGCCATTTTGAAGCTTATAATTGTAAATCACAAACAATCGGGTGATTCATTCCATTCCGCCTTATCAGAAACCAGAGGCCACTAATAAATTTGCATTACGCAGCATTCCATTCCATGTTTTCCGACAATGTAAACAAACGGCGTTCATTTTGGTCATGATGTGATGTTTATTCGGTAATTATCTTTGACTAGCTTTAGGCTTAGGCTACGAGTTTATTTTTAAAATACATACTAAATATAGTTCGAGTTAGCTTGGCAAACGAAGTAACATTTCTAGTCAAAGGGCTGTCGCAGAGCCCACATTTTATCTAATCGCTAAACTGAAAAAAAAAAATCAAGCGGATTGCCGTGCCTTGGGTACTGATAAGCGCATTGATTAATTTACATAATTCCCGGCCAAGATATGGCCGATTTCGGAATTTTTAGCACTCCTCCCCCAAGTACGTCATCCGTTTTAATTGCATTTTCATTTTCACCCATTTTAGGCAAGGCGGGTGTGCAAAAAAAATATCAGCAGTCGTTTTATCGTGTGTGCCCACCAAATATATCTACCCCGGTTCATTAGAATACATCTGCGCTTAATTACTTAATGCGTAAGCTAAAGGCGTCGGGCATCGGTTTGTTCCGGACCTGCATTGAAGGCCCAACTGCATCCTTCTCCTCTTTGCCGCTGATATGCCTGCACTCCTATCTGAAGTCGCTTAATTCATAAATATGTTTGTGTCGCCCTGTTGCCATGGCTTAAGTCCATTAAGATAAGGGGCTGTGTGGAAAGAAATCGAAAGAATTTTCCGCCAGAACAATCCCATTCGATCATGTGACTCGAATGTTCCATAGACACTGCATCTATTGTACGTTGTAATGGTAGTGGTCGCCAGAATGACCTATCACCTCCCCAGATCATTTCCAGACCCGCATTAAGATCGGACAGAAGTCGAGTCGAAAGTGCGATGATAATTACGCTGAAGTGAGTGTGGCGTTGGCGATGGCGATGGCGTGACTAAGCCAAACGTTTCCCACCTATTTGGTCAAAACCCCCCATGACTCAGCTAACTGATAACCGGAACGATCTTGGAAAAGCGTTACCCAAAACAAACATCAATTAAAACCTAGTAAATTTCATTCGCACGATCGTTTCGCTTGTTTCGTTTCGATTTGATTTATTCAATGGCATTCCCTATCGGCGCTTATGTACAGAAGCTGGGGTAAACAAAAAACATAAAACAACTCAACTAAAAGTAATCATAAAGTATAGGCTTAAGGGTAACAATATAACTACGGTGCTTGGCCAAAAATAAATAATTACAATTCAATAAAGCAACAACAAAAGCGGGGAGAACTAACGCAATCATAATGCTAACAAGGGCTGCTTACGTCTGTATAGAGTGGCTACAAAATATGTACGTTATATATACACAAAGCATCGTTAACCAGTTTCCACGAAGCCACCAAACTGCGCCCAAGTCGATCAGCTCGAACGCCTACATCTACAGCTACAGCTACATCTCGGCGTCTCCGGCGAGCGATCGCAACGATCCGCTCGTCGTCTATTCAGTGTCTCTAATCTAATCTAGGTCCGCCTGCCGCCCTTCGCGTCCAGGGGGAGTGCGTGGATGCCGCTCCGCATCCGCATCCGCATCCGTATTCGCATTCGCATTTTTTTACAGCTTTAAGTCTAGACTTACGTAGTGACTAAGGTTCAGCTAATAATACTTCTACCCGACGCTGGACGCTAAACGCCGCTCGCCAGTCGCTTGCAGTCCGCTGAGTTGGTTGCTCACAAGTACAAAATAACAAACTTAACTAGTTGCTGCTACGATACCAGCAATCGCTGCTTGGCTCCCGTGCAGATCAGCGTCTCCCCCGTGGATCCACCGGTGGCTGCCGCTGGTGGCTCTAACGTGGGAGCGGGCTGCGGTGCCAGTGGGGCGTTGGCAGCATCGGAGGCGGGGCTGCCCAGCTCGTAGGCCATACCGCCCCAGTGTAGCTTGTAGGTGCGGGCGCGCCAGCGGATCGCCGGATCCCAGAGGGCGTGCAGGAACAGATAGGGTCCGGTCAGCTCGCGGAATAGCCAGCCGACCACGAACTCGAACTTGTGGAACGGCATCGAGCCGTGTTGGACGATGGAGAGCAGCAGCCAGTCGGACAGGAACCAGCAGAGCACGTGCACCAGGTAGAACACCAGCGGATCCCAGCTGAACAGCACGGAGGCCGACCAGGCGGCTATGGCGCCGAGGATCATGCACTCGGATAGCGGCTCCAGCAGAATAGTTGTGGGCACCATGGCCACGCGCAGCTTGGCCCAGCGGATGAGTCGCGCCTGGAAGCTACCGATGTCGCAGAGGCCGCTGTTCTGCAGCGCCGGCTGGTTGGAGATGCGCATCTTCCAGCCCAATCGCGTCACGCTGCGGGCAATGAAGAAGTCTTCGGCCAGGTAGCAACCGAAGGCCCTCAGGCCGCCAAGCTGGTCGATCACCGCCTTGCGCAGCAGGCAGGACATGCCCGTGTGGCAGTTGATGCCCAGCACGTCCGCCGACAGATAGATCCTGCTCTGCACCGTTCCAAAGAACACCTTCTCGAAGGTGGCCGCAAATCCGTCTCGGTCGCTGGTGAAGGGCATCTGGTGGACCAGCGCGTGCTTATCGGACATGTTCTGCACCATGTCCAGGAGCGTGTCGTCCTTCATCTTGATGCCGCTGTCCGAGATCATCACGAAATCGTACTTGGCGGCCATGTAGCCCGGATGGATGTTATTGATCTTGGGATTCACGCCCACGTCAGAGCCGCCGACGAAGAGTGTGGCGTCCACCAGCGGATACTTGGCCAGCAGCCGCTCCACCAGCTGAATGGCCGGATCCTCCTTGTCCTCGACGCAGAAGAGCAGCTCGTACAGCGGGTAGTCCATGGCGAAGAAGGTCTCCAGATTGTGCTGCAGGTTGGGATCGACGCCCATCAGCGGTTTCAGGATGGAGACTCCGGGCAGCGGCTGGGCCTCCGTGGGCAGCTTGCAGGACTTCTTGTGCAGCTTGTAGCGGCCGTAGCAGATGGCTATCACGTGCACCATCCAGGTGCCCAGCCAGAAAGCCATGAAGAACGCCGCGAAGCCATAAAGCGGCAATGGTAGGTGTGACATCTCTGGGCGTGTGTGCCTGTGCCAATGCCTGTGGGGCTGCGGGGCTGTGTGTGCGTGTGCGGGTGCGGGTGGTGCCCCTAAGGTCCGTTGTGAGTGTGTGCGGTGGCTCCAAACCGAAATCCCCGTTCGTGTGCCTGTGTGAGTGTCGCTGGGTGGGTGGGCGCTCCTATTCTCGCTGCATCTGCTGCGGTCGCTCTGCGGTGAGGCTTGCCCGGTTGCCAGATCAGATCAGATCAGATCGGATCGGATCGAATGGATCAATCGAGTTGCTAACACTGGTCGGCCGTTCTTCGCGTTTTAAACATCTTGCAGACTCGCGTCGCGCTCGTTGGGGTCTCAAATAAACTATAAAAAAAAATCAGCCGAGCAGTGCTAGGGGTGGAAAATCATCGATACCAACATCGGTGTCATCGGTGTTTTTTAGGTATCGCTCTTATCGATGTGTGGCGGGGCAACATCGATAGTTTCGCCATCCCTACTGCGCTTTCCTCTGCCGCAGCGCTGCCCACATTCTGTTGGGAAAACGACGACTAAAATGTTCGTTACAAAAAAGAAAGACTTTGAATTTCGAACTTTGCATACAACTGATGAGGACTATGGATTCCGGCCCGACGAGGACGGTTCTGGAGATGTAAATGAAAGTTAAGGCTGACTGGAGTATAGTTATTTACATATTCACGTTACTACTTTAACTTTTTGAGAGAGTTGTTAAACAAACTTCCAAGCTAAATTGTTTTTCAAATTGAGTTCAATAATATTCGCTCGTCAAAAATGGCTATTTATGTATCTACTTCCATTTAATGAGAATCGGATAGTTCTTGGTAAGGAATGTTGTTTTTTCGAGAGTATCGGTACTTTGAAAAATATTAGTTTTAAAAGCAATATCCGCATAAACATTTCAATACGAATTCACAAGCAGGGTCTGCGCATAAACGCAGCGCGACACTCGTTAACCAACACTGTTCACATTGCTTTCTTTGAAATATCCGTCAGAAAAGCAAGTAAATTTCGGTAGAATGCAGAAGTAAACGCAAAAAAGTCCCAAAAAAAAGCAACGCAATGGAATCCTCGACGAAGGAGCCCTCCTCAGAGGTGGAGCAATCGGAGGATAATCGTCCAGCCAAGACGGATTCGGAGCCCAGCAAGATATCGAAAGCGCTGCGAACGGAATTCGATGCCAAATACCAGATTGTAAACCTTCAGACGCCGCTGAATGCCTTCATGTCTGGTCACTACAAACAGAGCTTCGCGTTCTTCACCCTCAGGAGTCGTCTGCCCGTCGTCCTGACCAACGCGATAGACACCCTGACCCGGGACAAGAGCGAACTGGTCGCCCAATTCGGTAAGGTAATCCCTGGCAGAGTTTTTGGCATGCAGCACTCACTAATTGAGTCTTTAGCCTCCAACGAATTTGCCCAGGCTGCTCGCGAGGAGCTGAAAATCATCATTGGATTGATATCACAGCTGAAGTACGAACTCCAGACGGACAAACCTTTCCACAACTTCACGGGGGAGGGTAAGTGTCTGATGCCTCCAGTTCTTACTTAATCTAAACAAGTCTCTTCCCTAGAACCCGATAGAGAACTCTGGAACAACTTCATCAGTCACCTGCCCAATGGCGAGCGCACTTTCTACCAGGCCAGCTCCCTGCACGCCGAGTGCTACCTGCACCGGAAACTCCACTCCTTCCTGGAGAACAGCATCTTCCTGAAGTCCTACGACTACTTTGCCAAAGTCAAGGAACTGGCGTTGACCGACAGCATGGAGGATGTGCTGGCCCTGACCAAGTACACTCGGCGATCGGACAACAGCCTGGAGGTGTTCGACGCACTGCTGAAGATCAACATGTGGAGCAACAGCAACGATGGGGCCAGCGATGCGGAGGCAGGTAAAAAAACCAACCGCCAGGTGTTGGAGGATGTGGCGGCCACCGATGAGTTTGTGCTCGTCAACCAGGCGGCGGAGATCTGGAGGTGCTTGGACAATCAAAAGCCAAAGAAGCCCAAGCAGGTGGACTTCATTCTGGACAATGCAGGCTATGAGCTGTTCAGCGATTTCATCCTGGCGGAGTTCATGATCGAGAAGGGACTGGCCACCAAGGTGCGCTTCCATGTGAAGGCCCATCCTTGGTTCGTCACCGACGTCACGGAGCGGGATTTCAAGTGGACCCTGGAGTACTTGAGCCAGCATGCAGACTACATTATAAGCCTGATAGGAAAGAAGTTTCTGCAATTTCTCGACGAGGGCAAGTTCGAGCTGGCACCAATTTCGCATTTCTGGACATCGCCACTTGCTTTTTACAGGTGCGAATGGCAGGTATCAACTCAAGTTTCAATACTAAACCAAAGAGTTTTTTGCCTTACAGCATGACCCATACGGATCCAGATCTATATAGATCCCTGCAGCAGTCCAAGCTTCTGGTCTTCAAGGGTGAGCTCAACTATCGCAAGCTCCTGCAGGACGTCTGTTGGGACAGCACCCAGGAAACGAGCACCTGTCTCCGTGGCTTCCTGCCCAGCAATATTTGTGTGCTGCGAAGGGTCAAGGGCGAGGTCATCTCCGGCCTGGCCGAAGGCGTTGGCCAAGCGCTGAGCAGACAGGATCCCCATTGGATGGTATCGGGCAGCTATGGCGTTATTCAGTTTGTGGACGGAACGCGTGAATTCGGCTACTGAGCTTGGCTGCTTAAATTATCTGTGCACGGAGCGCCCGAATCTGGACACTAAATTTGTAAATCCTTGGCAGTTTAAATTATTGATAATAAATAGTCGTTACATATCTAGCAACCAAAGAGAGAAGATTAAAACGTGAAATCTAACGTATCTTTGTCATAAAATTATTCGATTTCACAATTTAAACTTAATATTTTAATATTTATTTTGAATATATAATCATTTTTATTTTATAGATCAATAAAGACTTAAAAACTTAATAGTTGCCAGTCAAATATTTTGTTTAATAGTGTTGCTTATTATTTATTTTTTAAAATACATTTTAAACCAAGTATACTAATATATGGTATTTTGCATCGCACCCAAAACGGTCACACTACGCGCCACACTATCAAGTTATTAACTTTCCGCAACAGTTCAATTCGGTAAACATACTCAAAACTAAAACAGATCTTTCGAGATGGCTGCCGATCCGGAATTCGACACAAAGAATGGAATTGTGGACGGACCAACGCCGCCGCACTCCGAACTGGCGGCCCAATATAGGCAGTGAGTAGGGAGGTCGCTAAATATAGCGCCTAGTATAGATGTTGTCTAACTTATCGTGTGCCGCACACCACACCACTGTACGGGAATTCGCTTATTAGCATATATGTACATTTTACTTGTTACAGGAGCTTCGCCTACTACACGTTCCGTGTGCGCTTGCCCTCGACCTTGGCCACCATCGCGGACTCCCTGGTCAAGGACAAGGACGTCCTGCTGGCCACCTATGGTGCTGTGAGTAGTGGTAGTGGGGTGCCCTGTTCCCTTGACCTTGGACTAAACCCTTTGATTTTCCTCCCCAGGAAGCAGGACCCGAAATTGAACAAACTACAAGGGATGTCATTCAGTTGCGGGAGGACATCCTTAGCAATGGTCCCTTGCTACCCTTCGAGGGGCAGGGTAAGTACTCTAAGGGGTTCGGTCTTAAGATTGTAAAAACATTTTATAGGACGACAGTTAATTTTGTATTGTTAATAAGAACAAAATAGCCTAGTTCTATTGACAAATTATATAAATATATATTTGAATCATCGTTTTACTTAAAAATATTACAAATGCATTTAAGAAATTATTCACTTCTATTATCAGTAAGTGCGTTTAAGTCAATAGAAAAATGTCCCTGACTCAGGCTACATTGAAATTTTATAAAATGAGTGTACAAGAAACAAAAAACAAACTATGTATGTAATCATTTAAAATATAGTCATATGAATTTAGTACCAAAAAAAAGTGGAAAACTTTTTAAAAAAGATTATAGCATTGTCAAGCAATGCTTTGCTATCATGGCTTAGTTTTGTTAGTTTATTTGAATAAATAATTTTTATGACAGCTTTACACTCAACAAAAGGTAGAGTACAGTAATACAAAATAGTTATCTAAAAACACGAATTATAAAAAAGGAGAAGTGATAGTATCTTCGCCTACTCAAACTTAATGGGTTACGGTTAAATTTTGTTAGTGAATGTGAATAAATAATGTTTAAAACTTTTAACTGAAAACTACTCAGGTCTTTATTTTTTAAATAATAATTAGTAAATAGTTTTTCTTAGTGATGTTGATAAACATGTACATAAGGTTCCAATATTCCAACTGTATTAGTTCGCCACTGACAAGCAAATATTATAATTTTCCTGATGAAAAAAGTTGAAACATCGTTATTTTGAAGGATAAGAGACAGACGATATTGGAACATATGTTGTCTTGTTTAACTTAAACGCTTGGATATTTTCTTTTTTTAATTTCGGAGCTGTTTTAAAAACGAGTATTTATAACGTCATAAAAATATTATTGTAGCAAGTGATTGGTATTAAATTCGAATCCGTTTCATTCAGATCGCGACACTCAACTGTGGAACGCATTCCTGGAAAAACTGCCCAAGGAGAAAAGGACCTACTTCTCCGCCTGCTGGCTCTACGCCGAGTGCTACATGTACCGCAAGATCTCAGCCATTTTCCGGGCCACGCCCCATTTGTCCGCCCACGACTACTTCAGCCAGCAGAAGCAGACGGCGGCCAAACTGAGCGTGGACGCCATGCTGGCGGTGGCCAAGGCCACGCGGCAGAACGATCGGAATGGGGACACCTTCCGGCAGCTGATCAAGCTGAATCTGTGGGGCAACCGCTGCGACCTGTCAATCACCTCCGGCAAACAGGTGAAGCCCACTGGCAACGCCTTCGACCAGGTCACGGACCTGGAGGAGAAGTTGCTGATTGACGGCACCGCGGAGGTGTGGAGAGCCCTCGATGCAGCCGCCGGCGACGGCATTGTGGACATCATTTTCGACAACGCCGGCTACGAGCTGTACACGGACCTCATCTTGGCCGAGTACATCGTCGACAAGGGACTGGCGGCCAAGGTGCGCTTCAACCCCAAGGCCATTCCCTGGTTCATATCGGACGTGATGGAGCACGACTACCACTGGACGCTGCGATTCCTGGCCGAGCATCCGGATCCGGTGCTGAGTGAATTGGGCAAAAAATGGCAGATCTTGACCACGGAGGGCAAGTTCGAGCTTGCGCCGCTGGAACACTTCTGGACCAGTCCCTACGAGTTCTATCGCATGCCGGAGGTGAATCCCGCCCTCTACGACCGTCTGAAGGAAGCGCAGCTGGTGATTTTCAAAGGTGATCTTAATTACCGAAAGTTGTTAGGGGATTTCTCGTGGGACAGCACGGAGTCCTTCGAAACCTGCCTGAGGGGTAAGTGCGGCACCAAAAATTATCAAAGTATACTTTTGTTAAAGATTTCATGAACCTTTACGATGGGGTTTCATTTCGTAAACAGTGTTGGGGTGTACCTATATACGGGTACCTAGTTACACTTTTTTGATATCTTATACCTTAAACACAAATGAGACTATATTACCTAGGTAATCTATCTTTATTTATCTTAAAATTTGGTATAATATGTATTTAGGTTCTGAAATATTTTTATTCGATTTGGTTTTCAAATTAGCTTGAAACCACTAAATTGAATTTCGTGTTATTTTCCCCAATATGTTAATAAAAAATAAATAATTTTACTGCAAATTAAAGAGAAGTTAATTCCACCGCACATGCAAGATAAAATATGTTTCGTGTTACATGTTTATGCTATAACAAATACGCAATATCACAATTCCTCTGCAACTTTGTAAAGAAGAAAACGTTTAAATTTAAAAAAATAGTATTAAAAATGTTTTTTACCTCTTTTTGTACCTTTTACCTTACCTAGATAAAATAGAAAGTGGTGTACCTTTTACCTTACCCAAGTACTTATTTTTCAAAATACCTTGTAACTTACCTATATCCAAAAAACTAGTACCTTTCCCAACACTTCGCCTATAATCTTTTCCAACTTTGAGAGTCGATTTTTTTCAAAATGGTTTTCGTAACCAGACTGAAAACACACTGAACATGAATTAAATAAAGAAAATGAAGGTCAAATTTTATAAGTTATTGTTATTTAGTAATATTTACACACTTCTAATCTTTCTTAGGCTTTCGTCCCTCAAACCTTTGCACTCTGCGCACGGTTAAAGCGGACCTGATCTGCGGACTAGCCGATGGAGTGGCGGAGCAACTGTTTGCCAAGGACAAGGAGTGGATGCTGACCGGGGAGTACGGAGTCATACAGTTCGCCAGCAAGTAAAGGACGAAATCAGGACAAGGACAGGCGTATAGTTCAATTGTTGTAGTCTTAATTACTAGCTTAATATTGTTAAAAAGTGGAGTGGGCTTATGCTAGAGGCGGAAAGTCAGTCTTTCATTTTTAAAAACTTCTGTTTAGCAAGTAAATAAGTAAAAACTGAATTTGTTTGTAATCAAAGTCGCTTCCTATAGAGCTTAATTTATTGGCATTGTAAAACTAGTCTCCTTTCTTGTTAAATTTCTTTGTATACTCTGTTTTTAATAAATTGTTTTAACTTGTTAAAGTTGATAAAGATATTTTACCAAAAAATGTTAACTTAATATTTAGAGAAAAAAAGCATGCCTATTGTAAATAAGAAAGAATACTTACAAGTTCAGATCTTTTCGCCGCTAGCATTGGATTCACTCCCTATAAAGCCTTTGCATTGTTATAAAAGCACACGTACTCACACTCATGAGCAATGTCAGTTGCCCAGGGGGCAACTAAAAATTAGTAAAAATTTTCAATTTGAAGAGGAAAATTTTTCTGGCAGAGGGTGGCGAAATTCTCCGTTTTTAGCCAAAATGCAGAGCGAATCCGGCAGTCACACTGAGTTGACGGATGCCACGATTGCGGACAACGAGGCCATCGTGGAGCAGATGAAGGAGTTGCGATTCAACGAGAAAAACTTGATCATATACTCCGCGCCGGGAATCAATGATGAACTCTCCGCCAGATATCTGCGCAGCTACGCATTTGTGACCCTCAAGCGAAGATCGCCTGCTTTTATCGGGGATCTGATCACTGTGCTGCGAAATCGGGAGCCAGAAATCATTGAGGAGTGCGGTGATTATGCCCACTTCGACCTGAAGCGCACCATCTGGAGCCTGGAACTGCTACGCGGGGAGATGCTCAACAACGACGAGTTCCAGATATTCCGGGTCAAGGCCCCGGACACCGAGAGTTGGAATGCCTTTCTGCTGGCACTCACCGAGGACCGAAGGCAATGGTTCTCGGCCGTTTGGCTGCACGCCGAGTGCTACATGTACCGCCGCATCTGGTCGATCTTCCAGCGCTCCGACACCCTCGCAAACTACGACTACTTTGGCGAGCAGAAGACGTCGGCCACGAGGTCCTTGACGCCCATGATGAGAAACATCCTGGTGGCCAGTAGGAAGCTGCCGCGCAGCCAGGAGAATTTCCAGCATCTGCTCAAGCTATCCGTCTGGGCCAACCGCTGCGATCTGTCCGTCACAACCGAGGCTCCGGATGCCAAGATTTTCCATCGCATTGCGAAGTACGATGCGAATCTGCTGGCCGATCAGTCGGCGGATATATGGAAGGACCTCACCGAGGCTTGCGAACCCGTCTACGTGGACATCGTGTGCGATAATGCGGGGTTCGAGCTCTTCGCCGACCTGCTGCTGGCCGAGTACATCGTGGAATCGGGCTTGGCTCGTCGGGTGCGGTTCCATGTGAAGGCCATTCCCTGGTTCGTCTCGGATGTCACCCATCAGGACTTTCACTGGATGCTGGACTTCTTTCGCAAGCACAATCTGCCGGAGCTAAGGGTTTTCGGCAGGAAGATACGCGGCTACCTGCGTGACCGTTCGTTTATCCTGTGCGACAAGAGCTACTTCTGGACAAGTGGCCACGACTGCAGCCAGATGAAGCGGGTGCAGCCTTGCCTGTATGTCTACATCAGTGAGGCAGCCCTGGCGATCTTCAAAGGCGACCTCAACTACCGGAAGCTACTCGGTGACATTAACTACAAGTCCACTGTCCCGTTCGCCGATTGCCTGCGGGGCTTTCAGCCAACCAGCGTATGCGCTCTGCGGGTCATCAAATCGGACATCTACTGTGGACTGCCAGTCTGCACTGTCGAGTGGCTAACCGAGGACAATCCGGAGTGGATGAGCACTGGCAAGAAGGCCGTCATTCAAGTGGCCATCAAGCATCGACTGTCGAGTGACACTGTTGTTTGATTTACACAAATTATGATTCGTTCTTTTCTGGATATCGCAATTGACAGCACATATTTATATGTAGCTATTGTCGTTTTATTAATTATCTCCTAAAGTTTAGGCGGTGTAAGTCGTTAAAATAAGTATTGCATTCCGTATTATAGACTACAACTAAGCATTATCAAGTAAGTATGAATGGTAGAAAAATATGTATGCTCTAAGGCCATATTTATAGCTATCTATATATTATATATTATATGTATGTATGATCGCTGCGATGCTTCGAATTGTTCAAGTCTTATCAATTGCCGTTACAAAAAATTATGGGCAAATACCAAAAAAAAAAAAAAAAAGACAATTTTAAATTTCATGCAATATCTCTAGCTGTCGCTTTACACATCATCTCAATCTTTGCGTTTCGTATTCATAATTAAATAAAATCCAGTAACTAAATGGATATTCTGCGTTCCGTTTCATCTCTTTTCGTTTTGGAGGGATTTGCTGGCCGCTGGAACTCACAACACGCAGTTGGGATTGAGCTGCTGATATGGCGTCAGATCTTTGGTGATCGAGAACAGAGCTCCGTCGCGCACCATCTTGCACATGAGGGCGCCCAGGTTCTTGGCATCGTCGATCCCCGAGTGGGCCCTGCCCTCGAAGGCCAGTCCCACGTGCGACAGGGCGTCGCTGAAGTTGCACGGGCGGTACTTGTACCACGACCGATAGATGGCCCGCACATCGATCCACTGGTTGAAGTAGGCCGCCTTCCTCATCCGCTTGCGGGTGCACTCCTTCGCCAAGCAGATGCCAAAGTCCCAGTCCGTCCAGGTGACGAAGGCGCAGTTGCCCAGTATGTTCGACTTGCTCATCTTCGGCAACGTGAGGTTGCGGGCTCGCAGCTCCTTGCGCAGCCACTCGTGGAACATCATCAGTGCCGTCTGCAGCGGCACTCCGCTGTCCACAGTCTTCTGCTGGATGCCCGTCAGCTCCGTGCAGTAGCTACTCAAGCGTGGCGACTCGATGGGCAGTATGTACTGGTGGAACTCCGCCTCGATCTTGCCCGTCTTCAGGTTGACCAGCACGGCTGGGAATTCTGAAAGTTGTATATATGTACATTTAGTATTGCTCGTACTATAGCAGGCAACGAGAATAATGACTTTTGAAATATAAAAATCAAAAACTAAAATATTAAAATTTGATTAAGTGGTTTCTTCTTTCTTGATTTTTCTACAGATTTGTCTACAAGGTCTTGCAACAATGGTCTATGCTACATTTTGTTTAACTCAAGGCATAAATCTAGTCCAATATTCGATTTTCTTAAAGCTCAAACATTATCTTACCAATAATCTCCGCTTCTCGCCACTGCGGGGGCGCCTGCTTCTCCCAGCAAGTGGCCTCAAAGTCCACGGCAATCACATACGTGTAGGGCTGCATGGCCAGTTGCTTTGACTTCCTGGACTTCTTGCTTTTAAGGGGCACTGTGTTGGCTGCTGTGATTTCGTCCTCGTTGAGCGACTCCTCGGGATCGTTGGCTGGATCTGGGCGAGCTCCGTCCACGTATATAGTATCGATGAGGCCCAGTTGTCTACAAAAAAAACCAACAGAACACGAAAGCATAAGCGTTAGTTCCCAGGTAAGAGCTCTTCTAAGTTTTTTTTATAGATTTTCTTTGGGAATTTATGCAACACAAAAAAAAAATAGGAATGTTGTTTTCAGAGCTTCTTCTCCAGCTGAACTGAGTATACGAACACACCAGATTGAAGTGAACTACACCTACTACTGTCTGGGAAATAGTTTTGAAAGCACAAAACGAGAAGATCCTAACCTTCTCCTACTGCTGCTGCTGTTTGCCGTAGCACACGATCATGGGTTTGCTGTGCCACAGCAGGCCATTGGTCTCGTCGAGGGCTTGGGCTATGACCTCCGGTTCGTTGGGCTTGTTAAGAAAGGTAACAAAGGCCTGACCCTTCATGCGACCCTGCTGCATGACTTTGATCTCCAAATTATCGGGGGCCGTGTACTTGGCGTAGAGATCCCTCAGCTGCCGCTCATCCACGCTCTTCTCCAGGTTCTTGATGTACAGCTTGTTGCTGGGCTGCCCCGTCTTGTAGTTCCTATAGACAGGCAGAGCCTGCAGTTCGCTGGCGGACAGACGGCCCTCTGGCTTTGAGGTGGCTGGCTTAAGGGTCTCTGGCAGTTTGAGTTCGATTTTGGGTGCATTGAAGGTGGGTAATTGAGTTTCCCGCCTGGGAATTGGATGACTAGCTTGATGGACAGCCTGCTGCAGCATGTGACGGGTTCTCTTTTGGATCTTTTCGCTTGAAGGTGGCAGCAATCGCTGCCTTTTGGCCCTCTTCTGCTCCTCATCGTCGCTCTCCAGCTCGCTTTCCGATTCGCTGGACATGACCTCCGTTTGGGTGGCCACATTTTGCCGAAAGCTTTGGACCATCAAGCCACTGGGGCGCTTCTCAAAGGGTGGCTCCAGATTCATGCGGTTCATCAGGTGCAGGACTTGGGTGTAGAAGCGCGTGTTTGACTGCAGGCTCTGACCGATCCTGGCTAGGATTTCCCCGTTTATGGGTGGATAGCTATAGCGGAGGTAGGGCGGCGGCGGCTGGGTGAAGTCGCACTGATTATTGCAGGCATATAGCCTTCGAACGTACTTGTCGATTTCGGGATCCTGTTTCTGGGAATCGGTGCGCGGTGCCTTTGTCTGCGTGGACTTGCTGGCACTGGTGGCTCCCGCAGTGGCACGTGGTCCAAAGGCGCTGATGCACAGCGGTTTGTCCAGCATTTCGCTTAGCCCATGCAGCTGCTCCAAGGCCTTTTGGGCCTCCTGCGGATCTGCATACTCCAGGAGCACCCTTTTCCGCCCGTAACTGTTCAGTGACCGCGGCAGGATCAGCTTGCACTCCTGGATCAGCTGCCCCAGTTCCTCCAGGGAGCAGGGCATCCGTTTCAGGAGCAGTTTGCTGCTGTGCTCGCTCATTTTCGGCCGGATTTGTTTAACAAGTCCCCAAAATTTCAATGCCGCATGCAAAATGCATGAAAAACATGGCCGTGCTGCCACCCAGTCGCAATTTAACAGCGGCGCTGCGTTTCACAACACTGCATCTTGGCGGGATGTTTAAAAAAAAACCCGCTGATGTTGCAAAAGCCGGTTGTTTGGTCGATAAAATCGAGTTGCAAAAAGCTGGTACCGTCGACTCTTACTTTCACTAATTGCACCGGTTATCTCACAATCAGATAGCTGTGCCTCTGTGTTGGCTGACGAAAATCACAAGAAGAAACATTTTTATCACTCAACATTTTTGTGAAGAAAAGTGTACATTTTGTTTACAGATAATAAGGGTCGTATTATTAAATTATTATTAAAGTATTATTAAATAAATAATTATAAAAAAAAACTAATTTAAACCGAAATTGGTTACAAACAAATTTTGTATTCATTGCCAATAGGCTTTTAATGCTAATACAAATAAAATTTGACCTTTTATCAGTAATTTTTTATTTATTGTAATTGTAAAAAAATTTTTTTGATATACATTTATATATTGAATACATACATATATATATATATATATATATATATATATATATATATATATTTGAGTCTATATTATGAGTTGTGGAAGCCTCTTGATATTTTTAAATTTTAAAAATTGTTTAATTTTAAAATCATTTACATCAGATTAATATGAGTTTCAGTTTATGCATGTATTTTTTGTATTGGTACCCAAATTTGTTACTTTTAAAGGTATGAATTAAAATAGGTTTTTTTGGCTCCAGAGAATTTGATAAAACAAATTAGAAGCTAAAGAAAGTTCAACTGTGAATCAAAAGTGATATCAGTCTGCAATGGGGGACTAAGTAGTCAAAGACAAATGAACGAATCGCGTGCCATCGCCGGATTATCATGTGAACAGTGCACTGTACATTTAAATGCATTAAGCTCCCGTTGGGGTTTCTTGATGGATTAGATCATTGTGGTGGAACTACTCTCAATTCGATTTGGGTAATTTTCTATTTTTTAGATGCTATCCAGCCTCCGGAGTCAATGCACTTTTGGCGCACGCTCCGCGCATTCAATCAAATTGAATTACATATGAAAAATGCCTGACATGATCTGCTTTTTGATATATGGCACACAAAGTGGTTATAAAAAGATCAGCGCACACTCGCGCACACCAGATTGCATAAAATTTGCAATGATTAAATGGACAGCGGCAAAAAAAAGGGGGGTGAAATGCAGGCAGCCCCAGTCGCACTTTCGCTTTTCACTGGCTTTTTGGGCGGTAAAAAGGGGGCGTGGGTGGGGGCGGCGCTGGTCCGTATGCGGAAGTCCACTTTTGCACAAACAATACGAAATTGGATGAATGAACTCTGTGTCTCTGGCAGCCTGCACGAAAAAAAAAGGAAAACCACTTTTAAATTCACTTTTACTTGCGCCAATTGAAACGAGTCCGCGCTGTCGGCTTTGCATTCTAAGTGACTTTAATGGGTTAAGCTATATTTAGAAAATTGCAACAAATTTCCAAGTAGGCGGAATGCCAGTGGAGCACAGCAATTTGCATGCGGAAAGAGGTTAAATGGAGGAAGGATCAATTCAAAATAGAATCGAGCCAATATAAGATTGAACAACAAGGAAGGGTTTGCTATTTCGTTAAATATAACAACTTTTGTTGTGCTTAATATTTATTTTGTTATTTATCTATCGAATAATAATTGGGTTTCCAAGTTAAAATAATATAATCTCCTAGGACAAAAACTTTAAAATTGAGTTTAAGGTTATTGAGTTACTTATCATTTAATGTGCAATATTTAAGTTTACAGTAAAATTATTTAATTATTTATCTACAGCAATACTAGTTTTCACCTAACCAAAAAGTTATCTTCCCATTTAAATTTCCACACCACCCGAATGATTCACTTAAAAGTATCCTGAGTCAGCAACAGGTTTTCCAATTGGTCACAACCTCCCCGAATTGTTCGCCAAGTGATGACAAGCCCCTTTTTACTCATTCTATTAATTGGCCAACGAAAATTGCAGTAAAGTGCGATTTTCTTTGTCGCCAAACAATGTGGCCTATAGTAATTACGATTCGCACTACTGAAAGGCACTATTAATTAGCTATATGTATTTTCCTAGGCCCCAACAGTAGTTAGCCCAATTGTAGGAGGTAATGAATTGACCAAATGAAAATCGTGCCTTAGCACAATGGAGCTAACAAAACAAACAAAAAATAACAAAACACTATAAATAACCCGAGGCTTTTTGCTTGCCAATGGAAAAATATTCGCATTGCAAATTGGAAAGCTATTCATTTGCTGTTAAACAAAGACAAGTTAAAGGTATATTAAATAAGTTCTTAAATCTATCTAGAATACAGCAATAGCTAAAAAGTTAAAACATTTAAAAATTAACTTTAAAATCTGCCGGTGAAACAAGCCATTTTGTTTAAAGTTAATAAGTTGATCGCCTAATCCGAAACCGTATTTTTCGAACTGATTTCTCAAAAAAAAAACTTGACCGATTTCAAGCACATGTGTGGTTATCGCCCGAACTATGAAAATTGAGAAAGGTCATCTCGTTCTTGTTAACAATAAAAGACTAAACCCTTGCTATTTAACTTTTAGATTGCAGTTCAACTAATCAGTCGGTATCGTGGTTTCTTCAACAAAGTCGTAAATAATTAAGTATCTTTCAATGGTCAAAGTTTAAAGTTCTACGTTTTTATGGTTGCAAAAAACAAATTCCTTAAAAGTGCTAGGCCCTTACGCATAGAAATCCATATTTTATATTCTTTTTATAGCTGCAAGGGTATATTAACTTTGGATTGCCAAAGTTCGCTTTTTTCCTTGTTTTTTTTTTGGATAGTTAAAAACTAAAGTCCAAAAACTGCGAATTTAATCGCAGAAAGACTGGAAGTTATTTCCAACTGGTTATACTGAAGAAATACAATTAATAAGTTTAAAAATCTTTGATGGACAAAAAATGAAATAAAAGTCCGATAGTATAGCTTATTATGTTTTATGAGAGTGCTTAGCGAGATCACGTGGCAGCACCTCTTGCACTTAAATACATTATCGTGCAGGCAATTGACTTCCCCTTGGCTTTGCTAATTGCCACTTGCAGATACGAGCATGAGTATTTATTTACGGATGATTACCGTCAAGGTCCTGCAAAAGGGGCAGCTCGGCCTGAGTTGAGGCTGGGCTTATTGCAATTGATAGAAATTAGCAAGTAGCTGGTGATGCAGGGCGCGGAGTGAAAGGGGCCAGAGCAAATTATATATATTTTTTGCGCATACGCCCCGCGTTCCGTGCTCCGAACGGAGGCGCGTGCATAAAAATTTACCAAAAATGTATGACGATGACGATGACGATGACGACCTTCTCGGGCTCTATTCGGTGTGGGGAAAGCAAGTGCCAACCAATCTGTGGCGGCACTCCTCTTGGCCCCTGTTTTGGAACTGCATTCGTCTGAATACAATATTCAGTTGCAGTACCCTTGATTCGGTTTTCGACCAGAATCGTAGTCGTAGTGGTGGCGACGTGGTCGCTCGTGGGCCGGAATGCAGTTGTGTCGGTAGCGGTATCTGTATCCGTGAGTTTCGTGTGCGCCATGCTCTTGACTTTGGATAAGTTTGGTGAAAACTGCTTTCAGCCGGATTTCCCGCACTCTGTAGCCATCAGAAAACCAGACGCAGATTGCCAGCCAATGTCGGGGCATCGAATTGCGCTAGACGTTCATTGGCCAACTCTCCGACGGGTTCGGATTCTTCCGGAGAATGCCCGGAGAATGGATCGGTCGATCGAACCCCGCCCTAGTGGTACTCATGTTACTTAATTTAACTTTGTTTATTTCCGAGAAATATCGCCAGAGGGTATGCCATCTTCGTTGTGGCGTTTTTTGCACCCAATTTGCTCTGTTTGATCTTTAATTTGTGGCCATCAAGTTTACTGGGGTGTGTATGCGTTTGATTCAATTGTTCGAAATAATAATCTATAAACTGGGCAATAATAATAAATTCATTTGATTTCTGCTCCATGCAAACGGGTTTTTACTGTTTCGGCATGCCGCCAATTGAAAAAGTTCTCATAGCGTAATTTACGACTATTTTTTAACTGCCTGCTGGGCGGATCCGTTTTTAGCCATTTGGTGTTGAAATTAAAAATAATGTCTGTATTTAATCACAGCCTCTCATTATCAACGATTTTCTATCTTGATTTAGGAGTATTTAAGTGGAAGAGGAATTCTAAAAAAATATCGTTATAATTATTAACATATTGATCTCATATACGGTTTGGGGATTTACAAGTTTTAAATGAAGTTGGGAATTAGGCAATACAGGGATGAGACTTCAACTTCAACTTCAAACCAAAATGGTAACTCATCGTTTTGTTATTTATTTTATTTATTTTGTTTATATAAAAAAAAGCTATTAAAAAAAATATATTCACTAAAACGACTTTAATTTGATTTATATATGTTTAAAGACAATGATGAAATAAAATTCAAACCTTATGTTTGAAACATTAAGCCAATACTTTTGCTATCTTGTAAAAACAACGATGTTTTTTTTTTTACATTTATTTTTCCAATGGGAGTCGTAAGATCCAGTTCGACTATATACTGCCTAAAATAATAATACTTCTGTAAGAGAATAAAAAGGAAACTCGGTACAAAAGAAAACAAAAAATAGCCTATTTAAATACGATTTATTTTAAATCTACCTTTTCTAGAGAAAACAATCGCTAATTAAAAGAAAATTGCCTCATGAATATGATCTTAGGTGGTTGTACTGTATCTTAAAGTACTCCATATTACAATGTAAGCATAGGGGGGTGTTTCGTATTTGTTTGTTGGTTTTCCAAACAGGTTTGTGTGGGAACGAAAACTAGAATTCTAGCAGAGTGTGACAAGTTATAAAATTGCGCAATTCGGCACTGGATTTTGCAACCGCTAATGGGGATTACTAGATTTACTCACGAGTGGATGGCCAAGACCTCCCATTGATCAATGAGATGCATTTTGACCACTTTTCTTATCTATCGACGATATATCCGAAGACGAAAAACGACTTATCTGAAGTGGAATGACAAATCGAACTGACACCAATACGGCTATTTGAAAATATGGTTAGCAAAGGTAAAAGCACAGATCTTGATTGGAAGCTTTAATTCCATGCCCATGCATGTACATACGTTGTTATTGTTGCGACAACGTTTCCATTTATAGAATACTACGCATTTCAATTAATGAAATAGTCATAATTAAATTAAAGAGTCGCGCCAGCACGAGTCGTATAACAATAAGGTCTTCCAGCAGCCCGAGATTACCGAGATACATATGTATGTATGTACATACAATGCATATACATATGCATATGCATATGGTGGTATTTATTTACATTGTAAGTCGAGACCATTTCGTCATATAGATTACACGCTTTATCAATGCAGCCTCCCGTTTTACTTTTATTCCATCTTTATTGTGGCCCACAAAAGTTTCCATTGCACATCTATAGCTATAGTATTTTTATTTGTTTGTGTACAATGTACATACGTATGTACATACATACATATATGTATGTTTCATATGTGCAATGTGCAAATTGAACTAGCAGGTCAGGCGAGGACATATTGGGGCCATCGGGCCGAGATACAGACACATTTCTTTGTGGATGCAATCTGCTGCACTTCTAAAGCTTCCACTGGGGACTGTCATCAGTCATCTGGCTAGAGAAATCTTGGGAGTGGGGAGCCAGATGCCCCGTGCTCGGTTCCAATTACACTCAATTACACTCACTGGAGTCCGTCCTAGGAACTGCGATCTCAATTGCTGAAAGGCAGGGAGTTATTTTCGGACCCCTAATTGGAATTGCCAGGGGATGAGTCAGGCAAAACTCGGGCCAACTATGGCACATTCATTGGAAATCAGTTTTACAGGTACTATATAACTATACATTCCGCGAACGAAATGAAAATGCAGAACAAACCGCTCTCAACCAGCTTCAACTCAATTCGCAATCAAACGACTCGAGCATTTGCTTTTCCCATTAATCCATGCTGTAATCTAAATTGACGCGATGCTCAGCAAAGTGCATGTGGCACTATTCATATATATAGCATGTAGTAGGATAGTCCCAATTCTGATTCCTGAACACGCGGCCAATCAGTCAGCGGGCCATCAATCAACTGATCGCAGATTTAACGCCTGTGCGCCGCTTGATTAATTTAATCATGTGTGATTGTTTACCTTGCCAGCGTAAACAACGTAAACAGCATAAATACGTACATATATAAACCAAATCGAAGTCAGTGATGAATGGATAATTACGCCCTCACAGATGGACGTTTGAAATTCAATATCTAGGCGGTGTTTGTTGTTATGGTCGTTGTTAATGTAGAAAAGCAACAATGGAAATTGAGACGATAAATACATTGTTAAGCCAAAGGGAATAATCCATGTTAAAATAGTATTTTTATTGTAATTATCTTATTTATTATGAACTTAATTTTTAGATTATATTTCCGAATTTCCTTAAATTCTGGTTTTGTCATTTTCGTATGTCATATTTATTTTAAATTAGTTTATTCTAGTTATTAAACCAGTATTTTAAGTGTTTAAAATTAAAAGACCCTGAAAATCTTGAGGCTGACGAGCCAAAAATTTTCAGACCGATGATGTTCATTGGTTTTTAAATTTAATTCTAATTTTGAATACAAAAATTATATAGTCTCCTTTTAACCCCTATTATGCTTTTAAATGCTCATCTAGAGTATTAGTTTTGGTTTAATAATTGCATTTCAATTATTTAGTAGAAAATCGTGGTAGCCTAGCCAGTTTTATATTTAAAGTTGCAAAAGCATTTTCTGATATTTTTAACACAGTTAATAATAGTTTAAACACAGTTAACAAGTGAGTAAACGTTGTCTAGCCATATCAATTCTACAGGCAATGTGTTATCATTGATTTCCACTCTGGAAAGTACTTATTGCGTTGTCTGAAGTGCGTTTCAGGGTCATTAAAGTGCATTGACCAACATCAATATCAACATTTCAGCGCCTGAGGAAATAAATATTTGCCTTAAAGTTATTACACGGCCTCAAGCGTTTTGCTGTTGACCAAGAGGCAACAAAAAGGCCAGGGCCGGATTTTCCAGTCCTCAACTTTTTTTCGATGGAAAAATGAAAAATGGGGTCAGTTCAGGTCAGCCTTTCAGGATGATGATGGCCTAGAAAAATCAATTTTATATAGGCTCAAGCCAGAGTTCTGGAAAAACCCCTCTTGAAGTGGAAACTCCGCCCCTGGGCAACTTAATTACGGTTTGTTAAGTGGTAAAGCAAAGAGAAGTAAATTGGGTGAGTCAAAACTTTTTTTTACGGTAAAGTTCCTATGCAAATGTTTTAAGGTAATATTATCCAAAACTCACCTTGCCAGTCTTATCAAGGCCATCTTTGTTGTTTGACTACCCGACTATATAATTGACTTTACTTTTGGCAGAACCTCTATAAATATATGTATGCTATTCAAAATTCGTCAGTTTATTTATTTATCTCTATCCTTTTTGTTTTGTTGCAATTTTGGCAGTGCAGAAAGTAACGGTAACTACGCGAAAGGGAGGACTAAGAGGAAGAAGCAGAGCGAGCGCAATTTCTTTTGTTGTCTGCTCACACACACAAACTCACGAAAACGCACACCGACACACTAACAGTTATTCAGCCGGCACAACAATAACGCTGCGCTTTTTCGATATTTCCCTAGGTAGTTTTTTTTGCTATTTATTTAACTCGTTTGTTTACATTTTCCCACACGCACAGTCGGTATCTTCTCTTGATATTCTTGTAGAACTTTGGACATCGAGCGACCAAGCGCATTTGTGGTAAATCGTATTGCAATTGCAACTGCAATGTCGCCGATCAACCGGTCAATAAAAGTGCACTCTAGTTGTTTGCATTATTTGCGGCCCGGTAGCGTTTAGTTATTGAGTGTGGTATCGTTCGCGGTCCGCATTTACAATTCAGTTTTACTCGGTCGGCGCCCGTTCACAAGTGCAGCGGCATTAAATCGGCAATCGGCAAAATACGTTCGTTCGATTCGAGTTTTTGGTCTGACAACCAGCTGTTCTATCCGAGTTTCCAACCGCTCAGAGTTCCCTTTTTAGCCGCAATGGCGCTCTTCTTAAGGGAACCATGTTAACATTTCTATCTGAAAAAAAGGCGCGGAAAGTGTGTTTAAAAACTAAAAAAAAATAAATGACCATTTAATGCAGAATTTTTACTTAATTCACCTTTTATAGTCCAGTCCCACAGATCCCATCCAATCGAAACGGTTGGGATTTTTGATGGATAGTGGACTGGCGATTCCACAAAGCCACCATCCACCATCAACCTTCGACCATCCACCGTCCATCAAAAGTCACAGTGGCGTATGCTTAATTTTTTTAGATGTACTTTTATAAGTACTTTTTAGAAGTACTTTTTCCTGCACTTATTTTATTTGAATGCTATGAATTAGTTGCTAAATGGTTTGCTGAACTTTTAAATAATGGCTTATATCTACTCTGTATTCAAATTTCAACATATTTGAAAGAGATGGTGGATGGTGCTCTGTGGGACTGGGCCATCAAGCAACTTAAGCATTGAAAAGAGTTAACAGCGCTGTTAGCCTGTTCAACGTTCGCAGGTCTGGCAACTTTCCCTCTCATTTTAAATTTCAAATGTAACGTTTTTCAGTCAGTTAATGGGAAGCAAACAAAGCCTGACTATATTTTATTTTCCAGCGCTTTATGGCAGAAGAAGTTAATTGAGAATTGATTTTTTGTAGCACTGGCACCTCAAATTGTCCTTGTAGGCCTATTTTATTTAATTATACAGGACTTGGCTTGACTTTTTGAAGGTTTTTTAAATTTTTTGATTGGCATTGGCAATGTAAAAACTGGATAAAATCGAACTTTTACATAACACAATCGTACACACTTGACACCTGATGTGTTGTATTTCAAATATTCACAAACGTGTACTAAACTTTACCCAAAATGTGGGAGCAATTGGAGGGATATCGCAATCACTTTTTGCAAAACGAGATTAAGGATGTGATGAAGCCCAGCTCCATAAACCGTCAGCAGAACAAAGGTAAGGACAAACTTAGAAAAGACCAGGTCGTATCAACAAAGAAAACCTTCAGAGTGGTCGAAAGCCATGGAGAAAAGGTATATTTGTAAGTGCATGCCGTATGGCTGCAGTTCGACCTCCACATACCTGCAGGATAGGGCCCAATTGGCGTACGGCTGGTTTGCCCTTCCCAAACTGATGAAGGAACTGGACAGCGATGTTCCCCTGACCCACTGGAAGGCGGTGGTGTCGTTGACGGAGTTCGTCTCGAACCCGCTGAATGCCCAGAGAGCCATCACCGAAATGGACATTGTGAGAAAGTTGGTTGAGCCCTCGAGGAATTTGATCAAGTCTTCTTAACATTTGTCTGCCAACAGGTTGAAAAATGCCTTTATGCGAATGAGATTGAAGCTCCACAAGGAGCAACACCGTGAGGTAGAAATGTATCTGAAGATATATAGTAAGTTTAGGGTTCTACACAAGTTGACAGGCTAACGTAAGTTTTTCCATTCTATTTCTTAGATATACTTTCCCGCAACTTGGATGGAGCCGAGCATATTGCCAACCGCAAATGTTTGAGGAACGAGTTTTACAAAATTATTAAAAATCAGGAGACCAATAAAGATGGTCTGGCATCAGAGATTCTGAGGAATTTGACAAGCAAACCAAAGAGTAAGCTTAAGTCATACTATTTCATTAAGGGGTTATTTACAGATTTCACAATATTATCTGAGAAATTTTTTGAATTAGTTGATTTACAAATTTGTTCACATATTAAGTTATTTTTTAACTGTATTTCACGACTTAGTATCAATAAAAATCTTTCGTTAAAGTAATGTTAAGTCTAGTTATTAATCGAAGGAATAAGAAAAAGTTGATTTTTTGTTTTTAAACAAAAATATTTATCGGTGAAAAAAAATCTTCGATTAATAACTTTAAATATATTAAGGAAGTTCGTGTTAAAATTTGATGACAATCGGTTTATCCGTTTTGGATTAATTTTGGTCACGCGTTTTTACTTAGTTTGTACTTGAAACACCTTTTAAAATGTGCGTGCAACTTTGAAAATATTCACCGGAAAATTAAAATGTATACAACCCCTTAAATTAAATAGTCTTAAGTGTTTTGAAATCATTAAAATGGTTTCAAAGAAATTCATAAGCTTTTTGTGATACCATTTTGCATTGATACAAAAAAAAAAATGGTGTACAAGTAAATATCTGACTATTGAATTTACAAATTTATATTAAATATTTAAATTAAATATTAAATAAACACGTGTTGTTGTGGCTTACCTCGGGAAAAGAACAGCGCAGCGTTTGGTAGTTATCAAATATTTTATATTTTTTTAAATTTTTTCGCGCTTATAACTTCTTTAATTACAAATTATGTAATGAGACTGTGAGAAAGTAGAAAGTAGATAATTTTATTGAACAGATTGTATTTTGCTTACTCTTAAAGTTACAATACTAACAAACTTTCAACAATTGCATGATTTATTATTGATATTAATTATGCATTTTATTTAAGTTAAAAATGTTTAAAGTTTAAATAGAATTTTTAGGTATTTAAATTAATTCCGAGCATAATCAAATGAAAATTTGTAGAAAATTTTAGTATTTTCATGTTTAAAACAACTAAAAGCCGCTAAGGAAAGCTTATAATATTTAAATATTGAGAATGTGATTTAAAATCTCCAGAGTTTCTGCTTCTTTTTGTATATTTTGTCTATTCCCTCAGTTCTGGGAATTTTCATGGACGATCCTGAGAACTTTGCTGCCCTGGCGGAGATCTTCAAGCAGGATCCCTGCCGTCCGCACTATCCGCTGGACTTGTGGCACCATCTGTGCCACCTGTTGGAGGTGGCGCCCGAGCAGGCCATCGAGTTGGGATTCTTCGAGCTGCTGCACCAGCGGATCCTCAACCGACTGGCCAACTTCTGGGACATGGCCACCAAGGCGTTCGCCCTGCTGCTCCGCTGTGCGGAGGGTCAGCGCCGTTTCGATGCGGTGGATGGCGTCAAGCTGCTCTACGACGTCTTTGCCCAGCCGGATGAGCAGAAGGCCAGCATGCTGTTGCCCCAGCAGCAGGTGGAGAACTGGGAGTACACGGTGCTGGCCCTGCTCAATGGGCTGCACAGCAAGCGGGCTCTGTGGCGCAGCAGGGAGTTCACCCAGCTGCCCTGCTATGTGGGTCGTCTCATGGAGTCGACGGTGACGGCGACGGTGGCCAATCCGCGCCTGCAACTCTACTGTTTGAAGGTGTTGCGCGAACTGGGCGTGATGCCTTGCAATAAGCGCTACATTATAGCCAACTGGTTGACGGACATTTGCCAGCTGTTCTGCCTGGATGCGGAGGCCGAGTGCGCCCGGGATTCGCTGGTCGATTGGCTGCGTCGCGATATAGCCGACAGTAGCTGAATCAAAGTTAAAGTTTAAAGTTTAATTTGCAGCTTACAGTGTTTGGTTTTTAACAATAGAGCCATCTGTTGGTGGCCAAGTAACAAGAAACAAGAAACATAGAACTGCCCCGCTTTCGAACCGCTTAGATAAATCCAAACCGTTTCGAACTACCCCTGATGTCCCAAAGAGTAACCGGTTAAAAGAGAGAGCGAACATAACATACTTGGGACATACGGGAGAGCTTAAATGAGAGCTCTCAGCTGTCAGCTGTCAGCTGTTTGCTTAACACAAATTGTGGTAAATATTTAACACCTCGCAAATCTAAGGGTTAAGCCTCCAAAATTTCCCTTTGTTGTTGACACTAACAAAAATTATAAATAAATGCCACTTTCTTTGGTGAACAGTTTGCCGCTTGCCTTGACCCTGGCAGACATATGTACATATACATACATACGTATTTGTAGACAACTTTGCATATTTGCGGAATTGTCAAGAAGGCAGCGAAACTTTTCCAATTTCCGATGCCTGGACATCAGTGACAATAATGAGCAGTGAAAAGGATGCTAGGATGCAGTGCTGCCAGGACAACAACCGCAGAGACAACAACAAAACGACGGAGGAGCAACAACCACTGACCAGAGTTGCCACAACAACCACAGTTTGCGGTTTGTGCCAAGCCTTCGGTGCGCTGTTTTTTTCACATCTACACATATTTTAATATCTATCCCTGCACATACAAACTGTATAAATAAAACCATTTTTTCCCCCCTCACTTTTCTGCGGTGACAAACTTGGCAACGAGTTGCAGTTCCCTTTTTAACTTATTTGAATTGGCGGCGGCGGGAAGGGGGCGTGTCCGAGTCCAGCATTGTCCACATTGCCCATATTTCGCATTCAATCGGCAAGTTTTGTGCCTTGTCATCGGCGGGATTTCTTCGTGGTTCGGGTTCGGTAGCAATTTTCCAAAGTCCCTAGAGCCCGACTCTCTTTTGTGAACTTTTTAATTACCGCTGCGAGTTTGCCTTATTTCGCCTTTTTCGCCTTATTTCGCCTTTTTCGCCTTTTTCGCTTTTTGGAGTCTTCTCCCCCTCACTTTTTGCTCTTAGGGTTTTCCCACTTTTCAAGTTGTTTATGAAATATTTTATGGAAATTATGCAAAACTTGTTTACCAGACTTCATATTCAGCACTCGCCGTTCGCCATTTGGCGCCTTCACACAAAGTTCCTCGCTTCTTGCCACTCAAATTAATTGCATAACAAATTGTGTTGATGAAGTGCAAGAATACAAGAATGCAAGAATGCCGGAGTGCATCCAACTCAAATTGGCTTGGCCAAGAGACCATTGAGTAGGGCTTTGTTTCCTGGTCAATAACTTGGTTGGTTGGACTGGCCTTCCTCCCAGAAAGTGCTCATTAATAAAGCAATTTGAAAAAGTGAATATTAAAAACAATTCAATTGTATTAAATGGAGAATGAATACAAAAGGGTATGAAAACATTAAAAACATAAAATCATGTAACATTATAGATATGTTTTAAGCTTTGGTATGAACTGTTTTTCCGCTTTCAATAATATAAACGGGGGCTTAACTTTTATATAAATATTAGC